ATAACACTAACACATCTGACAAAACTCAACACACATCAACAAACAATTGATTCCATTACCCTCTGGTAAACTAACATAGCTATGGAAAATCACCATGTTTAATAAGAAAAACCACTATACATAGCCATTTTCAATAGCTATTTTGACATAACCAGAGGGTATCATGTGGTTTCGACACTCTTGTAGTTCCTTAGCTCCCCAAGTTGTTCATCGGGAATATGGATCCCCGTAGCTCCGAAACGCAAAAACTCCCAACCACTGGGAGTAGATTCCTACATACCATCCCGGATGAATAGTATCCATATGTACCCATTACAAAAATCATCAAAAATCCATTGATCACCATAAATATACATAAATCCTATTAATCACCATTGAACCTAATAAAGAAATCACCATACCATCCCCAGTTCATAGCGGTTCACTCCCGGTGTGATGGGTACATGGTAAAACCGAGAGCCCCCAGCTGCGGCCTTTCCCAAAGTCCTCACGATCACCCTGCAGGGTGCACTGTGCTGCCAGTGGCATTTTTGGGGTCCAGGATCCCCATATAAGTTCTGCACGCTCATATGGTGACTTCATGTGACTTCAATATCTTCAATGCATATTGGATCGGCAACCCGTAGCAAATGGACAAACATTGTATCAATGTTACTATCCGTGGGGGCACGCTCCAGCACTCGCTTTTTCCCCAGTTTGCGGCCCGGCACTGGTTGCACCTGAGGTCCGCTTCCAGTTGCTGGAAAGAAACCCTGATGTTGCTTGATACCTAGCCTAGTGCCTAGATCACGAACATTCTACTATCACAAGGCCTAAAAGGGACCAACGTGTCATGCAGAACTCCATCTTCAACAATACCATTGGACAAAACAAAATTTATATTTTCTCCTCTTGGCATGTCCCCCAATCATCAGCAAATGCTCTATAGCCATAAAAGCAGCCTGCCAGGCAGCTGTGAAGTACTGCGGGTTCGTTATCCCCGTGTCATCCCAATATCATCCACACGTCTTCCCATGGGACAAGATTATCTCCGATGTCACAGTTGCTACTTCTACAGACTATAGTCACATTCATGTATATACAAAATTAAATCTAGTTCAGTCTGTATACATACATGTATATAAACTATATATATAAATAATAAAATATTATATTATATTACATTACATTATATTACATTACATTACATTATATTACATTATATTATATTACATTATGTTACATTACATTACATTATATTACATTACATTACATTATATTACATTAAATGTTATTATATTATATTATATTATATCATAGAGTTTTATATTATACTATATATAAGTTAAATATAATATATAAAAAATTATATTATATAATATATGTATATTACACTAACCGGAGATCCACAACAGTATCCTTGATCATTGGATTTGAGGATCCCGGTGATCATCTCGGTGACACCATCAACGAGGAAAGTCGTGTGGAAAATCACCAGTTCTCATAGGTAAATCATCATTTCTACCCTCTGGTAAACTAACATAGCGAACTGGAAAATCACAATTTTTAATGGGAAAATCCACTATTTCTATGGCCATTTTCCATAGCTATGTTAAATTACCAGAGGGTAAATGGTGATCTATGAAGCATCGGGATTGAAGCAACACCTAAAAAGGTGAAGCCTAATTGTCTATATTAACTATAGTAACTTGATAATAGACTGGTTGGTGGTTTGAGCCCCTCTGAAAAATATGAAAGTCAATGGGAAGGATTATCCCATATATTATGGAACATAAAAAATGTTCCAAACCACCAACAAGAATTATATACTACAAATAAGCCATTTTCCATAGCTATGTTAAATAAATATAAATAACCAAAGGGTAAAATCAAAAAACAATATGGACTACTCACTACTGCATATTGCCATTCCCTAAATTGACATGGACCCTGAAAATTAACCGTTGACTAGAAAAAGTACGTAGTCTCTCAATTCAGACTCATAGCAGGACCATCATGTTTGTTGGGATGGCAAGTCCCAAATGTCACCATTTTTCAAGATGAACTCCCAAGTTTCACTGGTTAAATCCCCAAGTGTTGGATAAAATCCCACCATTTTCCCAACAGCACCTTGGGCAGCCGGTGAAATAAACCAAGGGACTAGATACTTCCATCGACCAAGGATGGCGCCTTCAACAACGCTTGCACTTCCTTCACCTAAAAAATCGAGGGGTGCAGATCCTTGTCTCAAACTTGTTATAAAAACACACACATATATGTATATATATATATATCAATTTTGCAAGTAAATTAAGTCGACAATAAATCATAAGAAATCTATATATGTTATTTACTTGCATATTCAGGGATTGCCCTAAAAGTTCTCTTCCTCAAAAGGATGGAATTGATGAAACGTGAGATGAGGACACAAGTTTTGCTACGTACCTCCACACCCAGAACCCCCAAACAACCATTTCCAAACGGTGTGAGATGTTCATTGCCTGCACAAATCAAACATACTTCCAATGTTTTAACAGCGTGGTTGAAACCATTGGCACATCCATAAAAAGACGACAGGTAGACTATATTACTATATCCCCAATGATACTGTGCATGTCTTCCGAAAAACAGCCACACCCGACAAACCAACAACACATCAAGGAAAGTCATCAGAAACAAAAATCTACACAAGTCAAACATCAAAGAAAAATAAACTAATCTATCTATATCTATCTTGTGTTTGGGAAAGCTAGTCGCTCCCACTCTTTACTTTTTTGGGAAAGACCTCTGCCACGCTCCGCCCCCTGCAGCTCTGTGACTGGAGCTACCGCCACCTTCTGCAGCTGTCCGAAGAGGTCTCCACCCTTCCTGGCCATGGATCTTGGATGATCTTGGTGGTTGGCTTCACCCTCGACATAGAGGGCATAAACATCAAAAAAACATCAAAAAACATCAAAAAACATTGAGATTTTGAGATTTAGCTTGAGATTCCTAGTTACAAATCTTAGAGATGAGAATAGTCAGAACTGACCCATCTGAAGCCACTGGTCAAGGTTCACTCGGTCCGTTACTGATCTGGGAAACCATATGCACACACCCTGTGAAAGGTAAAATTGAGCTGTTCTCGTTTCCATCGTTCTCTCCTATTTGCACATTCCACCACTCAGTTTGCACACTTTTTCAATGATTTCGGTCAGCCAAAATCACAAAATGGCTGATATACTTGTGACTCTTTTGACATCTTTTCAGCAACACCACCATTTTTTCGATATCAAACCAAGGCTTCAAGGTATTTACCCTCTGGTAATTTAACATAGCTATGGAAAATGGCCATAGAAATAGTGGATTTTCCCATTAAAAATTGTGATTTTCCATAGCTATATTAGTTTACCAGAGGGTACCCAGCATCATTAGCTTCCAAAGACATCCCCCCCCCACGGTCCTCAGGTTGCGCTGCATCTGATCCAAGGCATCTTGGACTTTGGCTGACTTCGCCTGGAAAGCTGGTCAAGACGAAGGGTGGATGTATGATCAACCATTACCCTCTGGTAATTTAACATAGCTATGGAAAATCACCATTTTCAATGGGTAAATCCACTATAAATCACCATTTTCAATAGCTATGTTAAATTACCAGAGGGGTATTGTTATTATTGGCATTTAATTATTGTTTTCATTATTATTCTATATTATTCTTGTTATTATATATTAAATGTAATTATCATCACCAATTCTTCAACAACCATCACACATATATTGAAAAACTATATAGTTGTTATCAATTAATTAGCATCCTGAACCACTGTCAACGATCATTTCATCATGTTTCCTTGTCCCACCTTCAGCTCTTCTCCTGCGCCTTGCGTCTGCTTCAGCTCTGCCGTCAGAAGCGACTCCTGGCGGAGAGATGTCCAGCGGCTAAAATGATACCCTCTGGTTATGTCAAAATAGCTATTGAAAATGGCCATTTATAGTAGATTTTCCCATAAAAAATGGTGATTTTCCATAGTTTTATGTTAGTTTACCAGAGGGTAAACAGTGATAAACACTGGAATAAAAACATGATGGAAATCAACCATGACTGGTAAACAATCGGATTCAGTCAACAAGACATGTGATTAACAAATTTAACAATAACGATAAACATTGGATCTCAAAAACATATCATGCAGCATTGCTGGCAACATCTGAGGCCGGTACTGAACTGTTTGCAACATCTGAACATCTCAAAAGATCCAAACATACCCAAAATATCATGCAATGAAATTCTATAATAACCCATGGGCCCATTGGCTCAAAATCTATAAGAGTCATCAACATTCATCAACCATCCCGGAGGAATTCCATGTCCATTTCCAGCGGCCCATGGTATCTGGCGCCTGTTTTCGCAGTGCCTCCTGGCGTGTCTTGCCCGCCTCGGAGCTTTGCTGAAAGCTCTTCTTCAGCGCCTCTTGGCCGCGCCGCGCTGCCTCGATACATATTTCTCTGGTGAACAGCACGTAACCGGCACGGTAAACCGAATGCTGATATAAACGATCCTCAGTACCATAAATGGGTGGTCAAAATCATCCCCAAATGGTAGGTTTATTTTTATTTGATTATTGGGCTTCCCACATCAAAATATGGCTCAACAACATGTAGCTACCAGCCTAGACCATCATGCACCCTGAGAGAATTGATGAAAATTGACGAAATGAACCAATCATCAACCCTCATCCACACTGGTCGATTTCGGGACATGACCTTGTAAAACCGGCGCCTGGTGCAGCTTCTGGAGATCTTCAGTCAGCAAAGTGATGATCTGACCATCCTTCTCAGTCACATCTAAAGCATCACCAGAGTCCTTGGTCTCAGTGCCATTTGCCTCGGATCGCCAGGTATTCTGAGAGCCACATCATGCCACATCTACAATACGATGATGCCAGTGCAAAGAAAGCCATGCCGGGACTGGAACTGGAGCCACAATCCGAAGGTCGATGCGGCCATCGTTTTCCCCGTTGAATTTATACATATATATATATATTTATAATAACCAGGGTTGGGTTTACCACACCCTCCGGCACATGGCAATGGACAATTGGTCATTTATATAGATACTTTCCCCATGAACACCTTGGTTTAACGCTGTGATTTTCCAGCCACATTTGATTTTCGAGGGGTCAACTGGGACGATGCCAAGCAACGCTTTGACGTATGGCTTCCAGCATCAGTGCAGACTCCGTCAACGGCTGCCGAAGGGAGGTCTTGGCCCGGCGCTTTCCTGAGGCAGAAAGAGGAAGTAAAATACAGCTTGGATGGGGTTTTATTGGGAATTGTCATGGTGATTTAATGGTAGTTTCACCAATTTATGGAAATCATGGAGCTTTCCCGTCTGGTGATCTGACATAGCTATTGAACATGGCCATGTTTAATAAACATTTCATATAGAAATTGGTAATGTTTGATGGCGATCTGAAATTGTCGGAGGGTATTCTAATATTTTCTAGGAATAACTTAAACTCTTCAACACTTGCATTGTACACTAATAGATGAACCACCATAACCACCAGTTCAAAATAGCCATGTTCAAGAGGAATAGCATCTTCCAGATTTTGGGTACCAGGTATGGTGAAGAAAACTTCTCATTTCCTGTGAACATCCGAATAGGCTCAAAGACTACAAACATGAGATGAAAGAACATGAAGGCATGATTTCAACCTGCGGTTCCAGGAACAAATCCTTGACATTGAACGATTCCACGTACTGCTCAGTGATTGCTCAGTGTACGCAGTTGGAACCCTGGATTGGGACTGAACAGTGGCCAACATTCATGTATCATGGCTAACCCTATTAAGATAACCTCCGAAACAATTACCATACTCTCTAGCACAGTAGTATAGCTATTCCCCTAATTTCTGAGGCCAAACAACCAAACATTCACGGCCAGGCTCGTTTCTTGGAGATCTCTAGGAAGGACACAGCATCCTTTTCCAAGAGCTCCGTCTCCACATCTGGCGCTGAGGTGGTGCCTGAGGCTCCAACATCCACTGGCACCGATTGCGATGAGAAAAACCTAAGACCTGCAAAGCTTGTCGAGTCACCTTGGAATATCAATTATGTCAATTTCATTTCTGCCATATTTCTGCCATTTCAATCATTTTCAATATCATGTAAACTTGTCAACATCATGTCCATTTCCGCCATTTCAATCTGCGACTTCTCCTGGTATCCTCACCCAATGAAGTCCTCTGCAGGCCCAACCTGCCGCGCCATCCGCAAAGTTGGTGGCCTCCACCACCTGCTGGAAGAACTTCTGGCTCCCTGGGCTCCGGGATGTCGGGCTATGTTTTGGTGATGTGAATGCCGTTGTCAAAAAAACAGTGCTTATGTCACCCATGAATTATTGCTACAAAGTGGGGCCCCCAAACGATAGCTAAGTTGGTGCACATAACTCCAATAGCTATGGTTTATGGTACCTATAACTATAGTTAATGGGGTTTATAAACCATCTTATAACTGGGGGGCCCCACCTTGTAACCATGATTAGCCATTACGAACCATCATGTTCTCCAGTACTAAGCATTATTAGCCACTACTAACCATTCTTAACCATTATTCACCACCGAAGGTTCAAACCGGCTTGACTCTGACGGACACCAGCAAGGCCATTCCAACATTTCAAACAGACTCTGAACTCTTACATGGTCAGCGATTTTATATTTAAGTACCGTCATCCACACACAAAAAAAAACATCAAACACACATGAAGTCGGTAACCCAATATAAACCATTATTGGCCACTATTTACCATGATTAACCACTACTAACCACTATTAGTCCTGCATTAACCAGTGCTTCCTAACCGTTCTTAACCTCATTGGATTGGTTCAAGGGAAAAATTACAGGAAACCCCATATTTAATGGTAAAAACGATGGTTTCCGGTTAAGATTTTCCCCCTTAAATCAATCAAATGATATATATATATATAGGTGTGTCTAAAAATTGGGGATACAGTATAGCCGCATAGCCTTTTTTTAGCTATGTTTTTTAGGGAAACTGATGATAAACCAACGGATAATCCAATGATAACCACCATTAACCATCCTTAACCACCTATAAAACATGTGATTTTTGGTGATTTGGGAGATCTCTCTCTCTCTCTCTCCATCGCTATCTCCACTGGTGAGACTCATTGGGAGATGGTTTATGGCATCGTTTACCCACATGATCCACATCATAGAATTGGATGATGGGAAAATTTGCAGGAAAACCCTATATTTGATGGTAAAAACCATGGTTTCCGGTTAACATTTTCCCTTAAACCAATCCATTGACATTATCCATAAACAGATGTTATTAGATGTTATTAGATGTTATTAGATAGCATATCCTAACAAATCCTAATACTAATAACATCTAATAACATCTAATTAACCATCCTTAACCGTTCTGAAGCCATCCGCAGCCAGGGCACGTTCCAGTTCTTGCTCCAGGCCGCGTAGCTGGTTCTGTCGGAAGGACATCAACTTCTCCTAGACTAGAGACAGCTTGGAAAGTCATGCAAATGCTGAGATCAAACTATAATATATAGTATTTTATAATATTACATATGTTTTTATGTAATAATATCACATAATATTACATAATATTAGATTTATAAATACGACATAAGATTATATATATACTATTATATAATTACGCACACTGCATTAAAAAAGGTAGTCTCTTAAATTTATAGTTGAGGATGTTGACAAAATTGAGGGTTCCTAACTTCTACGGCTATCTTATCTTGGCTTTTTGAAATTTTGATTCTTCTGAATGATGTGCAACCTTGCACGAAAAAACCTAGTGAGCACTGTGGCAGGTTCTCCCAACGAACTGCAAGCCTAGTGAGTGCAGGAGATTGTAGTACAATTTTTCAGGTGGATTAGCTACAATAATTAAACTGGATGGTTGCGCTATGCTAGGGCCATACTTGCCATACCCATTTGTGACCCTTTCAAACATGCCATGCCCATGCCACCAAGTCCTTGTGTGCGAGGTCTTTCTTCATCTTCGCGTTCTGCTGCCGGGCAGTGATGATTTCTTTGGCCAAATGGGCGTTGTTGCGCACCAGGGCCTGATTCCTCAAGGGCACAACTGCACACAACAATGCCCAAATTGATCAGGCCAACAAAAATCCTTCTGTTATCTCTTTCCATTGCTTAGTTAAATTTGGGATTCCCAATCCGTGGGTGAATGCAGAAGACCAAAAAACAGCCGCCCCCGTCAAGTTTGACCATCAAACATGGTCGCTGCCAAAAAATGGCATTGTCCCACTGAAGGCCGTGATTCTCTTTCTCCTGCTCCTGCAGATTCTTGTCCTCAAAACCCAGTGATGGGAAAAACCCTGTGCCCTAATGCCATTACACGGCCAAGTAGAACTGTACTCGTTATTGCTGCAATCCACCCCAACAATCTGGAAAGCACCATCCAAACCATAGATCCCACAACCCCCTCCCACATAAAAAGAAACACACAAAAACAAACAAAAACAGCAATTACTGAGATGATCAGCATCCTCCCAAAGAACAAACACACATACAACTGGACGACATACGAAACGACATAAGATGGGATGGTTACCCCAATCTAATTCCCATGATTCCAGTCACATGTCGCAGTGTTGTTATAGTTTATCCAGATCCATTTGGTGGTGTCATTTGCAAGAGATTATGTCCATCATATTCCCGTTCGATCCCCATCATTAAACATCACCATTTGTTGCTGGTTCAACCCCAATTTCTGTTTAGTTAAATACATGGAAAGCTCCAGTTTTGCTGTCGCTATATTGTACCTACATTTGTTGAACCATACTGTGGATGGAAGAAATCCTGCACCAGTTGATAGGTGGTTTATCCCATTTTTTAAAGGGTTTCAAGCATCCTGTTGGTGGTGCAAGATTTCGCAACCACCCACCGTATGTTTGACCATATTTTCCACCACAAACGTTTAAGTACCCTCTGGTAATTTAACATAACTATGGAAAATCACCATTTTTAATGGGAAAATCCACTATAAATGGTGATTTTCCATAGCTATGTTAGTTTACCAGAGGGTAAGTACCCTCTTCAACAGGATCACCAATAATCCATGCGTTTTTCCAGGGCGCATAGAGCTCCTTCTGTTGAGACAGCAGGCTGACGCCAGAGGCTTCTACCTTTCTCCAATGTTGCAGCGAGAAATGGAGGTCATGGAGAGTTTCCATGAAAATGGATGATTTAATCTATCCCCTATTTTTTGGGGGGAACCCCCAGATGGAAAATTCATTGGGTTTCAAGTCCATTGGAGACATGGAATTCCTCTAATCCATTGAGGAAGAGCTGATGGACATTATTTACCGTAACTAAGGGAATAACTCATGGAATGCCCCTTCTATATAAAGAAAACAAATGAATTACTGTGACAGTGATGTAGTATGCTCCAATAGCTATATAACTAGTTCAGGATTTCAGTACCTTTGTAATAATACTATGTAATACTGATATATATATATATATAAACACCATAAAATATATCTAACATAGTAATATGTAGTACTTACCCAGCCAGAGTTTGAATTACTATGATTTACTTTTTCATTTTACATATTTTGCCCAAATAGATGAGGAATTGGCCAACAGCTTTCCATATGTCTCAGGCAATTCCCCGTAGCAATCTGGAATGGTCTCACCCATGAAGTTTCTACCTCTGTTGGCCATATGTGGTCACTGTTGCTCGGTGCTAGCTATGCCCAAGTTGTATCACTATAAAAAAAACAACAACAACAGTTCAGCGATCTTGAATCCCTCATATGCATTATAAAAAAAATATATAATTCAGGTTCCCCATATGAAGAACCATTAACCAAATCAAACATGTTTTATTTGCCCCACAAGTTTTGGCTCTCCTCCGGTGAACCATTGGTTTTTTGTTGCCAAAGAATCACCACTTTCGCCCCATGTCTGCCTGCTGCACGTGCTGGGCCAAGTCTTTGGCCTCTGAGTCCAGTTGCTGCTTCACCTCCTGAAAAAGCTAAACAACCAGCCACTGGTTTCATGGGGAAAAAGCACACCAATTGGATTTAAATATTTGGCATAGATCTTCAATTTCTAGCTATTCTAGCTGTTTTCTAAGTGTTCAGTGTAAAGTTTGAAGATTATTCACCAAAAATAGAGCCAGTCCAAGGGTAGAAGTTGAAGAGTAGTACGCAGGAAGTAGTACACAGCAGCGCTGTTTTGGAAAGGTGGCACAATACCTCCCACACCTAGCATTTACCACCCCCAAAAAAAACATGACGATCCGCGTCAAACTGTTAGTTGCAAGGATGGTACCCTGAGGTAAACTAACAAAGATGTGGAAAACCGATGGTTTCCCCTCGGAAAATTATCTACAAATGCTTGTTTTTCCACATTAGTCTACCCTAAGGCCCCGAGGGTACCTCCCATTTCCTCAAGTTCCCCAAGGTCCTGATAATCTGTCAACAACTGCTCCACATTTGGAAGCTGGGGCATGCCATCGGGTCCTCACAGCGAATTGATGCCGTGAACGCAAGGGTCAACCCCAAGTAATTTGTACGAAATTGACACCCTGATGAGAACATCACAAATGAGATAGCAAAAATAATCAGCTTCTGAATGGATTTAGGAAGGGTTACTTTGGACCACTAGAATTTCAAATGGTTTAAATTCAATGATTGATCGATCATCAAAAAGACTACCCCCCAGTGAATTGACAAATGGAAAATAACCCTAAACTAAATCCACCGTTTATCTTACTTATGCCAAACGCCGGGAATGGGGGAATGATCCAATCCATTTCTAGTTTCAGAAACATCCCATTCCCTCATTCCCTTCTAACTAAGCACCAGTATTAAGTTATATGGGGGGATGATTGTTAAGATTGTTAATGATTAGATGGTTGGATGCTTGTCAATGCTAAACAAAAAGTATGTTAATGTTCCCTGTTCCATTCGGAAATGGTGGTAATTTTCCCCCCAAGTCATCACAATTTCCATGGCTGGTAAAAACCAGCCCGAAACGGTCAGTTTATGGCTTTGGGTCGGAAAAAGTCCATGGCTTACCCCCTGATAAACTCACGTAGCTATGGAAAAATCTCCATCTTTGAGAGGTAAAATCAACTATAAAAGCTATGTTAAATTACCAGAGGGTAGAGCTCCTGCATTGAAGACCTTCGGCACCTTGGGCAGCTGTGGCGCTTCAACAGACGTCGCCTGCACGTGCACCAAACCGTGCCTGAGATGGCAAAGGACTGTAAAAGAAAACTAGGAAACCAAAAGAACATGATTATTTATTGAGATTTAATGGGATGTAAGTGTATATATAGTTGATTTATGATAGCTAAGTTGATCTATAATTAATTTGGTCAATGAGTCAATGTCCTGTTTTAGGGTATTTTCAACGTCATTTCCTTAAGTTTCTGTTGAACATCATATCCCCAAGCCAGTTGGGTGATGTGAAAAATATACATTTACCAAGCCCCAGTAAAGCCATTCGATCTCTAACCGGTTTTTCTTGGCAAAAAAAACATTAGGCATCATGAGGCTATGACTACGCCCCTTTGGCGAACTCTTGAGAAAGAAGGATACATACACGTTCATATTCTGTGATCATATATATATATTATATATAATATAAATATATATATATATGATATGATATCTCTTAATTGCCTCCCCGAAAATGGGGGCCAATCACTTGGACCCCTGTCATGCGTCAGGGAACATCATCATCATTTTCAGCAGTGGTTCTTCTTGGATGTCAACAGCCGTGTTCCAACCATAAACACCATAAAGCCTCCCCAGCAATTTTGACATTCTTAAACGATATGCGGTAAGTATCGAACACCTGAAGCCCTGATTAATTACTATCTCTCCACAAATCGATATCAAATTTAAGGATGTACCCTCTTGTAATCAAACATGGCAATGGAAAATACCTCATTTATAGATAATTTTCTGAGCTATAAACCCCCATTTAGTTCGGAGATTTCGCTTACCCGATTACCCGAATCATCATTTCCACAATTGTTGTGTTATATCCCCATGATATCCCCAGATTTTGCCAATAAATCCCAGGACAGGAAATGCCAATCGATCACCATCCCAGTGGCAGAACTACGGTGAGTGTGGCCAGCTTCATTGCGCTGAGCCCGGAGGGGCCCGGCCCCGGAGACCGCGCTCCCGGCTTGGGCCACAATGAGGTTGATTGACTATGACACTCCTCAAAAAGCATGCGATTATGGGTAATGATGTATCTGTATGTGCATATAGATACACATGACATAACCATGTCATACATTTGAATGTCCAAATAGTTCTGGGTTGCTCTGAAACTAGGGTGTATACCTTTAAATCCAATGGCCACGGCCATGATCCCATTTCGCCCAGGAAGCGCGCCTTACGACTCTGCCGTGGGGCATCCTGGGATGTCGAGGAAGCGGGGGAAAGACAACCCCAAACCGGCCAGTGTCAAAATAACAAAAGATGGGGGATGTGTCATCTTAAAGGCAAGAAAAGGCAAAAAAACAAATATATCAGTATCGATCTATTTGTTTATGTGCAACTATCATGCAAATCCAACAGGCTATGGATATTTTTTCAAAATGGATAGGGCACTGGGTGATCTGAATGGAAGGAACTATCCCACTGTGAACATGTAAAGTGTAAAGCCTAAAAATCAACTTCACCTGGGTCACAGAGCCGGAGCTACCAGTATCAGTATATACTTATAGCTATAAGGATCCTGTCAGAAGAGAAAGTCTTCCTTGTGCCGCCTTCGCACATGTTGGGTTTGCAATGGTTCCAACGTGAGGAGAAAAAACACCTTCTGAACTGAATGTGTCTGCACAAAATCTTCACATATCCCGGGATGAGCATGCAAATTAATCCCAGCCCTCTAATCTTCAATACCTCCAATATGGGCTCCCAAGTCATCAATAGATCCAATACTAAACCAAGTCATTTCGTTTGGGTCTTATTTAATGAAACTTTCGCATGTCATGAGTAGATCCACCCACCATTGATCATTCCCAGGAAACCTCCAATTTTTGGTGATAAATCTTGGATGAACTTTCTAGACTTCATGGGACCCACCTCCATAAACTTGGTAAAAGTAAGGAACATACCTCCATAAACATCATGACAAAAGTCACTGGGGGACCCACCTTGCCGTATCCTTTGGCCGGAGCGCCCACCTCGCTGGGCGACAGCGCTTTAACTCGTGGGATGTACATGTACATCTAACAATCTAATAGCCAATTTAGCTATAAATATACTTATAATACTTATAAATTATGTGACTAAATATTTTATAAGAACAATGTAGTGATATATTTTTCATAAATGCACATGCCCCGAGTACAAGCCATTGAAGCAAGTCAGGGTCCTCATAAGTTAAAATCCAAAGATCACCTCCGAGGTAAATACATCGAATCCAAATCCACTGATAACCCTCGATCTTTTCTATTTCCAGCAGGTACCTTGGAATCCCTTTTGCATATTTTTGTATCCTCTATCCACTGTGACTATAGTGACTGTAGTGACTATACCTGGAAATCGTGACGGGGGTGGGTTATGGATCACTGGCATACGAGCTACAACTGAACCAATTCTGTGAGAATAAGTCACTGACGGCTTCGAGCACATCCTGCTCGCACACAATGGATTTCTAAGAAGTGATGTACACTTTGTTGAGTAGGATCTCAATACGCCCCAATGAGCATGACCAAAGCTCGGGTTCCCCAAACACCACCATTGGCAGGCAATTCAAACCTGAATCCTGTGGGCAGTTTATTAATGTTCATTGTGTTTGTGATTATATAAAGGATTTTTTTGAGACATATGGAATTGCCTGAAAATTTGCCAACAACTCCCTAAAATTAATCCATCGGTTAATCATCATGTTCCTCATGAAAATTGCCATTAGAGGGGTTCTACCTAATGTTGAAACACACCTTTAAAAATCACATCTATCCCAAATATATCCCAATGATATCCTGATTTTGTTCACCTGTTTCCCATTACACACACACATATATATATATATAAATACTTTAATACGTAAAAAAATATATACATATATATATATATGTATATGTGTGTGTGCGTGTGTGTACGGAGGTTTCCTAAAATGAGGGATCCCCAAGTGACCATAGTTTTCAATACTAAGCCATGGTCGAATGACTTGGATGATTTGGGGTACTGTACCCCTATGGTGCATTTTCCGCACGGCGTCAGCGCGCGGCTGAAGTTGTCGGGCGCTCAACCCCAGCCAGGGGGTGGCTTGGGATGGACACGGGTAACATGCGTCAGGAAGACTTCGGTGTTGAACCTTGGCTTTGGAAAACTTGAGCCAACCAGGTAACCAGGAAGGATATATAGATGTCTATAGATATCTATAACTATCTATAGATATCTATATTTATCTATCATTGCTATAGTAACTGCAGTAACTACAATAATTAACCGTACTTAGTAACTCTAGTCAGTATATAAGCAAACACATTCTTGGCATGTACTCATGTGAATTCATGACCATGGCAACTATGGTGATGTGTTTCCTGTGTCACAACAATGAAGGACTTGAATTGGGGCAAAACTCCAAAGTCAACCCTGCAAGTCACATGGGTGTCATGTAGTAGTTACTCACATCTTGGTTCTTGCTGCATTTCTACACAACCTTCGGGCCCGCACAAAATCAAATGTGGGGGAAAGAGCGTCCGTGCAGCTGACACCACTAGAAATTCGCCCAGGTGCTCATAGGTTACGATCCATCCTCAGTAGCCCGCATGCAGGAAACAACAAGATTCAGGAAGTGACGGAGACTATGGACATGCTACGTTTTTGGACCTTATGGCATGAAAAAGAGCCATTGATAGTCATCACCATCACTCTCACTTCATGTCTCTTGCGTTGACTTCAATGTGGATCTGCCAGCAAAAAAACGGACCGTTATGCGGTTCTCAAATAAGTTTTTTTTGGTAATGCGAAATCCTGATGATGTACCCGTGCCCTTTTTTCCCCTCATGAGCAAATGTGGCAATATTGGAAAATTGATACTTCATATCAAGTGACATAACATATGTTTGTGTACTATACATACATGTATGTAGATAGATTAGATCGACAAACAAACATATAGATAGATGGGTGGATAGATGGGTGGATGGATGGATGGATAGGTAGATAGCTAGATAGATGGACAGATAGATAGATAGATGCCTGAGAAAGGGGGAATGAAAGCCAGCTCTGGTAATGAAAACCCCTTCGCACAGCAAATTGCCTGCGTGCAAGGCCTTCAACATTGAAATCCTACAGTGTTAGCGTAGCCCTAACTGCACAGAAAGTTTTGAGGCAAACATCATGAAACTCTGTTGGCGGCTTACGTATCTTCAGTCTCTCGAGCAATATATGTTTCTCCATCTATTTGTTTAACTGGCTAGAAACCGGACTGAAGGGGAATCGATACCCTACTGCAGCAAATTTCCTGCGCGTAACACCTTCAAAATTGGAATTCTTCTGCTGGAGCAAGCCCGTAAGCATCACGACTGAGAGGATTAAACTTCCTGCGCGGAACACCTTCAAAATTAAAGTTCTCCAGTTGCAGCAAACCCGCAAGCATCACGACTGCGAGCATTAAACTTCCTGCGCGGAACACCTTTAAAATTGGAGTTATCCAGTGGTCGCCTTACTAAAATTCGTTACAGTTCTGTTAGACTGCAGCATCTGCTTATGATTGCATCCGTAATCTTTTTTTTGATTAGATAGATAGATCATTACTTTCCAGCGTGAACATGGGGAATCACCGAACATCGCCAAGCATCTCTGACATGGTCGGCAGTAAATGCCAGTGCCATTGGACTTCAGGGCACCCGCATAAGGATGATCAAAGGAAGCATCCCACGAGGTCCTACTGGGCCATAAGGTGATGGAAATGGCACTGAACTGCGGGTCATAGATGATGCTCTTGGCCACAAAATGGTGAGATGATGCCATTTGAAATATATGTTGGATGCCATTCATAACCCCACGGCCACGCGCTTATGCCCTCAGGTCCTCTTCTGCTTGACGGCTGCCTGGATAGTCGACTTCTCATCCTCCTTTTTGGCCAGCGCTTCCTTGACAGAACGACCACACAGAAGGGACCCCTGCTGTGGGGTCAAAAGAGGTCAAGCATGGGAAGCTCCTTGCGTAATTTCAAGCAAGTTCTTCAATTAATATATTTTTTAAATTAATTATTATGTATATGCATTTTAAAATCTATTTCTGTTTGATTTGGGTCCCAGCCAGTGAAAGGTACTTCGACAACAACCCCATCCCTGGGCCCTGGGCCCTGCCCGAGTCTCCGTCTTCGGCGTCGACGACACAGCCGCAGAACCGGAGGATGGCCCGCCCTTCGTCGCCTGCGGCGTGGTGCCGAAGTCGAAGTCCGCAAAGGGGTCTGGCTTCGGTGGATAGCCAGCTGCCGTGGCCGCGTCCTCTTGGGATCCCTGGATTCACATCCTATTCATTAAGGTGGGGTGCCGATAGGAAGACATCTATAGAAATCCAAGAGTCACTGGGTTTTTCCTCATTGAATGTTGTTTTTTCTATCTTTTTCTAATTCTGAGTCCTGAGTTAACATTGTCTGGGGTGGAAGCCGGGTGCAGTGATGACAGCACAAGAAACCAACATGTTAATTTGTTAATATGTCATCTTGAGCAGTGATAAGCAGTGAAGCTGTCATGAATGGTGCGATGTTGAACGTCAGCAAAGTCGGGGTGGCTGCTAGGGGCAAGTGCAACAACGCACCCTTCAATAAATGGGATCAAGGCCACACAACATCGGGAGCATTCGCTGGTGTTGACTTCAGGGAATCTTCATTTCAAACTGCAAAAAATATCAAACGGTGATTTATTCCTTGCCTTTGTTTATTTCTTGCAGCAGGTAGATGCAGGTAGGTCGCGTGTGTGTCCTTGAAACCTAATCTGGAAACTATCCCACACATGAAACAGCCAAACATCAGTACCAGGCGATGCCAGGCCGTACCGAAGGATCAATATGTTTTTTGTTCAAAAATGAGGTACCCCAACTCAATATCATGGTTGATCATCGTTTTCCCTATTCCCTATCCATCCAAAAATTGCCATTGCCGTTGTGTTAATCCTCCCAGTCTTGGGCAAAACACAGCAACAAATATAGGCTAATTATATCGACATGTTCATATCATTTTTGGCAGTTACTAGTTGAATCATGTTAAATCCACATTTTTCTCGATTCAACCCCCAGAAAATGTTGTTGTTAATATCTTTAAATTGAGTAATTGACACATTCTTCACCTCCATCTTGGGATTTCCATATCTTCAGATCTCCCAAGGCCTGTCCTTCTCCACCTTGGGCTCCGCCTTGGGCTTCGCCGGCGCCGGCGCCGCCTTCGCCTTTGCCGACGCGTCGCCGGCGTCGCCGCTGAAGTCGCCCTTGGCCTCGCGCGCCTTCTGCGCCTGCGCGCGCTGCTCCTTGCGCCGCTTGTCGCGGTCCTGGGAGGTCATGGGGATGGTCGAGGTCAAAATGATCTTACCCTCTGGTAAACTAACATAGCTATGGAAAATCACCATTTTTAATAGGTAAATCAACTATTTCTATGGGCCATTTTCAATAGCTATGTTAAATTACCAGAGGGTAACCCCCGTAGTTATGATTCATTATGATGGATAAGATAGGCCTCCTACTCAAATAATGGCATTGTTTGCCTTTTTCTAGGTCAAGAGTTAACACATAAAGACAAGTGAAATGTTACAACTATTCTACTGGGATACTGTATCTGATGATAGTTGACTTTTCTATCATAATTTGGGCCTTGCCTTTTGATGATACCCCAAACATGGATGGCCTAGAACAGCTGATCACAATCTGTGAGAGAAAACGGAGTTGAAAGGAAAGGAAACACGGCTTGACCTAATAGACATAGGGATAGTACCAAGCTTTTTGAGGGGTGTCAGCAATTCTTCCTGGGTCGATACATGACATCTGTACGACATTTTTGGCGCAGAATGCAAAGTGAATCTAGCAGCAGAAGGTTCAATAGAGAGGATTTCACGCCCATCCGGGGAATCTACAATCTACAAGAAACAAAGAGACGTTCGGCCTGAACATTTAATGGTTTGAACTACACAAAAACGCTGGCATTTGACAATTTTCGTTGGTGGTTTCAACGAGCCCAAAAAATCATCTATTCTCAGCAGCAGAAATGCCATGATTGACCAGAGGATGATTTTTTTGCAGTGCTGGGGTATCCTCGAACAAAGTGGAACAGTGGAACTATCCTTAAATTTCAGTCCAACATGAAAATCCAATCATCCAATCACCCCAAGTCATTCCCAAAAGATCCACTCCAAGGCCACCTTCTGATCCGCCAAATCTGCTTCCAGACGTTGCAGGAAACTCTCAACGGTCTGTGGCACTTCCCCGACGGCTTCCAGCAGCGCTGCGCACTTGCTCTTGATCTCCTTGGTGCGGAGATCGGGAGCTTCTACAAGGGGGTGCCCCAGAATTAGTTGGTCTAGAAATAGGTGACCTATAGGTGACCTGGGATTTATCGATATTTGTGGTATAGATATATCATGAGTTATCAAGAATTTTCATGATATAATGATATATCTATATGATAATGAGGGTTATTAACCAATTTCAAGTAGGGGCACCACTGTGCAACACCAAAATAAAGCACCATTTACAAGAGGTAAATCGGAACGTCATGGGAAACACGGGGAATTTCAATTTGAACGGAATTTTCCATCAAATATTGGTTGGAACAACCAAACCATCAAACCAATACATTGTTCCCATACGTCGGTGATGCAACCCGTTGTGGCAAGTTTCCGGGGAGCCGCTCCGTGCGATCAGGCGGTAGTTGAAGTGCATAGCCAGCGTGGAAAGTGTCCTGGGTATCCCCGCGGCTCCCCTGTGGCGCGACAGTCCAACCGTTTCACCTGGGGTGAACACCACCGGATCATCCTACGAAAGTCATTAATCTCACTGAGCAAGTCCCCCTGGGATCCCAAATGTAACTTGGTCAAATGATCCACGACGTAGCAACCCCCTTACCCCCACCATCACCAAGGAGCGCTTGGACATCCGCCAGGGCCGACACGCAAAGAATCTCCGCGCCCTGCTTCAGAAATTTTCGCAGCTTGGCTTCGGCGCCACGAGTGTCGTCATGGCCTTGGGCTTCCCCTAATGGAAATCGCTCTCTGTTACTTTTGGGCATGGGTCATCCAGAAAGTTGTTAAAGATCATTATCAAAAAAACATATATCTAGGAATCTAGGACTGTCAAAGCCCCTTTCTACGCCCTTTGCGCAAATGCCATGGGCAAGTCACGGAGGGTTTTGATCTCATTCGCCACGAAGCGTTCCACAAAGAGGCGCAAAATGTTCAGAGCAGGCTGTGCATTGGCCTTCCTGAGGTTTCCCCCAAGCCCATGGAGGTCAAATCTATAGCCTCTGGGAGTTTTCTTAACCTGTAAAAATCATAGAATCCAAGTGCAAAGTGTTGATTGATTCCAGGTTTTTTATTCAGTCCCTAAGGGTTTCAACCCGGAAAAAAAAATGCTCGTCAATGCGGGCCATACCCACAACATCCCCATTGTTTGATGATGAGAATCCGCTGATTCCTTTCCCAGTATATACACAATTTCATCTCACAAGATCCATTCATTATTGTCTCGCAAGATCCGTTCATTATTATTGATAAAAAAAACATTAAATTTCCCCGAAATCCTTAAATCAAAGACGCCCATGTTGGTTAATCAGACATGGCTAACTGGGAATTCCCCGTACTAAATGGAGGTTAATAGCAGGGAAAATCATGGAAGGACCCTCTGTTTAGTTGAGATAGAAAATGGTCCATCTTTAGATGATGACAATGATAATTTACCTTTAAAACATGGTGATGTTCCATAGCTACGTTAAATCACCAAAGGTTAATTTAGTAATTGTCATATATCTCATTTACATCCATGAAATCATCATAAATCCCTGAAAACTATATAAAACTATATTAAACCCCGGTTTTGAGATCAACATGTCCATGATTTTTGTTGCCATCTAAGTGGCAAAGCCTTCTCGCCACTGATCTCGTCTCGTGACTTCTTCGCCTTCTCCCATAGGCGCACCGTGTTGTCGTGCACGTCCATGCGCAGCTTCTTCACGCGCTCGTTGGGAGGGAGACCTGCATGGGGATGCTGGGAAAGTGGGAAACCAAGGTCATTGAAATGGGGGATTTAAGATAATTTAATTAACCAACATAGGTTTTCACCAACTAACATGACTTTTGCATGTTTTTTTTGTTGACTGCTTTCGATAGTTCTAGATGCCAATGATGATAATGATGATTCTGGTTCTAGTCGCATATACCCTCTGGTAAATTAACATAGACCCTGGCATTCATCGGGGTTGGAAGACTAGTTTCCATTAAACATGGGTGATTTTCAGGGTCCAACTGTTTATTTACCAGAGGGTAATGGGTTGTGTAGGAGCTGTCTGTGGTGTCACTTGTAATCATCCCTGTAAGGCAGCCCAGCCAAAAACGCTACTGGCTTCGTTGTTCAAAACGCGACGACGTGGTCAGCAACTGGTTTGTTAAATATGCCAAACATGAAATGACATGAACGTGTAAAATAATGTGTTAATAGACTGTATAGACAATGTCTGTGGATGTGGCTACAGGCCCAGTTGCGGTTCTTCTCTTCCTCCTCCTCTTTTTCTTTTTGTTTCTTCGCTTCCTGTCACCATGGCCCCATCTATGGGCCCCAAGGGAAGCAACCTACCCAGAAAGCCCATCTTTTCCCATGAATCTTGGAGGGGGGTTCTAAGATTTATTTAACCGCCATGGTGGATTTTCCTAGAAAAAAGAACTACCTCAAAACCCCAAACCCATCGAACATGGTGGGGGTTACAGGTTGGTTTCCACCTTATCACCTTTGATTTTGTCTTAAAAAAAGGGGCTCTGTCCTCTTCTTCGGGATCGTCGACGGTGTCCTTCTTCTCACCGTCACCCTCCTCTTTCTCAATCTCCGTGAGGCGTTCCTGGAGAGGTGTGCTGAAGCTGCTGCCCGAATGGGAGAGATGGATCATGGTTCATGATTCTTCTTCATCATCATCATCATCATCACCATCCCAAAGAAAGCTTCAGAACTGATTCAACAAAAAGGATGCACAGCGCCCCCAGCCCTGGCCCAGCAGGCCCAGCTGCCTTCATCTCTTGCAGTTCCTGGAATTTCTCAGGATCACCTCCTTTGTCAGGATGCAGCTCCAAAGCCATCTTCTTGTACACCGCATTAATGTCCTGGAGATGGTCAACAAAAAAAAGATGGACGTTGGTGCCATGAAAGAAATCAGATGATTCTGGGAATATAGATACCATATAGATCTATATAATTGCCATTCCATTATCATAGATATATTGCCATTCCATTATCATAGATATGTATCATAATATCATAGATATCTGTCTGGTAATATCTTAGATACTGCAATTGTTCTGGAATCGTCACTGCTTAGACAAATATATATCTGGTTGGTGGTTTTAGCCCCTCTGAAAAATATGAAAGTCAATGGGAAGGATTATCCCATATATGAAATGGAAAATAAAACATGTTTGAAACCACCAACCAGATATGTAAATATGTCTTGCCTAGATCACCAATCACACTGCCATCATTCGAATTGCAAAGACATGACCAACACTGTGCGAAGCACCGCAGCCAAGACACGTTCATGCTCCTTGGTAGCGTTGAAAGGGTCACTTTTCGATGCAATTTTCCAGGTCCCCAATCCCCGGGGACACCAGTTGTGGTCAAATAACTGGGACGGCTTTATAAACTGTAAATGTCTAAACCAGTTTTAAGATATTTAAAACAGTGTTTTAGATCATTTTTACCAAAAGCTGATCACAACTAATCTAATCCCTGTTTATCGCCAAGTCTCGAGTCAGGTGGCAAACCCAAAAATGCCAGGGCCGAGCGCTTCTGCAGGCTGCGCAAATTGGCATTCACTGAGTCGCGCCACTTCTGGATGCGCCCCACCTAGCGGGTGGATGCGGGTGGAACGGCGGGAAATCCCCGAACGAAATGGCCTTTTTTTAATGGGAAAATCAGTGAACTATCTGTAGAATTGGATCCAACGCACCATGTTTGTGCAACCACTATTAGAAATAATATTGGTTCCAATCCAGCAAAGTGGTGATGTCAATTTACACAGGCACTGTTTCCATTCGCCTTTCACCGCTTTCCGAATCAAGTCTCGGCGACCTATAGAGACTGAATCACTCTGGTGCATTGGTCGTAAGTGAGAAATGAAACCGAAACGACCAAGCAGGATCCATAACATAGGAAAGCCTAATAGGGAGCAGTCATCTTTAATCCGATTTCCCTCTTTACTCCCCTTAGAACATCTTAGAACCACTGGCAGTTTAGCGTATTGGATCTCATGGGAAAAATGGTGGAGTCACTGGCAGAGCTGCTGTCAGTTGACAATGGCTTTCCCACCGTGTTGGCCCTAAAACACACCCCCTGCAAATTGCCAGAGGAGCTTCGGTCCCCATTAAAAAAAAAATATATTTCATACAATAGTTCCACCCCCCTGAAAATATCATGGACGAGGAGACGAGTTCCAACACAAATCGTGCAAACATGATCTATAGATCCAACATGATCCAACCACATTTGGATCCAGCCTCATCATCAGTCTCATCCATGCTGCAGGCCTGCAAAATATGTCCAAAACCCAGAAACACTGCTGCATGGCAAGCTGAAAACACCTCAAAACTTCTTTTGTTTGGCCTTGCCATTCACTCTTGGTGAAACTGCCTGGATGGTCGAGGACATTTTTGGGGTCACACCCTGCAAGGTGGTGCCCCAGTTCGTAAGCTCTCTCGGTTGATTTATAACTTCAAAAACTTATATATATATATATATCGTATTTGCATTAATTATATATATAAATATATTTTTCCATTCACTCGCTATATATAAATATATATATATATATGTGTGTGTATGTATATATATATAATCATATATATAGATATTAATATACGTATAATATACATACCACCTTGTTAGTTCTCGTTTGATTGCAAACCACCAGGTACATCCAGGTAGCCAACCTCCATGTGTTCATCTAACTCTTCCGTGCCTAAGGCGGCTAAGGCGGCGTGGCTGTTAAGGCGAAAAAGGACACAGATGGACGAAGTAAATGTGCCACGTCCCAGTGAAGTGAAATTGGTTTGCATTACCCTATAATATGATATAATATGTGTATATTTACAAGATTTGTGTATATTTACAAGATTTAACATACTTATAGATATGATATAAGTTACAAGTAAACATGTTGAGTTCCATGCAAGTACATTCCAAAATGGCATCAATCTAAAAATAAATGTGAAAAATCGATTGAGACCCAGCCAACTCCTTCAAGCTAAGGTCCAGTAGCTTGGATGCTGGGCATAAACTATCAAGAAATGAAGCAAGGTCCTCGCCTCTGGATCCAGTCCAAGATCGACACACTGCTTTCCCACCCTAAGTTGGCCCATGACATACCATGACTTTCAGAGCCCCCACCAGTCCCATGGTCAGTCCCATGGCTTCGGTTCTGTCCAGTTGCTCATCACAATCTCTTTCGCCACACTGTCCGCGTCCAATGAGCCCATCCGTTGTCGAAGCTCTGACTCCGTGAAGAGACGCAGGGGCTGCTTGGGATTCCTCGTGGGAACCACTACCATTGTGGGGGAGGGTAGGGCGTGTCAAGAATTGGCCAAGTAATTTTTGCAAAGAGTATGGTGATCAATGGACACTGTTCAAATTTCCTAGTGAAAAACTCTGAAATCTAATAATATTGAAGATTATTGAAGGGTGGGAGACTGAATAGAAAGCCATAAGACCATGAACACGGAGTCAGCATCAAGAGACCAACTAGCAGCAGCAAATAGCAGCAGCGCTTGTTTTTCCAGATGGGAAGCCGAAGGAAACCCAGTGCTCAACTACATGCATTCCCATACCACTACAAACTCCAAGTATGCACGGGTGGGGGGCGAACAGCAGAAGCTACATCAAATAGTCAACATCCTGTTGAAATCAGAGCTCAACCCCTTGAAAATGACTTGACATGACTCGACTACAAACAAACTCAGAAAATCCATCACCTCCCAACCCTCTGGTGTCATCAGCTCCATGGCTGGAAAACCCCCCATTTACTTCGAAGATTTCGCTGAAAACCTCCAGGATTTCACCATATTTTACCCCAGCTATGTTCGAATTATTTCACCATAACTCCAATTAACTCCAGTTCTTTCATCACCTTAAAGCCAAGCTTCGTCTCGCCATGAGACTTGTACCTTGAAACAAATGTAAAAACGCAAGACGCTCTGAGAGTTGCTGGCTTTTGGTATGGCTAAAATGCACCATTTAGAAACCCCAAAAAAGATAGAGATAGATAGAGCATGTAATTATTATAATATCATTATCAATATTGTAAGTAAGTAGGGTTTCACTTTTGTATCTTCTGGGGCGGTTGCTGCATATGGTGTACATGATTTGGTGAGTTCCACCGAAGAAAAATCATTGAACCTGCCCATGCCAAACCAGCTACTGGGATGAACTCTGCGAAGCCTGAAACAAAGTTCCCAAAGTCAATGCAAGTCGTAGTCAAACCCACTTGAACCCACTTGAAAACATGAGCATCGATATCTGGTCTAACTTAAGTCTTAAGTTGAACAACTTCATCCAGTTACCAGCCACTTCTACCTGATTTCCTTTGGGTCGTAATATCGTTGCATTCCTTCATGTTTAGACTTTCGGGCTTAAGCATTAGGACATCAAAAAACACCAAGGCATCCTCAAGATTCAGATCCCACAAGCTGCAGCTCAGGGTGCTGGAACATCTCCTCAGACTTCAATTTGTTCAGTTTGCTGAGCAGTGGCAGCACCACCAGACCCAGTCCCAGCACCGCAGTGCCAGCGGCCAGACTCGGCTCCGCATAGTTAATAACCAAGCCTTGGCAGGCTTGGAACCTGCAACCCCCTCAAGTAGTCTTGGATGATGTCCTGCCCGTCATAACATAAGATTGGAATCTTGGAAGTCCGAACCCCACTGGGAACCTGGAAATGAGTCTTAGCACATAGGCCCATCTCCATTGACATCATGGAGTCTTGGTTAGTGTTGGAGTGACCTGAAAACTGAGAACTCGGGCAGACCTTGCCCCAAACAGCTAAATCTTCATCCTTGGAATCCTTGGGTTTCCACGTATCAAAGCCTTAAGGTTGAGCACCAATGCCATGACATTCATCCCAAGATGGTTCCACAGATACCCATCCCAGAATGGCGCAGCTCTGGGCCCTTTTCAGTCGCTCAAAATCGCGTTCCAACTCAGTCTCCAAATGTCTCCCTTGCGGAGCCCTGGCAAAGACTGAGAAAATCGCGTTCTGATGTCGCAGGTGTCTTAAAATTCACTGCGTTCAGAGCGCTCATGGGTGGCCTACCTGGGTGCAGGAGGACCAAGGTTGGACGCTTCCCTGACAGCTCAGACTTCTACAAAGGGTAGTTATATAAGTTGGAACCAAGTTCCAACTTGAAGCCCATTAATCTTCAACAGCAACCCTATCACTCCTTGCATGTTTGACCCCAACAGCAACAGGTCATCATCGAATCATCTGGATACACACCATCCTGAATGTCATCCTAGGTCCTAGCACTGCCAAGAAGAATGCGGAAAAGTCAGTCACCCAATCCCAAAGTATAGTGGTAATGGTAGATTTATTATTAATTTAATAGTTTGATCTTTTGGGGAGTTGCTATATGTTACCATATATCGGTCTGTCTGACAATAGGGTACGGGTACCCCCCAATTCCAGTAGATGATCGCCATATCATTTTTTCCCCATGAAATAGCCATTGGGGGGGCAATTCATCGCCATTTCCAAAGGCACCCAAAGATCAAGTTGATTTTATATCCCAAGTATATTCTCCAAATAATTGTCCATATGAATTTTCAATATGAATATATTTTACAGTAACTACTATTATTAATCATGGGTCATCACCAAACCATGAGGTGTATCATCTATAATGGCCATTAAAGGGTGGTGTCCAATATCCCAAAAATGGGACATTTACCAATCCCTGTTAATTAATATATAATACAATATAAATACAACAAAATCACCACCTGGCCCAACATCCCCATGGCATCCCTCCCGGCCAGGTGCTGCTGGTCCGAGACGTTGCCCTTTGGACGTTGCCCTTTGGCCGTTGCCAGCGGTGCTTCTTGGCCAAGCTCAGCAGATCGTCCAGCGGCAGCGACTTGGGCCGCTCGATGGGCAAATTCACCTGGCGAAGCGCTGGGAGGGAAACCCATGAAAAACGCGTCGTTGAAGAACGGGGAAAGCATAGGAAAACTCGAAGAATGTGGGCAAATGCCGGATTTATAGAAACATATAGAAACTATTGAGCAAATGATTTTAAGAATCCAGGTCTCATTCTAGCCCAAAAATGCCCAAGGTCTGTTGCTCCTGCAGTCTGTTGCTTCTGTTATCTTCATATAATATTATATATTATAATACATCAGGTATAATCAGGTATACAGTTATACCGCACCCCCCCTCGTTTCAACCCTGCCATTCTCATTGCCATTCTCAGCCAGCCGCAACGCCGCCCGCTGGCCGCCAAGGTGCAGCTCGGGACCAAATGTACTGAGCCATGACGCCCATGGTGCGGGACACCGCGAAGACCACCGTATAGAAGTTCTGCTCTCCTGGGGACGCTACGATGATGGTACGTTCTGGTACGACCCAGTTATGAATTGGTTTATAAACCCCATTAACTATAGTTATAAGTACCATAAACCACAGTTATTGGAGTTATAAGCCAACTTAACTATCTAGGGGGCACCACATTGTACGATCTGGTACGATTTTTTGGGCGATTCCCGAGACTTCGGCCTAAGAATTCTGGTCGGCTGGTCGAACTTTTCGAAAGAGACTGCTGGCTGGTTATGACTAACAGTTCGCCATGGAAAACCAATGGAAAACCAATGGAAAACCAATGGAAAACCACCATTTATAATAGGTAAATCCACTATAAATGCTGGTGTTTGTTTCAGCCAAAAAAAATCTGAGTCAGTCACTTGGAAAATCATCCTCCCTATCCCAAACAGGACTGGCTCATCCCGTGGGACCTTGGAGAAGGTTCAATCCGATACGTGTAAATATAAGAGGCTCAAACATCATTGCATAGTGATTTCACTACATATTTCACTGTCTAAGACACAATGGCTTCATCTATGACATGTTTTTTAATTTAAAGTAATTTATAAACATATTTATACCATATAATTATATACCGGACATTACAGTAGCATCTGCTTCTAACCAGCTCTGCGTCTCTTGGGTCCCCAAATTAGGTCCCCTTAGGTAACTTGTTCCGCGTCCCAGTGGCGAAGGTTATAAAAATACATCAGCTGGCCGCTATGGGCATCGACGTTGGGATATGGATTCTTGACCTTGCCTGGCAAGATTTCTGGGCGACCCAGACTCAGTCAAGATAAGAAGAAGAAAACATGAAACTGCTGAAGGTTTTGTAGCTTTGACCTTGCAGGAACAATTATTCAGTGAAAACATCTGAAAATGATGGCAAACCCTCAAACTCGCTCTGGGTCCGTCTAGAAATTCCAGACTGTCAGATTTGATCAGATTTGCTTTTGGAATACAACTCTCACTGTGGATGTGCAAACACATCTTTCCGCATCCTGCCGTCATGCCTTGCTTCAAGAGCACGGGAGGAATGGCTTGATAGCATGCGTCCTGGGACCGGGAGCGCTGCTTCATCTGTTGGATTTTCATTTTCCAGATGTCCAACGCAATGTCCAAACCATGGTGACGTGCATGATTTCTCTTGAACCAACTGAATAACAAGAAAGAATAACAAACAATAACAAACACATCCCCTAGTTCACTACAAACTCCATCCGCAACGTAGGAAAACACTCTATGGCCATTGTGTCTTGGCACATTTGTGCACGCCCAGCGACGACCAACTGGAAGAGGGGATCATCCGCGCAGTGCTTCAAGGCAAAGTCACGTTCCAACATGTATCGTGGATCTGTGTTTCCTCGGAATCCAGGAGCAACATCATGTGGAAAAGCTGGTCCTAACTCAACAAATGCATATGTATATATATATATATTATAATCATACAAATATGTAATTTCACAGTGAAACCAAACCAAGACAAACTGGTTGAAAAGATCTACTCGGAAAGAGAAAAAAACGAAATCCTTTGAGTTGCAAGAATCCTTAAAGCCAACCATACAACCTCAAACAACATCAAACAACAACCATTGCGAAGTGGGTTAATACGAAGTTCGATTTGGTTGACTCAAGTTTAAGACAAACACAAAAAGTATCAAAAAGTTTTGGATAAACTATAAACTTAGTATAAACCTATAGAAACTACATGTAAAATCATATAAACTTTAGATAAACGTAGTATACGAGTTGTGTTAACCTCCACTTCAATTTCCCCTTCCGAATTGTCAAGTGACTCAGCACGGCGTGGCCAAAGCCTGGGATGACCTTGCCTTCCTGCGGCTGGACATAGACTCAACGATGACTCAAGTGACTTAATGGTTAATGATGGTTAATATTAATGGTTAATGATGGTTAATGATGGTTAATAACTATCATAATTACTAATGTTGGTGAATTGAGTGAATATTATATAATGGTTAATATTAATGGTTAATGATGGTTAATTACCTAATCTGGTTTTATGTGGTTTTTAACCATATTGAAAAATGATGGAGTTCGTCAGTTGGGAAGGATTGAATCCGTAGCTATTATTATGGAAAATCAAAAATGGTCCAAGCCACCAACCAGAATAACTGCACGTATATAAATATATTACTGCATAGTATATATAGTATGTATGCGTCCGTCTTACGGTATGCGTACGCATATGATGGGGATAGTAGCTGGCGTAGCGACCTTTGGGGTAACTGTCCCTATGCAAGGCCAAGGCTGGAAGTTGTCACGTCACTAACTGCTGTTCCCAAAGTGACACTGGCGAAATGGTGCTACCGGATTTGGAAACACAAACCCTTCACTGTATTCTTGTTGGCTACATGTGGCTACTGGTGATGTTTCCAATGGCTTGAATCTTACCACCAAGTACCATAGACTTCCTGCTTGGTGGTTTTTCAAAAAACCCGATCTGATCGCCGTTGGGGATCCTCGATCCAGTCCCAGATCTGCTTGGAGATCTGCTTGGTGGTTACGAATCCCCTGTTAAAACATGGCTAAAACTTCATTAAAACCCCATCTTTCTTGGTGTTTTTTTAATGGTTCAATAGTTTAATCCATGTGAAAAATCGCCGGACCTTCAGGGTCTTGTTGGCAAAGTCGGTCATCAGCTCCTGGCAGCTGAGGACGATTTTTTTTTTTGCGGATGTTAGTTAAATAGTATGGAAACAGTATGGAAATCAGAGTAGAATAATTCTAGTTATATAATTAATCAACATTCCTTACTCATACATTTTGTGATGGAAATAATTGTATGGGCACGTTAGTATTGGAGTTGAATTCTTAATTCAACTATAAGTAAGAATGGGACATGCTATTTTTTGTCAGGTATATGATTGTGAATTATAGTTATCATTGGGTATGCAACATGTAACATGACACGGACTATAGTAGTATGATGTACCACATGTGGAGCCTAAACTTTCTGTAGTTGGCCCTCAATATCTGAACGATCCCGTGCCACAAACGGAGGACCACCCAATGACTAGCGAGTCATTGCCTCCGTTATTTCGCGTGGACTCCCATACCACTAACTACGCATTGTTTCCAGCTGTTTTTTCCAAGATATGATTCAATGATCAAATTTATGTCTCAAAAACTCTAGTTTTCAACACGTCTTAGTTCATGGCCAGCTCTTCTCAGTATCTTTCCTACACTATCTTTAGGATGTCGCAGAAATCCATCGACCAAACGTCCTTGGTGGGTTTCTGCCCATGCAGCTGCTTTTGGACATCCAAGAGCCAGGACAAACACTCCTGGCTCAGCAGCACTGGATGGCAGCGATTTTTTCTCCAAGTGGCTTAGCTGGTAAGCAAAAAACACAAATCCCAAGAGTACATTTGAGCAAAGAATCTGGTTGTGCCACTTTGCTCTCCAGTAACTTAACAATACTTAGATAATTTTACGGAAAACCACGGGTTAGCCGGTGCTTCGCATTTTTGCATGTCCTGGTCTTCCATAAAACTCCTGCTCATAGACTTGTTTCAGCTCTGCGCACTTCGACCATCATCCCCTTTTCAAACGAAAGAGCACAAAGAACATCTCATCACATTTGACTCCACTCCCACATGATTCTACATCATATATCTCTACACCCATCGTTTTTCTTGATATATTTTGATGAATCTCGATCTATCCCAACATTTCATAACAGTTCCCCATGTGTTTTCCCACGTTTTTTTCCCATTTTGGCTTTAAAAAACCCATGTGGCTCGCTCCTGGTTGGCCAGGCCGTGCAAGGGCCCCGCCAGGCCGCAGAGCCCCGCAGCCCAGGCGTAGTACGGATCGCTCAAGGCCGAGCCCACCAGGTGGGTCGCGTGCGCCGAGACGTTGCCACCTGGCCGTGACTCGACGCGGAAACAACGGCAACTGAACAGGGGAAGTCCTGGTGTGGTGAACTTCACTTATTATATTAATTTATAAATATTTATAATTTAGAATGAAGTATACTTACTGTAAAATACCGACTCAACTTGTTGGCAACATATTTTTGAGAACATAAATGTAATGATATACTTTGTATAAGATCCTAAATTCTTGTGGAGTTCCTTGATAATTATTGTTCATTGGCTTCTGATGGGTTCTAGTTGGATCATCTGGATGGGCGTTTCAATCATTTTTTTGGGGGTCGGATTTGCAAACTTGGCTAATCTCGCGGATCAAAAGTAAGGGTGGTGGCACTACCATACCACCATACCTCATTTTGTTGGGTTCTAGCTGGGTTCTTGCAGGCCGGGAGGTACAGTATCTCACATGGATTTCTTCAACATGTAGAAACCATAGTTGCCAACATGCCAACAATCCAGTGATGTTCCAAATGGTCTCAGCTTTTTTCCGCGATGGTCTCAGCTTTTTTCCGCGTCTTGCATTTGTTGAAGGTTCTCATCTGTTTCGCACAGGAGTTCCCGAGCCCCGACTATGCCGCTGGGATTGGGATCGCACCTTCATGATCCGCATGAAGCATCAGGTACAAACGCACCGCCTCCTTGAACCCTTCGCTCTCATTCACCCCCAGCATCCTAAGCCGGACGATGGGAGGCTCCTCTGTATGTCTGGTTGATGTCCTGGTATTTTAAGGCAGCGTTCAAAGATTTATCAGAATTAAAAACCTGACAGGATCAAGAAAATATATGATGTATCAATATGTGTCAATACTTATGATCCCACTGAAAATCTTGGTGCCATTGGGGCGATTGGTTGATTTTCTAGCCAAGTTGCTGGGCAAAGTTGGCTGCCCAGTCCAACTTGGTGTCGTAGGCAGGCACTTTGCCATCATGAAAGGTCCTGTTGGTCATCAAGAAACATCAAACAACGACCCTTCTCCATTCTTGATCATGTGTGGGATCCTAAATTTGGCCGTCGCATCTGTCGCCCATCTTAAAGTGGCTTGAAAATGTCTCGCAACCCTTCATTTTTGGGTGAAGATCTGTACCTCTTTTAGTGACTCTTGAGGGTCAACATGTCCATTTCCATCCCGTTTCAAGGGCGTGTCCAAAGCTACACCACCCGGGACCTGGCCTACGATAGATCGTGGCCGCGATGACGGGGATTTTGGCCTTAACGACTGGGTGAGATCTATCCACCTGGGGTAGAATGGGATATGATTAACTGGTATTAGGGGTAAGAAAATATGCTTGAACCTTTGTTGTCCAAGATCCAACAAGTCTTATTGCATACTTACTTGTGAAAGCAATGAGAAAAAAACAGTAAAATGTTGGCAACATCGGGTTTTTCCTATTTTCGCGACATGGTTGGCAAGAAATCTTTGCAGCCATTCATATGATGTTCTCCAGGAATCGTCAATTCTCCAGGATACAAGGTATGCCGCTAAACCAGTTCAATTCTTGAAAGGGTGTAAACATGTGCAAACCCTCCATAGAACTCTGAATACTCTTAGGGATAGTTGATCATGCATCCCGTGAGAGGAAGGTTATGTTCACAATCACTGCCGTAACTGTAGACATCCAGTAGAAACGATGTAGAAGCAGCACCTTTTGCGACGCCAAGTGGCAATAACGTCCAAACAATCTTCCAGGGCATACGCCCAATAGTCATCCTTCTTCATGCCCTCCTGATACTTCCTTGGGAATGCGAAGCACTTTGAACTGTGGAACCCCAGTGCATTCAAGTTCTCAGTGGGTACTGAGTGAAGATGACCCCAAATCAGCAACATGTTCAGCTTTTTGGCATGTGGCTTATACAATTTCACTTGGCCCTGGCTGCTGAGCAAGTCCCCAATTTAGAAATCATTAGGAAATAGTGCAACATAATACTCCTATATATATATATATACACCTTATAACACCCTTTCTAACTTAACTATTATACCCATTGATCTAATGGTAGGCCCCGGCCACGTGCCACCTGGCGCCCGCCCGTACGGCTCACGGCTCGCGACTTGAAGAACTTGGAATCCTTCTGCAACGCCAGCATGGCCACCGACAGCTGCGTCATGGGATGCGTTTGAATCGGCAAGGAGTCGATGGTGGACTTCACCTCAGCCCACGACACGGAAAGGACGGTCAGAAAAATGCGCCACGACTGGATGGATGGTTTAACACTTACAAAAAAAATGGCCAAAAAAACAACAACAATATCAAAAATTACGACATTTATGGTATAAACCATCCACATGAACTGAAATAGATGGTTCCAATAACAAACCATGACCACCAACTGGCCCATCCCTGGGTGGTTGACCTCATAGGTGGCCCATCAAACTGGACACATCTGGAAAGACATGATCTAGAATATGATCATTCTTGAGGTTCCACTTTAACTTTTCAGGAAGATAGGAACACACACACACATATATATATATATGTCATGATATTTCATGTTGGTGGATGATGTTTGATTCAATCCGTTGCTAGGATCTCAGATGTTTTTCATATCATAGCGATTCCACCAGCCCCCCAGGGTGACTCCCTCCACAATAGTGGTTCATAAGCCCTTCTAATCGTGGTTGTGAGCACCTTAAGCCTTCAACAAAAACAAATTTCAACAGATCCATCAGTTGATGGGTACACCTTTTATGACTTTACAGGTCTTTCCATAGGGTTTCCGCAATTTTCCGCCATGTTTTCCAGATGATTCCTCTATGATCAATGGATTGGCTTAAGGGAAAATCTTAAGCGGAAACAATCCATTTTCCTATAAACTATGCGTGTTTCCGCTTATTTTGTTTTTCCCCTTAAACCAATCAATTTCCGTATGATTTCCATAGCTTTCCATAGCTTTCCACCATTTTTCCATAGGATTTCCCTATGATTTCGTCATTTCAGCCATGGATTGCAGCTGCTTCCCAGGGACGTTCTCCGGAATGGCGGAGCGTTTGTGGAACTCCTCCGTGAGGCCCTTGACCTGCGCCGGATTTTTTTCCCAGGGCGCTGTGAAATGACCAGAGGGTGTGCTGTAGATGAAAAAAACATCAGGATCTACATGGATGAAGGGATATATATATATGTGTTTTATTATGTTATATTATATTATAATATATTATATTACATGATATTATATTATATTTTATGAAATTATATTTTATTATATTATATTATATTATATAAAATTATATATTATTATATTAGTATATTATATTTTATTTTATATTATATTTAATTATATGTTATTATATTACATGAAATTAAGTTATACTATATTTTTAAATATATTACATGAAATTACATGTATGCATGTATGTATGTATGTAGGTAGGTAGGTAGGTATGTAGGTATGTATGTATGTATGTATGTATATGTATGTATGTATATGTATGTATGTATGTATATGTATGTTATGTATGTATGTATGTGTATGTGTATGTATGTATGTATGTAGGTAGGTAGGTAGGTAGGCAGGTATGTATGTATATGTATGTATGTATATGTATGTATGTATATGTATATGTATGTATATGTATGTATATGTATGTATATGTATGTATATGTATATGTATGTATGTATGTGTATGTATGTGTATGTGGGTCCAAGTGATGGTCTCAGTGCCAACAATCCAGTGATGTTCCAAATGGTCTCAGCTTTTTTCCGCGATGGTCTCAGCTTTTTTCCGCGTCTTGCATTTGTTGAAGGTTCTCATCTGTTTCGCACAGGAGTTCCCGAGCCCCGACTATGCCGCTGGGATTGGGATCGCACCTTCATGATCCGCATGAAGCATCAGGTACAAACGCACCGCCTCCTTGAACCCTTCGCTCTCATTCACCCCCAGCATCCTAAGCCGGACGATGGGAGGCTCCTCTGTATGTCTGGTTGATGTCCTGGTATTTTAAGGCAGCGTTCAAAGATTTATCAGAATTAAAAACCTGACAGGATCAAGAAAATATATGATGTATCAATATGTGTCAATACTTATGATCCCACTGAAAATCTTGGTGCCATTGGGGCGATTGGTTGATTTTCTAGCCAAGTTGCTGGGCAAAGTTGGCTGCCCAGTCCAACTTGGTGTCGTAGGCAGGCACTTTGCCATCATGAAAGGTCCTGTTGGTCATCAAGAAACATCAAACAACGACCCTTCTCCATTCTTGATCATGTGTGGGATCCTAAATTTGGCCGTCGCATCTGTCGCCCATCTTAAAGTGGCTTGAAAATGTCTCGCAACCCTTCATTTTTGGGTGAAGATCTGTACCTCTTTTAGTGACTCTTGAGGGTCAACATGTCCATTTCCATCCCGTTTCAAGGGCGTGTCCAAAGCTACACCACCCGGGACCTGGCCTACGATAGATCGTGGCCGCGATGACGGGGATTTTGGCCTTAACGACTGGGTGAGATCTATCCACCTGGGGTAGAATGGGATATGATTAACTGGTATTAGGGGTAAGAAAATATGCTTGAACCTTTGTTGTCCAAGATCCAACAAGTCTTATTGCATACTTACTTGTGAAAGCAATGAGAAAAAAACAGTAAAATGTTGGCAACATCGGGTTTTTCCTATTTTCGCGACATGGTTGGCAAGAAATCTTTGCAGCCATTCATATGATGTTCTCCAGGAATCGTCAATTCTCCAGGATACAAGGTATGCCGCTAAACCAGTTCAATTCTTGAAAGGGTGTAAACATGTGCAAACCCTCCATAGAACTCTGAATACTCTTAGGGATAGTTGATCATGCATCCCGTGAGAGGAAGGTTATGTTCACAATCACTGCCGTAACTGTAGACATCCAGTAGAAACGATGTAGAAGCAGCACCTTTTGCGACGCCAAGTGGCAATAACGTCCAAACAATCTTCCAGGGCATACGCCCAATAGTCATCCTTCTTCATGCCCTCCTGATACTTCCTTGGGAATGCGAAGCACTTTGAACTGTGGAACCCCAGTGCATTCAAGTTCTCAGTGGGTACTGAGTGAAGATGACCCCAAATCAGCAACATGTTCAGCTTTTTGGCATGTGGCTTATACAATTTCACTTGGCCCTGGCTGCTGAGCAAGTCCCCAATTTAGAAATCATTAGGAAATAGTGCAACATAATACTCCTATATATATATATATACACCTTATAACACCCTTTCTAACTTAACTATTATACCCATTGATCTAATGGTAGGCCCCGGCCACGTGCCACCTGGCGCCCGCCCGTACGGCTCACGGCTCGCGACTTGAAGAACTTGGAATCCTTCTGCAACGCCAGCATGGCCACCGACAGCTGCGTCATGGGATGCGTTTGAATCGGCAAGGAGTCGATGGTGGACTTCACCTCAGCCCACGACACGGAAAGGACGGTCAGAAAAATGCGCCACGACTGGATGGATGGTTTAACACTTACAAAAAAAATGGCCAAAAAAACAACAACAATATCAAAAATTACGACATTTATGGTATAAACCATCCACATGAACTGAAATAGATGGTTCCAATAACAAACCATGACCACCAACTGGCCCATCCCTGGGTGGTTGACCTCATAGGTGGCCCATCAAACTGGACACATCTGGAAAGACATGATCTAGAATATGATCATTCTTGAGGTTCCACTTTAACTTTTCAGGAAGATAGGAACACACACACACATATATATATATATGTCATGATATTTCATGTTGGTGGATGATGTTTGATTCAATCCGTTGCTAGGATCTCAGATGTTTTTCATATCATAGCGATTCCACCAGCCCCCCAGGGTGACTCCCTCCACAATAGTGGTTCATAAGCCCTTCTAATCGTGGTTGTGAGCACCTTAAGCCTTCAACAAAAACAAATTTCAACAGATCCATCAGTTGATGGGTACACCTTTTATGACTTTACAGGTCTTTCCATAGGGTTTCCGCAATTTTCCGCCATGTTTTCCAGATGATTCCTCTATGATCAATGGATTGGCTTAAGGGAAAATCTTAAGCGGAAACAATCCATTTTCCTATAAACTATGCGTGTTTCCGCTTATTTTGTTTTTCCCCTTAAACCAATCAATTTCCGTATGATTTCCATAGCTTTCCATAGCTTTCCACCATTTTTCCATAGGATTTCCCTATGATTTCGTCATTTCAGCCATGGATTGCAGCTGCTTCCCAGGGACGTTCTCCGGAATGGCGGAGCGTTTGTGGAACTCCTCCGTGAGGCCCTTGACCTGCGCCGGATTTTTTTCCCAGGGCGCTGTGAAATGACCAGAGGGTGTGCTGTAGATGAAAAAAACATCAGGATCTACATGGATGAAGGGATATATATATGTGTGTTTTATTATGTTATATTATATTATAATATATTATATTACATGATATTATATTATATTTTATGAAATTATATTTTATTATATTATATTATATTATATAAAATTATATTATATTATTATATTAGTATATTATATTTTATTTTATATTATATTTAATTATATGTTATTATATTACATGAAATTAAGTTATACTATATTTTTAAATATATTACATGAAATTACATGTATGCATGTATGTATGTATGTAGGTAGGTAGGTAGGTAGGTAGGTATGTAGGTATGTATGTATGTATGTATGTATGTATGTATGTATGTATGTATATGTATGTATGTATATGTATGTATGTATACGTATGTATGTATGTATGTATATGTATGTTATGTATGTATGTATGTGTATGTGTATGTATGTATGTATGTAGGTAGGTAGGTAGGTAGGCAGGTATGTATGTATATGTATGTATGTATATGTATGTATGTATATGTATATGTATGTATATGTATGTATATGTATGTATATGTATGTATATGTATATGTATGTATGTATGTGTATGTATGTGTATGTATGTGTATGTATGTGTATGTATGTGTATGTATGTGTATGTATGTGTATGTATGTGTATGAATGTATGTATGTATGTATGTATGTATGTGTATGTATGTGTATGTATGTGTATGTATGTGTATGTATGTGTATGTATGTGTATGTATGAATGTATGTATGAATGTATGTATGTATGTATGTGTATGTATGTGTATGTATGTGTATGTATGTGTATGTATGAATGTATGAATGTATGAATGTATGAATGTATGAATGTATGAATGTATGAATGTATGCATGTATGAATGTATACATGTATGAATGTATGAATGTATGAATGTATGTACGTATGTATGAATGAATGAATGAATGTATGAATGTTTGAAATATAAATGTAAGGATAACAATTTGAAAAAAAAAACAGATTTCGATGAGTGTGATGAGAATTTGGATTACATGACATTGGATTGGATGCAAACTTAGGCTTAGATTTAGATGGCTAGCAAGAAAAAAGATCGATAGTTATCGATAGTCAGAAAAAGTGGGTACCTGTAGATACTGCAGTTTGGAAACTGGATAGAAAGGAAAATCGATAAATTGCACAGCACATCCATCTACATCCATGGATAGATCAAGAGAGACACGGTGCATCATGCTGATCACCTCCTCGTCAGTTGGCACTTGTCCAGTGACCAACAACCAGAAGGCACCCTCGGGCAGGGCCACTTGGCCCCCAGGGGCTTTGGGCAACTTCTTGTTCACATCATACAGCGACCTCAGCGAGCTCAACGATAAAGATTGGAGAGGGAACTGGGGGAAGTACCAAAGATCCAAAGTAGGTTTCTATCGGATGTTCGAAACCATAGGCCATAGACCCTAAACCAAACCTACTTTCACCATTTGGTGTGTTAAAACCCTGAACGATGAGGTTCACACTAGTTGTAAGAAATCTTCTATCAAGATAGATCCCATGTGACGCACCAGTGAACTTCACAGGAATCTGGGACAGACTGTTGATATATGTATGCTCTGTTGGCTCCCTTGCTTTGTCTAAAATTATCAAGCGCAGCATGTTTCAACCCCAATCTTCCATTTGTCAAGCAGGATTGTCATCCAAGGTTAAAATGGGGAAAAAACATCTGGACAACTGACCTTCCAATCCAACATAATCCAACTTTTGTTCCACTATACCACCTCGATGCCGGGTGCCAAGTGGCAAATGTCGGTAAGCGATACCTCAGGCGCATGTTCAACGAATCCCACGAGACTCGTGGAGGTTTCAGATGGTTTAACGGGTCTATACCTTTCTCAAGCCTCAGCATATTGGGGATATAGATCGGGATATGAGGCGACTAATGCTGATAATAATCGGAATATATCGGAATAATGGGTAACCTCAGGTTTTTCTCAATCATGGGGATGAATCGGGAACTGAAGCGACTGCAAACGTCAGTCTTTTTGTCGAGGGATCGGCTTGGCGCCCCTTGGATCTCCAACAATCCATTACCAACATGCTCAGCTTGTTGGGCATTCCCAGATTACATTGAATGCAGCTCATTGAAAACCTCAAGATCTCTCTTAGTTACTTACTTTCACCACACACTTCATCACGGTACGTTTTTGAAGGTCAAACGGTCAAACTCAAATTTTCTACAGTTGGTTGAACAGTTTGGTGTTGTGGCTGCAGGACCCCATTCATCCCATCAATTTCCAGGTCAAAACCTCATTGTTCCACCATGTCCCGTCATTTTCCCATAGTTTTTGCAGTTTTCCCTCAGTTTTCCATCATTTTCCGCATTTTTCCACCAGGTTTCCACCGTTTCTTCCCCCAGTTCCCTTGGTTTCCCCAACCCAAACGGCCAACCCAAATGGCCAACGGCGGCCACGGGACCCATGTTGGCGTCCAGGTCTGAAGTCTCGGTGACCATGGACTTGATGGCTCTCGCGCCGTTGATGGCCATCTCTACGGTGACGTCTTGGATCTTGCGCTCCCCGTGGTTCTTCAACAAATCCTTGGGAGCAACTGGAAGTTACCCTCTGGTAAATTAACATAGACCCTGGCAGATAGGGGTTGGAAGACTATTTTCCATTAAAAATTGGTGATTTAATGTACTGTTAATGTACTGTTTAATGTACTGTTAGCTGGTTTACCTATTAAAAATATGTGATTCATATGGGTATGGGTCAATATCTATAGATACATTTTAGTGGGATGAACATCCATCAGCTATTTTGGGGTTCACTAGGTACCAGGGTTTTGACCCATCCCCATATGTGTTTAATATACTGTTAATGATGGTTAATATGTGGTTAACATATGGTTACTGATAGTTAATAATTATCTGGTTGGTGGTTGAACCCTACCCCTCTGAAAAGAGTGTGGGACGCTGTGGGTCCCCAGTTTTTACGTGATTTTTAGCTGTTTTTTTACAATTTTTTTCTAGTTATTTATCACTGATTAAGTTTCTAGTCCTAGTCTCAAAGAAACATCATATTAAACAATACCAATGGAATCCCACAGGAACCAAATAGAAGTCCCATAGAAATATCACAGAACTACCATAGACATTCTCAAGACACCTCATGGAAATCCCATAGAATTCCCAAAGAAATCCTCTGACATATCACAGAAGTACCATAGAAATCCTGTTTAAATCCCATAGGAACCCCATAGAAATATCATAGACATATCATGGAAAATCCCACAGAAATCCCCATAGAAATATCATAGATATAACATGGAAATAGTATAGGAACCACAAAGAAATCCCATAAGAATACCATAGATTTCCCTCAGGCATCCCATAGAAATTCCATAGAGATATCATAGAAACATCATAGAAACACCATAGAAATCCCATAGGAATCCATTGGAAATCCCATAAGAATACCATAGAATTTCCATAGTATTCCTTCAGAAATCCCATAGAAATGCTCCAGAAATATCATAGAAACATCATGGAAATTCCGTAGGAATACCATAGAAATCCAATAGGCATACCATAGAAATATCAAAGAAATCCAAAATATATTTCACAGACATCCCATGGAAATCCCTTGGCTGGCTGAAGCTCACACTTAGGAAAAAACTTTTCATTTAGACATTTTGAGAATTCCAAAAGAATGAGCTAAGAAAGTAAAAAAGAGAAACGTATTAGCAAAGGAAAAGGGAAGGAGAACATGATTTTGGAAAATGTTTACTGCCAAAAAAAAGCTGGACACAATAGAGGACCACCACAACAAACATACTATTGAAGATCATTGTCATTCATGGATTTTGTTGGTTGGCTGAAGTTCATCTTTTTTGGGAAACCTTTGGTCTTGATTCATCTCTTGCTCATGGACTACCCCCTTGAAAAAATGTTTGGATGTTGTTTTTTCACTTTAGTTTGAATTTATTTTGAAATGGTTTCAACTTCCTTTCAATTGGCACCCCATAGTAATCCCATGGAAATATCATAGAAATCCTTTAGGAATCTCACAGAAATCCCATATAAAGATCATAGAATTAACATGGAATAGCACAGGAATCCCACAAAGAAATCCTAAAAGAATCCCATAGAATTCCCTAAAGAATCCCATAGAATTCCCTCAGGAATCCCATAGTAATCCCATAGAAGTATAGAAACATCATGGAACTCCCATAGGAATGCCATAGGAACCCCATTGTAATCCCAAAGAAATCCCATAGAAACATCACAAAGACACGTTAGAACCCCCATAGTAATCCAATGGGACTCCCATGAGAATACCATAGAATTCTCATAGCATCCCTTCAGAAATCCCATAGAAATCCCCTAGAAATATCATAGAAACATCATGGAAATCCCATAGGATTCCAATGTAAATCCCACATACATCCTTTTGAATCCCCATAGGAATCCCATAGAAATACAATCGGCATCCCATAGAAATCCAATAGTAGTCCCAAAGAAATATCATAGAACTACCATGGAACCCCACAGGAATCCAATAGAAGTCCCATAGAAAATATCATAGAACTACCATAGACATTCTCAAGACACCTCATGGAAATCCCATAGAATTCCCAAAGAAATCCTCTGAACATATCATAGAAGTACCATAGAAATCCTGTTTAAATCCCATAGGAACCCCATAGAAATATCATAGACATATCATGGAAAATCCCACAGAAATCCCCATAGAAATATCATACATATAACATGGAAATAGCATAGGAACCACAAAGAAATCCCATAAGAATACCATAGATTTCCCTCAGACATCTCATAGGAATTCCATAGAAATATCATAGACATACCATAGAAATCCCATAAGAACCCAGTGGAAGTCCCATAAGAATACCATATGAGGCTGTAGCAGACAAGATGGCCCAGAGAGCCACCTAGAGCCACCAAGATAGCCAAGATAGCCCATCTAGGGGAGGGGGGGGTCAGCCCAATTTTTTATTTTTTTTTTCGTTTGTTTTCTGTGTGGCTCTTTCTTTCCTGTGAATTAGAAATATAATCAGAGTCAGGTGTTCCTCAAGTCTGCTTGTTAGTGACACTACAGATTCATAAGCATGAATTCCGTAGACGTAACATTTTTCCTAACAAAGATTCATATGTAATCTGTCACGTCGTCTGTCCAGACATGTGGAAACGTGGGAACTGAGAAACGTGGGGACTGAGAGCGTCCCTTTCTGTCTGAAAAATGATGGAGTTGGTCAGTTGGGATGATTATTCCATTCCCAACATATGGAACGTCATAAAAATGTTCCAAACCACCAACCAGGCAAAAGTTGGGAGTTTTTCAAGTGAGGTTTGGTGGGAAAAAACATGGAAAAAACGGAACTGGGATCATCAAATCCTGGGATATGGTTTTGCCAAGGGCAAAACAAACGGAACTGGGAACATCATCTGTGGAATATATATGTGGAAGATGAATGGAACATCAAATGGACTATGTGAATGTAATGGGACATGGGAGTGTGATGGGAATATAATGGTAACAAATACTTGGATTTCATATTGGGATGGGCTTTGATGGGGAGAAGTTGATGGGTTTTGTCCCGACGTTTTGTATCGCAAGAAGCAGGGAGATTGAGAGGATAAAATTCTGAAACATCATAATTCCATGAGGGATCTGATGGGCTTTGATGATCTTTAATGTTTTGATAGGGATATGATGCGCATATGATGTGGAAAAAAACACGATTCATGATGATGGAAACTTGTTTTCCACGTACTTTTTGGGGTAAAAGCAAGCCTAGAGTTTTTGGGATCTATCTTGAGCATGCAATGGGGTATATATAATGATTACTGTATATAATTGAAATTAATTGCCAGAATTTATGGATGGGATATTCATCGGCTAAAATGCTGGTGTTTGGTTTTAATGGGAATATTCTATTAAGATGTGGAGGTATATGTAATGGGACCCTTTTGTGGGAAAAAACATGGCATTCTTATTGGCTTGGAATTAAACATGTATGTCTGAACTGTTCTGACAAAAACTCAAATAACTTGGATACCAAAACAAACATTGATAACATGTGGAAACAATGGGGATATGATAATATGATTGATATGATGATAGGTTCTTCAACAAATCCTCAGCTTATTGGATGATAAAGGGGGTACAGTTGGGATATCTGTTGGAATTTCCACGGGGATTCTATTATTGCACTTCAACAAACTCGCAATAAATGGGATTAATGGGGAGTGTATGCCAACATGTGGCAATTTTAACCAGGAAATGATTGATTATATATAATTTCTTCCTAAACCAGCCGCAATGCGCATGATGGGAATACAACATGATGATTCTTGAAGAATGATTTCCCAAGAAACAAGAAAGTAGGTTTCATCCACAACGCATGTGCCATCATTTACCCCTGACTTCATATATATCTGGTTGGTGGTTTCAACCCCTCTGAAAAATATGAGTTCGTCAGTTGGGATATATTATTCCCAACATATGGAAAGTCAAAAAAATCATGTTCCAAACCACCAACCAGATGGTTAATGGATACTAATATGATCTAATATGGAACAATGATGACTAAATGATTAATGCCCCTCACTTTTGATATATATATATATATGTGTGTGTGTGTGTGGCAGTGTGTCAAAACCTTGTACCCCTGGTGAACATCAAAATAGCTGCTGAATGGATGTTCATCCCCCTAAAAATGGTATTAATAGGTATTGATCCATACCCATATATATATATATATTTATGGCACATTACGATGAAACAGGAAGCCAGCCCTTCATCCAATTCTGGGACACTAGCAGATCCCAGAATTAGCGCATCGAGCGTCCGCCTTGAGAGCTGCCTTCTCCTGGCCAGTTTCAATGAAAACAACGGCCGGATCCCTATTGGATTCCCCAAGCCATGGATAAATACAAAAGTGTAATTATATAATGATATCCAGAAGGTAAACTAACATCGATGATTATCCTTCGGGTATAATACCGGGTAAATAATATCCAATACCATCTGGTTATGACTAACATAGCCATGGAAAGATCCACCATTTAGAATAGGTAAACCATCTATGTCTATGGGCCATGGCTTCCATGGCTATATTATAAATAACCATAGGGTATATGTAAAATAAATGTAAAATAGCATGAATAACTGACTTTGCTATGCTTCGAAGGCAAAGATAGCACAACACTTCAAAGAGAAAATGCGAGCGGTTTTCTTCAAAGTTGTTCTGCTCAAGATGGAAAGGCAATGGAGAACGATCAAAACCCCGAGATACAATAGGGTAGGGGTAAAGTGCTCCATCAAACAGTCATTCTTTGCACTGATAGGTTCTAACTGTAGATCTCCCAAAAAAACATCAGTGTCAAGGCAGTCAACCCTCAAAGTCCTTGGCAAGAACTGCAATCTTCGTCCTCATAACCTGAAGAGGCACACGTTTCATCTAAAGGGTTTGGTCGTGCTGTCATGATCTGTCATGTAAGTGGTATCAATTAACCCCTGCACAATGATTTCAAGGAAATCGACTAAGACGTGATCAGATTTGCTTTTAAAGATGGAATCACCTTGATTCGACACCTCGGCTTATTGGGTAACAGCTCACACCCGAAAGCCTGGTGAAATTCACCCAGGAACTTCCAGAATTCCGGAGGAAACCGGTTGTGGCGCAAGGCCAGGGGTCACATGCGCTGCAAGACGGTTGACACGCTCCATAGCTGTGCCAGGAAGAACCGTTCGGTGCCCGACGTCTTGTGCCGCGACCAAGCGCTGTCTTTGGATGTGTTCGGAACGGGTCGGAAACTTTGAGCCAAGAAAACGGCCGTTTGTGAGGTCGAGAGATATGGTTTCCATCATGCTTATCTAGCCTTTTGTTTTTTTGTTGATGTACTAGTAGTTTGCCAGTCAGTTGCAGGAATGGCTTATTTTGAGGTGATTTCATCACAGAAACCATATATATATAACCATTACACAAAAGTGGTGCCTAAAATCTCCCATGTCTCCCTCTACACTAAGCCGTTGGAAATGCCATAGAAACCCATCCTGGAATCCTTGCGGTCATCTCCACTATCTGGATGAGCAGCTCGTGGTTACCCCAGTTGATGTGGGTAAAACAATAGTAAACCATCCCCCAGTCATCAGCATAAATTTATAGTTGGTATAAACTTACCTGGCTGCCAGTCATGGGGGGTAATTGTTTGACATATCGTTTTACCATGGTTTTACCCACATTACACCCAGCAATAGCCTCCTTTTTTAGGGATCGGCGTACGCCCCGAACCGCATGTTTCGGCAGGCCACTCATGGCGCTCGATTGAGCTTTGTCCGCCGTCATGGACCCATCGTCAAAGACCATCAACTCACCTGGCGACGAGTTGGATGTTTGCGCAAACCAACTCGTGCAACAAGCAGCTTTGGATCAAATTTGATGTTATAATCGTTGATTTACGTGAATTAGAAGTACGAATTTAGATATAGATATTATATATATTTAGATAAAAACAATCTCTCTACCTGGGCATCTTTCTAAGCTGAAAGCCTCAAATCCACAAAAAGTTGATCAGGTGTCATCTTTCCGCAAGGAAGTGTGTTGGCTAAGACATGCAAACGAGTTGTTTGCTGCCAAGTTACGTAGGCCCTACTGACAGCATGGGTGATTCAGAGATAACATTGTGTAGGGGTATTGGGGAAAAAAACGTCAAACTTGATATTATTGCCAATGGACCCCAAAACATTGCAATCTTCAGTATCAAACATGATAAAATCGTCTATTCCTTGGGGGTCCATAGAAAGTTTTCACCCATACTCATACTCGGTGTCTCTCCAAATTGTGGTGCCACAAAGCCAATTGAGTTCCATGAGTTCCCAAATAACTTTGGTGACCTGTAGTTTTTTGCTGGTCTTTTGATGTTTTTTTTTGTGGTTTATGACTTTAAGAGCAATAATGTCAACCCCGGATGAATACTCTCCTGGGCTGTTGTTCATTTGGTCGCCTCCAGGCTCTTTCTCCACCTTCTCTTCCACCATGCTGGGCTCTGCATCGGCTTGCCCCATGGCCGCAGCCAACCCCGGCTGGAAATGGCTGGAATGTCCAGGCCGGATCTAGGAAAAACGTGGAACCTGGTGGTGACTTGCCATGGGAAACCTTTTGGGGTTCAAAATCCTGGGGTGACCTAGCTAATGTTATTGTTCAGTGCTGGATGCATGTCCACGAAGGATCAAGCATGGAAACAATTGGGAACATTTTGGGAACATATCATGCTTGTTACTGACACACAGTTACAAACATATGGAAGCGCACAAGACGTTCAATATACCCTCTGGTTATTTAACATAGTCATGGGAAATGGCCCATAGAAATAGATGGTTTACCTATTAAAAATTGTGATTTTCCATGGCTATATATGCTAAATAACCAGATGGTATTTATCCCCGACTCTAACCAAGCAGGTGATCCCTACAAGTAGCATGGGCTCGCGATCTCTCGTAAACGGCTTTGAACCAAAATAGTCTGACGTTTTCCACTGTCCAAACATGCATACCCAAAGGACTGTTCTTATCAACATTTCTGATCCTCATCAAGACAAAAGAGTGGACATGAGCAAGAAGCCTAGGTGGCTGGTGAACATAATGTGAGCATAGTTTGAATTTGGCAAAGGAGCGCGCAAATCCCGACCGACAAAAATAACATTACATAAAATGCCGCATTAAAACTAAAAGCAAAACTGGAACTTGACAGATATACATTTTGAAGTTTGAACGATGATTCTATCCTTCGAAAAAGCAGCTTTGCTATTCTATCATGGGTTTCCGGGGTATATCTTTCATATCCTTCCGACCCCCAAATGGCACAGAACACGAGGATACACGAGGCATATCACCATCCCCAAGGTCCCATCTCGGCCCCCGGCAGGTACTGAATGGCCCTGGTGATATGGATCGACTACCGCAAGCCCGAGAACCGTAGCCCATTCACAGAATCCACTGACTCACCGGTTGGACAAGTATTAGAAGAACATTGCCACAAAAACTAAACCACAAAGGATGTTGTTTTTGGCATGCGGCTGATACGGCGCCCTTGGAAGGGTTGTCGATTTTGAGATGTGCCATTTACGATCCCGTGGAAGGGTTGCAAATTTCAAAAATGATTTGGATTTTTTAACGTGTTGCACATGGAAGAGGCATATGTTGCGCATATGTTGTCGTATGATCGTCAGGGGGGGGGGGTGGTGGGGGGGTGGGGGGGGTGGGGGGGGGATGTTAACGTTCGTGTCGAGCGCTTCCATCACGTTACGGAAGAGGCATATGTTGCATATGTTGTCGTATGATCGTCAGGGGGGTGGGGGGGATGTTAACGTTCGTGTCGAGCGCTTCCATCACGTTACGGAAGAGGCATATGTTGCATATGTTGTCGTATGATCGTCAGGGGGGGTGGGGTAAATCATCTAGAACCATTATTGCTGGAACTCAACAACTTGATGGAACTTGGACACACTTAAAAAAATGGCGACCTCAATCCATGCTCCACAAAAAGAAACAACAGGTGTACCAAAAACGGTACAGTTATGCTTACAGCTGGACTTGGCGTCACAACGCTGCCTTGTTACAGACTGTAGCATCAGCACTGCCACAGGCGCTCTGGCACCGCTAACCTCGAACAGTGGAAAAAAAATAGGATTGAATACCGCCTTGATTGATGCGATTTGGATGACTCAAAATCATAAAATTCTAATGTTTTTTTTCCACCCGTGAAGAGAAAAATCGAGTCACCGCGCAGGCGAAATTCAAATTTTCACTCTTGAGTCACACGCCTGCCAATCGAAATGAATGTCCATGTTGTACACATTTTTTGACGACTCCTGCAAATACCAGCATTTTCTCTCTTACCCTCAAAAATGACAATTTCAAATTCGTCACCCTTACAAGGGCGCCGAGTCAACCGGTTGCCTTGTTTTTGGATATTTTTGGATTTACCACAGTAGGTGGTCATCAAACATCAAGCATCCCTGCATAGACCCTGCCAGCTGTGGGGATGCACAACAACTTTCCTCTGATGGAGGATCCTTGGGTTCTATATTTGCTCAGGGGATGGTAGCCTGCGATAAATAGCCATATATATATATTATATTATAGACTTAAAGACTATATATAACGTGTATATATAATTATATAATCAATAAATTTGGTTGCTCAATAACCACAAAAGACACTCACAACTTTTGCAATGCTCACATCGGATTCCAAAAAAAACAACTTTAGTACCGAGGGTGGGTCCCCGAAAAGGTCATGACGTCCATTGTAATTGATAACCCTCCCGTTAGTCAGGTTGATATCACCCCTGGCCCCAGCACCTGGAAGGCATTGAGCCTCGATTGCCTCAACCAACAAGAATGGGGATACATCAGAAATTAATCCCTTCCCTTCTAGGATAAAGATTCCCCACATGGTGGCTTGTCCAGTGGGAAGATGTGTCAACTTAAATTGAAACACACTCAGGATGATGGTCGCCGTTTCCCATGACGTCTGCCAAAGCACCTTCAAAGCTGGGCAGCCCTGCTTTGGAATGGGAATGGATCAAGATCCAAGAAGCTGCAAGACGATATTCAGATATACCCAGTATCCTTATCCCTGATTGAATTACATAAAATAAATTGCAGTGAATAACACAAACAGATCCGAATCCATCCAAACCATGGGGTGTCTTATGCAGCCAACAAGCCCGCCCTGGCGGCCCTGGCACCCACGAGGAATCAAGCCCAGTAGGGCCGCCGCTGATAGGCTATCAGCCACCTATCAAAAGGTAAGGAACACACCTCGAAAAACAACTCTTAAAACCTCACCACCAACTTTCAGCTATCCGAGTTAGATGTTAGACTGTCAGAAAGCAATTGAGAATTGGAAAGCCTACCCTTCAGGTAATCAAACGCATAAATGGAGGTTTACAGCTTGAAAAATCAGGGAAAGTCAGCTATAAATAGGGTATGTTCAACTGCTGATGCCGGAGGGTAACTCCACGCAGGTTCCCCTGCACCTGAATCAGCTGCTCTGGAGAGAGGCCATTTAGGATCTCCACCTGTCATCGAATCTGAGCAGAGTTCACAAATGGGTATGTCTGGAAATGGGGTATATTCCCAATTATAGCCATTTAATAGGGATAATGATCAGCAAAACCATTGGGTACAATGGGGTACACTATTTTCAGACACACAAATCTTGTGTCGTCCCTACTGGTTGAGCAGGGGATTTCCCGGGATATCTGTGATAAGTCCCCTTCATCCACCCGCCAGGGTTGAGCAGCCACTTCCACGATGTCTTCGGCCAAGGCACTGCGTGTTGAACGCTCTCATCCGAACTCATGGGGTCTGCGGACCAACGGGATCGCTGTAACTGCACTGAGTGGCCGATTGGTCACCCAAATATTTTCTGGTTGCTCCATTTTACGGCTTGGTTGGTAGCATTTGGTCGTGGAAACCAGTCACTCCATGTCAAAAATTAGGCCCCGTTTCGCCATTCACAGAAACACTTTGAAGATTTGAAGGCTAATTCAATCTACTTCATGGCCATCAAATTGCTGAAGCCTAACAGACAGCGCAAATGGCTTCATAGCAGTGGAGCCATACGTCCAGAAGCGTCGCCACGGAGCCGACAAGTCGCGATGGGTTTGTCCATTGAGAAGTTGAGCTGGTAGATGATCCAAGATATACGGATGGTTTGGGATGAACATGAAAATGTTTCTTGAAAGCATCAAGTATGGGAAACTGATGTCTGGCTTGTGGTTTCGACTGGTCTTACAAATGCGCTTGTATGTTGGGCAACCGGGCAAGCGGCAATCCACATGGGGATGGAAAAGGGGTAAAATTAACCTGTAAACGACATTTAAAAAAATGTGAAAGGATCACTGCCCCACTTACCAACCTCCCCTTTGCAATCCGACACCTTTTTCAAAACCTCTGTGCCACCCTTATGATACCCTACACGTAGGACCTTATGTCAACACAGTTTAGTCCTGCAATAGAGGCTACCAGGTACCAATCTTTTTAAGTTCTCGCTCAACTGGGTAACACCTCCCACTTTTCTCTCATCAACGGGGCTCTAGGACTCCCGGATCTCAAGGGAAAAGCCCTTCAGCTGCGCAGGTCTTCAACAAGTGCTGCTGACCTCAGCTGAATTCGGCTGAAGTCCGGCCCATGGCGGGAACCCCGGGGTGCCGCACGAAAGCCGCCCTTCAAATGAACAAGGCCGGGGGAGCCACCCTCACCTTGGTGGCTGGGGGTTGTGAACTGCTGGAAAATGCTGGTGCCAAGGGAAATAGATGCCATATGATGCCATGATTCATGTCCTAGTTGGGGATACCAAGCCACTATAAGACACTTGCAACGTGTTTACAACGTCAGGGATCATACAGGTGGAGATGGGGATTGCCAGTTGATCTCGATGGATTCAGAATGCAACCTTCAAGCTGACTGAGAATATGAAACATATGTGATAGATACCCTAGCAATGTAGTTGTTCTCGTTCATATCCAATGATGTGTCGGTGCCCCCCTAGCTATAAGTTGGATTTCGACCCCAATGATCCGTTATATCTATGATCAGCATATGATCACCATAAACCCAACAGTTAATCTTACATCATCTTATATCTTACCATCTGGTTATTTAACATAGCCATGGACAGATCCACCATTTTTAAGAACGGTAAACCATCTATTTCTATGGGCCATGGCTTCCATGGCTATGTTAGTCATAACCAGAGGGTAAATCTATAGTTATAAGCCACTTTCACTATGGCACCACCTTGGGAATATTTCCCATTCAGAAGTCCCTGGGGCGTCAGACTGGAGGTGCCTTCTGGGAACAAAGGCGTGGTGCACAAGGACCTTGGTCGTCCATGGGAAGTCCACACGGAACGACATGGAGGTTTAGTTCGTTGCTACTGGGAACATCATCGAGCTATAGTTCGGGGGATTTTCATGGATTTTCCAGCAAACCATGTGGCTGATTGCTGGAATGAATTCTTGAAAAGATGTCAGATAGATAGATAGGATGTCAGAATAGATGCCAGATCGAATGTCAGATGGAATGTCGAAGTTTATGCCAGAAAGAATGTCAAATAGAATGTCAGATTAAATATGCCATATATACTTCCAGATGGTATATCAGAAACTATGTTGAGAATAGTGTTTCAGGGTGGGGATCACTCGAAGAATGTAGTTCATGTTATGAGTTGCCAACCAATACTTCTAGAGCTTAAAGTTTTGAGGTCACTATCAACATAGCCAAATTGAGATCTGCTGCCTTGTTTTGGCAGGATCACAACAATGGGTTGCTTCCATTTATGGCAAACAAATAGCTTATAAACTTAAAACGATTTCGCAGTGGCTCAATACCTATATTATATTCTGTATAAACATCTCGAATTTAATACCCAACTATTCTATGCCATTTAAATTCATTTTCTGGTTACATATCGTGGAGAAATTTGCCACAGACACTCTGGTAATTTAACACAGCCATAGAGAATCACCATCAAACTCAATGGATCAAAAAAATCATCCATGGCTTCCATAGCTGTTGAATTGCCAGAGGCTCACTATCACATAGTTATCCTACATAACATCCATTAACTCATAGTAAGTCCCATTAAACGTCCATTAAAAAAACAACAATTGTTTTTGGCTTAAATCCCGACCAGAAACACCGCTGGCGCATCCTCCAGCGACTTGCGAAGGTCTGCCTCGGTCAGCGAGGTCACCCCGAGTTCCAGTGGTTTTAGGGATATTTTCCAGGGTAAGAGTGTATTGAAAAAAAACACAAAACAAACAGTCGTCCAACAACCAACAATGAGGTGGGGATTAAACTGAGAATAGCTGAGAGAAAGCATGAGGAATCATGTTCCACCAGTATTACACCAGGTCAATTGGGCTGCGAATGGGGTTGATGTCTAGCAGTGAAACGTGAACCGATGGGCACGTGAACCGATGGGCACGGGGTAAAGTAGAATTGTGATTCCTCCAAATGATCAGCCAATCTGAGGTGTTGGGTCTTCATTTTACACATCCGATTCAAAACACAAAAAATCCCAAGGAGGGGCTCTGCCTTGAAACAAGTCCAAGGCCATCCAGATGAGCGTCAAAGGATGCGCGAGATAGTAGAGCACAACCTTTTTCCGGGCGTGCCGTGTCCAGACAGAACATCTGCCCATGAGGAATCCCAGCACTCTTGGCAAGAGGGCCATCCGCCAAACGTGAAACGAATCTGCGCATTTTTTTTTGATAAGTGACAAGTGAGGACAGTCAGATTGGGAGTTGCACAGAAAAAATGGAACAATGGTCTTGGGAAAATGAGGTTTAAGTTAAACGGACTTGTATATAAGTAGATAAATTTATCACCTACAGTTTTGAGTAGTTTTGATGGAGAGATAGAGAATAGAACATTTGCAGGTGCTCCATACAAACATGTGCTCGCTTCATAATGCTCCCCCCACCAGGACCTACCTTTTTTCTATTTCATTGACGGTTTCATTGCAAGGTCAACCATCTGCTATCTGTTATCTGCCAAAAAAATAAACACAAACACCCAAAAAAATAACAACAGTAACAATGCATTGGAGAGCCTTCTCCCCTCCCCCCATCCCAAAGTAGGTCTCCCATGTTTTTCTCTTGGTACCCATTCCCTTCCAAAACCCAACCCAAAATAAGTCATCCAAAATGTTTGTATGCTTATTCTTTCTGGTGTGGGGGAGAGGTGGTGAGCTAATGATTAAGCTTGTGGTCGCAGCTTTAATCCAGATTAATCCAAACCAAATCTGATTCATCTGGCCTCTGAGGCATCATGTGTCTATCAAATGCATCCTTCACACACCATAATTAAACAAAAAAATATTGTATATATGCTAAACATGCGCAAGTATTCCTTGGGGATGTGCAATTTCCCTTTTGGCTGTGAGGCCTTTGGGAATGTACAATTCTCCCTGAGATTCTTGGAGAGGAGTACTACATCTTTAAAGGATACACTGCATATTCTGAAACAATACGGTTTCTGTTGTTTAACAAGGTTGCAGCTTTAGGTTAAGTATTCAACCTTTGAAGAAAACAGCATCTGTTGAATCTGTTGGAGGGAATGTTGCCATGATACAGAAAGAAAACAGGAATGCTGCACTTTAAAACAAAATACACATTGTAGAGGACTAATGACTAATATCTTTAAAAAAAACTATTCCAACCTTCACAAGGATATTTTTTCCTGGGAAAAAAATGTGCTAGCTCAAAGGCAGCCACCGGCTTTTTGAGAATTTGTGAGTTTTCTTCCTGTATCCTTTGGAAATTTAGCATGGCTATTTGGTCATATTGTGATGTGATGTTCACAAAGAGGAAACCTGATCCAGAGAAAAAACACTTTCATGTGCAAAAGTGATTACTTCATGACAATGGTCACTATAGGTTTCAAATTGCAGCCAAATCCAAGAAGAAACAGACCTTGGAAAGCAAAATACATCCAGTAGAATGCGTCGACAGACAATGCAAGATTACAGTGGAGAAGTTTAAGTCATGTAGTTCTCAAGCAGAATATTCATCATTTCTTTTGTGTGGCAAAATTCATTTACAACTTGAAATAGATTGTTTTGAAGTCTGGGAAGGCACTATTCTAGTGTTTCCATGTGACTGTGTTGCAGTACTACATCCCAATGAAAGAAGTGAACCATTTTTTGAACAACATAACCCTAATTCAACCTAATTCATCTACAAAGGCTACTTTACTTTCACGGGAAAGGCAACCTTGGAGTCTTAGGATGTGGCAATTCAGGAACTGCAAGAAAACAAAATTTAAGCGGTACCGTACTTGCGTGGTATTGTGTAAATCACACAAACAGCTGGATAATAAAATAATTGTTTTTTGCTTTCCTGCACATACCACAAAAAAGAGCTCAAGGTAGGCCCTGGTGGCACCGTGGTGGGGGGGTTACCATATATATATATTATATGCAAATGTAAATGCATACCAGCTTGTGTGGAGAAACCTGGCACTATTTGTTTCACAATCCACAAAGGCCACAGTGCAAGCAATAGGCAGTCGGCGAATCAGTTTTCTTGTCAGGGCCCCCAGATGGCAAGCCACTTGAACTATCCAAGTTTAGCGCCCCTTAACGGCTCGCTCATGCCCTGCAAAAAAAAAACAAAGAACAAAATGAGTGCTGTGCTGTTCCCCCTTTCTTAACGAAGGAATGCTACAAGAGCCCGTGTGCTGTCTTTTTACCTCAGAATGTGTGGGGCCTTCCTGCAATCAATTCTAACCAAGAAGGCCAAGACAAGAAAACAGCATCACCCAATTCAGGTTCATCAATGGTTAAGTGACAACATCTACAGGAAACCATTGTCTTTATACGTCTTTATCATCAATTATTATATGTCCGTACATGTCCTGTATTTCCAGTAGGTTCTCCCTTAAACCCTTCCAAGTCAGCTTCAGAAGCACTTTCAGGCGGAAAAAAACACCCCTCCATGCTTCAAGGTGCTAGGCTGACCAGCTGGCTGGCTGAGGGGACTGCTGCAGGTCTTGTGCTGTTTTGTTCAAAGAATTGGTGTGCTCAAACATGACCATTAAAAAAGAATCCAGTTGCGCACGCTAATTCTCATAGGTGAATCATAGTTATTATATCATGAGAACGTGTATATATATATATATATGTATGATTTGTGAGATGATCGAAGGAAGTTTAGAAGTCAAACTTCCGACAATATGGACAGATGAAAAGCAGAGCAGGGAAGAGGCAGAGAGAAGAGGAGAGTAGAAGAGAGAAGATCAGAGAAGAGAAAGAGTCAGAAGAAAGAAGATGCAGATGCGAGAAAAGGTAGGAAAGTCGCAAAACACTGTGTTTTTCCAATGATTTGGGGCTCCGGAGGGTCGAAAAGTAGGCTCGCTAAAGCGGCGGGTGCGGAGCCAGCTGGCCAGATGAGATATGAAAAATTGCACGCCGTTGTGGCGCGAAGCACGTTTGCAAGTCAAAATGTACAAAACACCTGGGTCTTGGAGCACTTTTGGAAGTTGCGATGTCGAAAAAGTACACACCCTTGTGGCGCGAAGCACATTTGCAAGTCAAAATGTGCAAAGCACACCAGGTGCGGACCACTTTTGGCAGTTGAGATGTCGAAAAAGTGCACGCAGTTGTGGCGCGAAGCACATTTGCAAGTCAAAATGTACAAAACACCTCAGCCTCGGACCACTTTTGGAAGTTGAGATGTCGAAAAAGTGCACGCCGTTGTGGCGCGAAGCACATTTCGAATCGAAGCCAACATGTTAAAAACACCAGGGTTTCGGACCGCTTTTGGAGGTTAAGATGTCGCTTCGCTTCACTACACTACATTACACTACACTCCACTACACTGCACTGCACTACACTACATTACACAACACTACAACTACAACTACACAAATACACTCCACTACACTCCACTACACTACACTCCACTACACTAAATCACACTACACTACACTACATTACACTACACTACACTCCACTACACTACATTGCACTACACTACACTCCCTTCCAATACACTTCACTACATTACACTACACTACACTCCACTACACTACAACTACACAACTACACTCCACTACAATACACTCCACTACACTAAATCACACTACACTACACTACATTACACTACACTACCTTCCACTACACTTCACTACGTTACACTACACTACGCTCCACCACACTACAACTACAACTACAAATTCACAACTACACTCCACTACACTCCACTCCACTACACTACATTACGCTACACTACATTACACTGAATGACACTGCACCACAGATAGACAGGTCGACAGATAGAGAGCTAGATAGATAGATAGATAGATGGATGGATGGATGGATAGATGGATAAATGGATAGATGGATAGATGGATAGATGGATAGATGGATAGATGGATAGATGGATAGATGGATAGATGGATAGATGGATAGATGGATGGATGGATGGATGGATGGATAGACAGGTAGACACCTAGACAGATAGACAGATGAAAAAGAGAGAGGTAGATTCGAAAGATAAGAAAGAAAGAAAGATAGATAGATAAATAGATCGGTAATTAGATGAAGAGAGAGAGAGAGAGAGATCGATAGATAGATAGATAGTCAGAGAAAGAGAGAGAAAGAGAGGAGACCTCAAGCAGCTTTCGGTCCATCAGTGGATTCGCTCTGCCATCCCTGATTCACAACAACCAATCTCTCCTACAGGTTTCCTATTTTTGAAACTTCCGCCACCGCCTTGTGCGGTACTACTGGTAAACACTATAATAACATAAAATAACATATAATACAATAACGATATAAGTATTGCATTGTATTATGCACATTATATTATATAACAATTAATATAACTATATTATATGCCAGTGTTTACTTGAACACAAATCATTCGGAAGTGTTCATTGCCGAGCCGCGAAACATCCTGAATCAAACCCGGTGGATCCTGCAGAGACTCGACAGCCAAGCGGGATTTCGCAACGTGCCATCCGCAGCAAGGTCGGGAAACACCACAGCCATGAGCTCTCATTTGGGGTCAATCCGATTGATATCTTAAGATGCATTTAAGGCCAAAAGACATATTTTAGATTCCTTTAGATCATCTGAGCTATTCAAATAGCCAAAGTGACCTTTAAAAAAAACCTTGTGGTTTGGAGTCACTTCCCCTGAAGTCATCACATACTTCAGAGATGAAGTCATCACATTACTTTCACCAAGCTTTGCCCCGTTTGCATCGGGTGTCTGAATCAAGGGTGTCCAGTTTGTTGCTGCGTTATCAGACTTTACCATATCATTTTCTATATTCAAATGTTGCCTTTTTGGGTTATACACTCATAACCCCCTTATTCTGATTCTTATTTTGGTGAAACCCAAATATCATAGTGTATTGCTGGCTTCTTGTTTGTAAATCCGATGATATATCGATGGTTCACCGTTGCCCATGGTTCATCCAGCAGCTGGTGGAGACCGGGACCGCACCATGGTTGCATTGACGCCCCCACCTGGGATCTGCTATAGCAGAATCTATAGTCAGCAGCAAGGTCAAGTGGCTATTGAAATTCTAACCTTCACACCCCAAATTAATATAAGCTTCCCGACATTCAATCATCAGGCCTGGGGGTCATCATGACCATCGCAATTAAGATCATTCAGCCTGGAATCGGTTCGCCATCGTTGCTTTCAGCAACATGATGAACGCCTTTGCCAGAGTGTCATCAAACAGGCTTCATTTGGGCTGATTCCGCCAATCTGGCCATAGCTGGCCATCATGTATGATGAGGTGAGCGCAGCGCTGCTGCAGCGTGCGTGATGATCACTCCAGTCCTGTTTGACTTCACCGACATATAAAACACACACGAAGTCATCGTGTCATGGATGTGCCTTGGCATCCAAACGAGCTATGACAGCTATGAGGAATGTGTGAGATCCATGGAAACCCCTATGATCCCCTATATTGCCCGGTCACCATAGTAAAAACATCAATCACTGTTGGTGACTAGTCACTACAGTAGTCTTGTTCTCGGTTCTGGGACAGTCTAACTATCGCCGGGGCATTGGTTTCTGTGCAATCCAGATCCTTTCACGAGAGCATCTGCTTCCACATCTGATCACTTGTAGCCACTTCCTTGAGAGCCTGTCTAATACTCAAACCAGCGGATTTGACAATTTAATTCTTATGTATATAAGTTTGGCATAAGTATCTCTTCGCGTTAGTTAGCACAATGCTGCATGACAATTTTGAACTATACAGGTGTGTCCAATAATGTCCTTTTGGTAAAAATACAGGGGCCGGTTTGGTTAATCCCATCTATCATTATAGAAACCTGTTGTTATTTCGGGGTTTCTTCAACCCCCCTATTAATCAACCAACCAATGGGAAAAGGACATCTATGGAAACAGCTTTATAGTTAATGGCCAAATTAATGGTGATTAGTGGTGATTAATGGATGATTGTTCATTAATGATGGTGATTAATAGTGATTAATAGTTTTTTAATATGTGATTTATGGTTCATAATGACTGATAATAATGATGAACAATCATAATCGTGATTAGGAATTAATACTGTGGAATAACCCAATAACAATGGGGGTTGAACCCCAAATCACAGGGATACTATGCATATTTAAGCAAGACATATGAGGATTTCATGGTTAACTGATGGTGATTTTAGACATGTTTAAACTATCCAGGTGTGTCTCCAAAATTCGTCACTGAGAATCTTTCCAGAGGTCTCCTTGATCTGATCCCCACGGCTTTGTGGACCGATGACCATCGTCCGTTGAGGATGGACCCATGAAAGCAGTGGTTTATGACACTGAAAAAACATGAGCAAACCATAGTTAAGGGGGTTGATACATTAACTTATAACCCTGGGGCCCACATTTTTCGCAAATGGATGGTTTACAGAAATATGAAAAAGGATATACCATGGTTTACCGCTAAAACTTGATTCAAATAGCTTCCGTATACCAGTGATCAGTGGTCTCATTATAATCAAAAAACAAAAACTGCAAATCCTGTGAGTCCATTGGGTCCCCAATCTTGAACCCCATGGGTTCGACATCATTCTGATTCTCTGGAAGCTGGTCATCCGGGACGGCCAAGTGAGTAGTGGTTGTCTGTAACGCGCTGTAGTGGACAGCCCTTAGAGATTGATAATTGATAATGAATTAGTCTGTATAAATAACAAATCTTAGATAATTGATAATTGATATTGGATAATTGATAATGGATATTGATAATTGATAAATATCAAGAACAACAAGTCACAAATCTGAAAAAACAAACTAACCATTCAAAAAATCAATGACTCATGATCCCCCCGATCCGATTCCCATCATTCCAGTGACGGCGTAGTGAGGCCGTGATCAAATTTATTTAGATTGTGTGAGATGTCCGTAACAGACCCATCGTTGATATGATGATATTCTTATTGTGCCGCCTATTTTGTTGGCTGAATCCCAATTTTGGATGGTTAAATCCTTTTTTCAATCATCTCTACAAAGGCATTCCCTATCTGTAACCAAACTTCAAGTCACAAGCTTGGGCTTTGGCCACTACCCCGACATTGAGTCCATTGATTATAGCAATCGCCAAAGAAAAAAAGGAAAACAAACAGCAAAACCTATGAACAGAGTTGTATGTAATGTTAACCTTTTCAGTCTTCATATGTTTTTCATAGGTTTTTTTTTGTTTTTTTTTTTGAGCACCGTGTTCACGGTGCCGATTAAAACGTCACGCGAGGCCCTGGAGGCTTTCTCAAACGGCCTTTAGTGGCTCGTCGTTTCGACATTGTTTTTTTTTGGTTGTTTCAACTCTCAAGAATGTGTTTGTCAATTAGGATCATCATCCCAGGTTTTTAGTATGTAGAGTTCACAATGCAAAACACTGCCAACTGGATGGACAATTGGGACAACTCATCCCATGGAACTTCGAAAGGCTGATCAGCTGCCAGTTTCCAAGCTTGTCCAAGCTTGGCAGCGCCGAGTTATCATGCAGGCGACGCGCTGGACCTTAGAGTTTTTTTGGCTGGGGAAGGTTTCCCATAGAGCAACCAAGTTTACAAGAGTTCGTTTTGGACTTTAGGATAACAATATACAGTATCCCTATACCGAACGCCGAAAGTAGAAGTCAAAATGGGAAATGAAATGTACATGATAACTGGCTGACAAATGTATATATATATATACATACATATGTATACACATATGCATATGTATACACACATGCATATCTATACATATATGCATATCTATATATGTATATGTATTTACATACATATATACACACATATATACATACATATATACATACATGTACAACATGGAATATATAGAACCAAAGGAACCACTAAACGTACATGAACTTCAACTTGTGTGCTCAGTTTAAAAGTGTTTAAAACTACGCATGCAAGCTGGAGGTCATGAAACTATGTATATGTATATATATATATATGTGTGCACACACACATATACATACATATATATATATATACAGTATGTCAAACAAGAAAAATGTTGACATGAGGCGAACTTGAAGCTGCAAGACTTCAAATTTTAAAAAGCTACATTATGCTACATTCATCTACATTCCACAGAGAGGATCAGGCAGCGTCATATCACCAACAAATACTGCCGGCTCTCCAAATGAAACATCTGCCGACCACTGAAAGGCATTTCGGCGAGAACCATCTATACTGGCATGTTGTAGCTAATCCCTTTAGCATGATATCCGCAAACTTTCCGACTTTTTGGCACTGCTTCAAATAACAAAGGAAATCACTACCACCAACGCTATAAGTACATACGGATACACACGGATCTTCAAAATACATTCCCAAGGGGTGATCCATCCTCCAGTCAAGCCCATTCAACAAAACAAAATAGGACAACATGTACTTGCGGGCGCTGAAATCTGAAATCTCATTGAGCAATAATCATTGCAAAGATGTTCTCCATAGTGACATATTTGCCGGTCAAAGGTGTTGAAACATCACCTGACACGTCGCCATCTCAATGTGAGATGGAGTCTTTGAGGGACCCCACAAGACAGGCAGAAAACTCCGTTTGGAGCCCTTCTTCTTCAGTGCGCTGCGACTCCCCTTGGCGTCTGGGAATCCAACATTAAGAGATTTGATTAAGTGTTCAATTCCTTTTATAAAGGCTGACAAATATGGAGATTTTGCATTTTTTCCCGAGAGCGTCTGAGCGCAGGGTTCTTCCAATAGTGGGGGTCTGTAAAACACCTTCTCATCTTCACACCTTCTCATCTTCACATCTTCTCATCTTCACATCTTCTCATCTTCACATCTTCTCATCCCCACATCTTCTCCTCATCTTCTCATCTTCACATCTTCTCATCTTCACATCTTCTCATCTTCACATCTTCTCATCCTCACATCTTCTCCTCATCTTCTCATCTTCACATCTTCTCATCTTCACATCTTCTCATCTTCACACATCTTCTCATCCTCACATCTTCTCACATCTTCTCACATCTTCTCATCTTCACATCTTCTCACATCTTCTCATCTTCACATCTTCTCATCTTCACATCTTCTCATCTTCTCACATCCTCTCACATCTTCTCATCTTCTCACATCTTCTCACATCTTCTCACATCTTCTCACATCTTCTCATCTTCTCACATCTTCTCACATCTTCTCACATCTTCTCACATCTTCTCACATCTTCTCATCTTCTCATCTCACATCTTCTCCTCTTGCCCTCTTGCCCTCTTGCCCTCTCCTTCTTTTCTATTTCTCTTCTGAAGGCGGGGGCACGGGCAGTGCCAACGAGACGGCACGAAACGCAACCCTTTCGCACGAAATGAAGTTCGATCGCCAAAAACTAAGGTATAATTGCGATTTCAAGGTGTCCCGCGCAACCCTTTCGCACGAAATGAGGTTCGATCGTCAAACACTGAGGTAAAATTGCGATTTCAAGGTGTCCCGCGCAACCCTTTCGCACGAAATGAGGTTCGATCGTCACTGAGGTAAAATTGCGATTTCAAGGTGTCCCGCGCAACCCTTTCGCACGAAATGAAGTTCGATCGTCAAAAACTGAAGTAAAATTGCGATTTCCGGGTTCCCGTTGCAACCCTTTCGCACGAAATGAGGGTCGATCGCCAAAAACTGAAGTAAAATTGCGATTTCCGGGTTCCCATTCCAACCCTTTCGCGCGAAATGAGGGTCGATCGCCAAAAACTGAGGTAAAAAACGATTTTTTCTGTGTGTACAAAGCTTCTGTGTGCTGTGTGTGAAAGCTTCTGTGTGTAAAAGCATCTGTGCAAAAGCGTTTGTGTAAACGCGTCTGCTTAAAAGCTTCTGTGTGCTCTGTGTCGAAGTGTCTGTGTCTGTGTGTGTAACAGTTTCTGTGTGTAAAGGTGTCTGTGTGTAAAAGCTTCTGTGTGTAAAAGCGTTTGTGTAAAAAGCGTCTGTGTAAAAGCTTCTGTGTGTACAATCTTCTGTGTGTAAAAGCCTCTGTCTGTAAAAGCTTCTGTGTGTAAAATCTTCTGTGTGTAAAAGCCTCTGTGTGTAAAAGCGTCTGTGTGTAAAGCCGTCAGTGTGTAAAAGAGTCTGTCGTGTAAAATGTGTAAAAGCTTCTGTGTGGAAAAGCGTCTGTGTGTAAAGCCGTCTGTGTGTAAAAGTTTCTGTTGTGTAAAAGTGTCTGTGTGTCAAAGCGTTTTTCTGTTGTGTAAAAGTGTCTGTGTGTCAAAGCGTTTGTGTGTAAAAGTGTCCGCGTGTAATAGCGTCTGTGTGTAAAAGTTTGTAAAAGTGATTGTGTGTAAAAGCGCTTGTGTGTAAAACCATCTGTGTGTAAAAGCGTCTGTGTGTAAAAGTGTTTCTGTGTAAAAGTGTTTGTGTGTAAAACCGTCTGTGTGTAAAAGCGTTTGTGTGTAAAAGCTTCTGTGTGTACAAGCGTCTGCGTGTAAAAGCTTCTGTGTAAAAGTGTCTGTGTGTAAGTGTGTTTGTGTATAAAAGTGTTTGTGTGTAAAAGCTTCTGTGTGTACAAGCGTCTGCGTGTAAAAGCTTCTCTCTGTGTGTAAAGAGCTTTTTTGTGTGTAAAAGCGTCTGCGTGTAAACACTTCTGTGTTGGGGAGAGGGCGCTTCCTGTGTGTAAAAGGGTCTTTGTCAAAAGTGTCTGTGTGTAAAAGTGCCTTGTGTGTAAAAGCGTCTGTGTGTAAAAGTGTCTCTGTGGAAAAGCGCCTGCCTGTAAAAGCTTCTCTGTGTAAGGGGTTCTCTGTGTAAAAGCTTGCTCTATGTAAAAGCTTCTGTGTGTAAAAGTGTTTGCGATGCAAACTATTGTCTTCTACTTATGCTATATTGTCTTGATACTCCTCTTCTCGACTGCCTATAACATATCTTTAATATATATATATATATATTGTTTTGTAATATGGTGTCTCCATACTAACAAGAGAAGACCCTGCTCCTCTACGCTCTCGGGCCATCCGTCGTCTAGTTTTGCTTTCCGGTCGAAATTTAGGGGTTCCAAAGAGGACTCTGGTACCCAAAAACATTCAAAAACCAAGTTTTAGAGGAATTTTGCCTGCTGGTGGGAAATCCAATGTCCAACTTTGGTTGCAGGATTCAATCGGATTCAACCAACATGGAGAAGCTGCTGGCTTCAGCGAGATCACCGAAGGTCGTATGCTTTCAATTTCCCAGGGCTACGCTTAGTCGTCAACGATCAGGAGCGTTATCCAAATCAATTTGTTGATCATTTCTGGCCCTGAAACAATGTCAAACCTATGATGAAATCTTTGCACCTCTGGGTTCTTCAATGTTTAGCCATATCCAAACTATGTTTTCCAGAATTATTGGAACCCCAGCACATGGTTTCTCACAATTTGGCCATCGAAAATTCCCATCAATGTGCCCATTGACATTGAGAAAAGACATGGATTATCCCTGATCTTTTTCGTCAATTAATTCAATTAACAATGATATGGATGGCCCGCGAGCGTAGAGGAGCAAGTTTCCCCGGCGTATTTGCACAATGTAGTAAGATGTGTTAAGTATGTAAGAAGTGTATATGTGCATATATATATATACATACAATATTATAAGTAGAACAAAGGCATGATAACGATGGAAAATGTAGAAGCTGATCATATAACAAAGGCAAGATGTCAATATGGTAAGGTGAACACTGAAGAGGCGCATTGAAGCATTTGTGCTGATACAGAACGGAAAGCAACAAGATAAACATTGCAAGGGAGAGGCCGTATGAAGGAGACCGGGTGGTAGAAAGAGAGTGAGGGAAGGAAAGAAAATATGAATATGTAGGACGTGAAGATGTAGCACATATAATTTTACACACAGAAACTCTTACGCAGAAGCACTTTTATAATATTTTACACACAAACGTCTTCACACACACAAACGCCTTGACACACATAATAAGTTTTTTCACAAACACACGCTTTTATACACAAACACTTTTGCACACAGACGCTTTTACACGCAGCCCCTTTTACACACAGACTCTTTCACACTGACGCTCTTACGCACCTACGCTTTTACGCACAAACACTTTTTCATCCAGACACTTTTGCACACAGAGACGTTTAAACACACAGAAGCATTGACACACTTGTGCACACATATGCTATTTCACACGCAGACGCTTTTACACACATATGCTTTGACACAACAAAGCTTGCACGAAGTACTTGCCAGTACTACAGTAGGACTCCATATTATGCTGGGAACCCTCTTGCGGACATCTCGCGGACATCTTGTGGACTCCATATTGTGCTTAGGGACCTCGCCGTGGGACAACACAAACAGAGAACAAAACCTCATATTATACTGTATGCTTCGGAACCCCCTAGCGGACCTTCAAAAATCACAAGTTTTCATCAGTTATTGTCACTTTCTGATAACTTGTTGCAACACAGCTACCATCAAAATCGCATATTATGCTTGCGGCCCCAGAGAAATCGCAATTTTACCACAGTTTTTGACGATTGAACCTCATTTCGTGCGTGAGAGTCGCATTTCGTGACCGCCCGTGGCCACCGCCCGCCTTAAAGAGAAGAGAAATTAGCAGACGAGAGAGAAAAGAGAGAGAAGAGACAGAAAAGAGAGAAGAGAGAGAAGTGAAGATGTAAGATGTGCAGATGTAAGATGTGCAGACGTAAGATGTGAAGGTGCAAGGTGCGCAGACGTAAGATGTGAAGATGTCTGATGTGAAGCTGCAAAATGTGAAGATGTAAGAAATGCAGACGTACAATGTGCAGATGTAAGAACTACAAACGTAAGATGTGAAGCTGTAAGATGTGAAGATGCAAGACGTGCACATGTAAGAGATGCAGATGTAACCTGTGAGGATGTAGGATCTGCAAATGTAAGAGATGCACATGTAAGATGTGAAGATGTAAGACGTGCAGACGTAAGAGATGCACATGTAACCTAAAGATGTAAGATCTGCAAATGTAAGAGATGCAAATGTAATATGTGAATATGTAAGACGTGCAAATGTAAGAGATGCAGATGTAACCTGTGAAGATGTAGGATCTGCAAATGTAAGAGATGCAGATGTGAAGATGTAATAAATGTAAATGTATATATTCTAGTCTCAGCTCCTTCTTTCAGAAGAACCCTACGCTCAGGCGCTCTCGGGAATAACCGCATAATCGTATAACATATGGCAAAAACATGACGTCTTGCATAATTATTGGTACCCCCCGCCCCAGGACCCCAGATGTGTAACTTCTGTATCGCGAGCCAGCGGCATCATCCTTGCGGATGGATGCAGAACCCTGTCGACGTGTTCCTTTGGCGGCCAGGGATTGGGTGCAGTGCCGCCACCCGAGTTCGATAGCTGTTGGCCAACAGACTACCATTTGACTTTTGTGTTTTTTAATTGAAGTTTATGGTAGAGATCTCTATAGTTACCGGGCTTTACACATCTTTATAGCAAAAAAAAAGTCACTGGGCAGTAAAAAACACCAAAAAATCGGCAAATCCCTCGTTAGGGACGGTTGGTTTTTCACGGTCCCCAAATCTATCGTATTGGGGACCAAGGAGCTATGGGATTTCCCGACTTGGTGGGAACAGAGTTTACACCATCTGGGACTGGAAGATCATGTAACATATGGGCCATTTATTATACTTCTGCTGCGTTTCAGTAACCGGAAGCAACAACCTGATGATCAACAACAATACATGTATTTAGGGTAAAGGCTGGAGGTTCCCCCGAAATTGATGTGATGGTATTTGGATAATCATGGCAAATACTTTTTTTTCTGCCCTAGTTTCATTGAATATTTACGGATCATTGGTGAATTTTAATACGGAAAACAGTTAGTAACTCAGGTGCAGCTTGCTAACTCTAATCCCTGTTTAACGATATCGCATGTCATCCATGACCACCGTTCCTGGGAATTGGAAGGGTCAGTTTCCCTCCCAAAGGTGACCTGACATCTGAGAATCTGCGTATCTGCACCTGTTTATATATAGATATTGAGTATGTGCCTAGATCATCCTACATCTATACTATACATAGAGATATATAGAGGTAATTAGGTTAAATATATGTTAAATATATATAAATATAGACACACATTACCAAAAAAAACAATCATCCTGGAAGAAAAAGTCATCTTGCCATCGCCGAGGTGCGTGCCCTGCCGCCTGCATCCGTGGCAAAGGATTGTGTCGGTGAACAATTACGTATGGTACACTGAGACATCCTTGGAGGACTCTACTGGTTAGCAATTGGCCTCGCACAAACGTAATACACACACACACATATATATATATATACATAATTGTATATATACATGACTCCTACTCAATGCTCTCAGTATATTGGACAAATATGCATATATATATATATGTAATTATATTGTAATTTTATTTGTATATATATATATATGTGTGTGTGTGTCTGCATATTGTGTATTTGATTTCCTCCAGGCGCATGGAAGCGCACTCGCTACGGCCTTGCATAGAATGCCCTAACTGCTTCTTTGGTAGTCTCTGCAGTATGAACCCAAAGAAGAAGTGGGATCACATTGTAATGGCGATGTAAACCAATTAAATTAGGTTGATAGTTTTCATTAAAAAAATGTAATATGCAATTGTAATCAAGTGTATATCAAGTGTATATCAAGTGTATATCAATTGTATACTCCGGTTATCCATATGAACTAACGTGTTAAACCCAATATTAAACCATCCAGTATCACCAGAACTGGGTGGTAGGGCCTAGGGTATAACCACCCAAATTGGAGGCTTGTGGCATGGGACATCTACCACTTTAAAATGGGGAAGGGTTTAAACATGTTTAAACCCCATGGCCTACCGTGGCCTGCCGTCACTTTTTGGGGTCCAAGCCTGACGCGAGAAGTGGTGAGCCGCTCTGACTTTCATGACTATGCCTCTCCAGCGATGACATTTGCGGACGCAGTTCCACGAAGAATTGGTTAACTTAGTACATCCCATCTTAATGGGATTATATAACCATGTAATATGTATACCATGGTATAAATAACCATAGATGGTGATACCATTATATAACCATAGCACATACCATCATAGTATACCATGGTTATACCCATTTTTACCCACCATCAAGTAGAGATGGTGTATCATTTGGGTCTGAAAATGAGACATCCCAAAACTGATTCGCAAATTGAGAAACAAACCGTTGCAAGCCCTGCCGATGTTTCGTTGAAATCGGCCTAGTGAGATATGTATGCACCCTGCACACTGCGTCGTCACACCGTATGTATCCTCTATATGGGTCTTCTGCAGCCAAGCTACTGTCGGTGCAGCTCTCCATCCTCAATGAGGTACTGGGGATCTTTATATCGTTATTCTCAAATGGATTGTATAGCATCTCCCGATGTATACGGAAGTAAAATCCACAGAAAAGATCCTGACAACTTTCACCTGTTCCATCTGGGGGTTGCTAAGGGTTGCTATGATTTTATTACCCTTCGCTGGGCATTCCTCCGTAGTCGAAACCGCCCAGTGGCGATGCTGTCAGTATTTTTCGCATGGCTGCATGGGAGACCAACCCAGGAACTGAATGCATCTCTGCGAAGCCATCGTCTGCATATACATATATTATATGCAAAATCATGCAAATATGTGTAGAGCATACTTTTTACTTTTTTATGATACATGATAATGATAAGCATTGTCATAGGTATTATCACTGTGATAAGTTTCAAACTGTTAGAATGAAAAGTATCAATATAATCACTTATATATCTTATAATCGAAGGAAGTTTAGAAGTCAAACTTCCGACAATATGGAGAGATGAAAAAGCAGTCAGCAGGGAGAAGAGTCAGAAGAGAAATGATCAGAAGAAAGAAGATGCAGGTGCGCGAAAAGGTAGGAAAGTCGCGAAACATTGTGTTTTTTCGTGGTTTTGTGGCTCCGGAGGGTCGAAAAGTAGGCTGGCTAAAGCGGCGGGTGCGGAGACATCTGGGCAGATGAGAGATGAAAAGTTGCACGCCGTTGTGGCGCGAAGCCGAGTTCGAAGTGAAAAGGTACAAAACACCTCAGCGCCGGACCGCTTTTGGAAGTTGAGATGTTGAAAAAGTGCACGGCGTTGTGGCGCGAAGCACATTTGGAAGTAAAATGTGTTAAAAACTGAGGGGTTCGGAGGAAGTTGAGATGTCGAAAAAGTGCACGGCGTTGTGGCGCGAAGCACATTTGGACGTAAAAAGTGTTAAAAGCTGTCGGTCTCGGAGCACTTTTGGACGTTGAGATGTCGAAAAAGTGTACGGCGTTGTGGCGCGAAGCACATTTGGAAGTAAAAAGTGTTAGAAACTGGCGGTCTCGGAGCACTTTTGGAAGTTGAGATGTTGAAAAAGTGCACGGCGTTGTGGCGCGAAGCACATTTCGAAGTCAAAAGTGTTAAAAACTGAGGGTCTCGGAGACATTTTGGACGTTCAGACGTCGTTTTGTGTGGCAGGTGGAGTGGATTGTGCATCCACTGAAAAGTGACTAAAACGTGAGGGTTTGGTAGCATTTTCAAAAACGATGGCAGGTGTGGGAGATTTGAAGAGGATCTGCACAGATGCATTTTTCGTGGCAGGCGCAGTACAAGAGGCATCTTCAGCAGAGATGTTCGGAGCTCAAGGAGCTGATTTCCTGAGAGGGGTTGCATTTTGGCGTATCAAATCATCAGCTATGCCAAGATGCTTTTTTGTGACAGGTGCAGCATTTCGTTCGTATGACCTGGACTAACTTTTTCGTGGCAGGCGCAGTACTTTAGAGACATGGCAGGGAAAAATCGCAAAACGCATTGGTACGAGGCCGTCAGCTGTACAGTCAACTTTCCATTTTTGAAGGAAGTCTCGCAGAATTGCTTCGTTTTAGATGTTTTCAACTGCAAAAAGTGAGAAAGTCTCGCAGAATTGCTTCGTTTTTGATGTTGCCAACAGAAGTCTAGCAGCATTGTTTTGTTGTCGACGTGGCGGCTCGCTGGACTGATGGTGTTTCTTCTGACCCATCCGTGTGGCGTCCGCTTTCTGCATCGGTTTTGTCTCCGAAACATGCAACCGTAGCGCAGTGGGAACTCTCACAGGTATCAGTTTTGGAAGCACGACTTTCAATGGAGCATGTGTCTTTTCTGGCCGCGCTCCCGAGTCTGCAGCATGTGACCTTGTTGTTACCAGTGTTGTCGTTGGAACGCTGGAATGATGGTGTTGTTTCTGACCCATCCGTGTAGCGTCTGCGTTTTGCATCCGTTTTGTCTCCGACACCGATCGTGCAACCGTAGGCCGACGAAGGAAAATAACGCAATGGGAGCTCTTGCAGGCATCGGTTTTTGAAGCACAACAGGGGATAGGTGCAATGGGATTTGATAGCTAGATCGATAGATAGACGGGTAAATAGATCGATAGATAGATAGACAGATCGATGCATCGCAAGATAGATAAATCGAAAGATGGGTGGCTAGATAGAGAGACAGATCGATCAATAAACAGGTAGATGGATCGACAGATGGACACATAGATCGCTAGATCGAAAGATCGCTAGAAGCGTCGATGACCAGATAAACGCATGGGTAGCTAGATAGATGGATGGATAGCTGGAAGAAGAGGTAGACGGACAAATGCATGGATGAATCGATAGAGAAACAGAACGAAGAACATGGTGATGGATAGCTGTGGACATGGATCGACGAAGAGATGGACGGAAAAAAAACTAACAGAGAGAAGTAAGTGGATGGATGAATGGCTGGATAGACAGAAAGATAGACAGTTTAATAGATAGGTGAACAAACAAATCGATCGATAGATACATGAATAGACAGGTAGATAGGTAGATGGCTAGAAAGGTAGCTCTGTAGATAGATGGCGAAAGAGAGACACAGAGAGAAAGAGAGAAAGAGAGACAGAAAGGGAGAAACACTCAACCACCTTTCAATCCATCAGTGGGTTCGCTCTGCCATTTTTGCGTCACACCAACTCACCTCTCATATAGGTTTTCCATTTTTGAAACTTCCGCCACCGCCTTGTGCGGTCCTACTGGTATATGTATATATATATGTATATGTGTGTATGCATACACACGCACATAATATATATATATATATATATAACAGTGACAGTTAAAAAAAACATGATAATAACATGTGCATGCATACATCAACACATGAGCTGAAGGGAAAGAACCTGAAATTGTCCTTGTACATACTTGTGCTATTGTGTGATTGTATGCTTGTGCCAGGTCCACAGTGAGACATGTTTCCTGCTACCACCCTATGCTCCCGGACGGGGTCAGCTAGCTCAAGCTCCTTGGACAATGGTCCGCATGCTGGTTGTGACCCTCCATGGATCTTAGTAAGGAATTTCACCATTGCTGCGGACAGTGCCCCAAGACATCTCCCGACTGTGCTGGATGTTTGTACCCCATCTCCTCCGATCTATCTTGCTGCAACTTTTTGTGTGTAGCAAGATGCATCACCACAAAAAAGCTGCGGCTTCCACCAGGAACTGCACTGCACAGGGGCACCCAACGTCTAACTCGAAAGCCACTTCTGAAGTCTCATCCTGGTGGCTGGTTGTCGATAGGTCTGGCGAAGTTTGCCATATTTCACTATCAAATAGATACAACTTAACATTATGTGCAAATGTATAAATAATGATGAGGGCAATAATGTCAATACTAAAGAGCGTAATAATACTAATATCATAAGTCATGTTGGAACCCCCCATGTAACACAAACAGTATAGAAATAAAATAAATAAAGGTTTAATAAAGCATTCTAATTATATCATTACGGGATTCCAAAATTACAGTGTCCATCATTCCAAGCCCAAACCTCTTTAATGCCGTTGTTTTCTCCTGTTTTTTTCCAGCCATGAAAGGATCATTTGTTAAACGGGCTGTTTTTTGGTGAGTCGTATTCCTCCCTTTTTTCGGTGGAGCTGCAAAACTCCCACTACTACCCTCTGGTAAACATATACACAAAACTATGGAAAATCACCATGTTGAATGGGTAAATCAACTACAAATGGCCATTTTCAATAGCTATGTCAGTCATTACCAGAGGGTAGTTGGATGATTTTCGCAAGCTCCATGGCTACGTGCAGGGATTTCCCAGCCTGCCATTTTGTTGATGACACGGTTCCGTGTGCCTGTAAAATGATTATCCTCCAATATCTGTTGATTAGTTATATCCCATTAATTGGAAAAAAACAATCGAATCATATATAGTAAAGGTTTTTCCCATCATATCCCCATATATCGACATTATCCTAAAGAATATGGCCCTTTTTGAAAGCATTCCTACTGCAACCATCCAAGCTCGAGCATCCTTGCCTCTGGTGAAGCATCAAGCCTCTGGTTTTGGCAGATGTGTTGGGGGTCATCATCCCAACCACGGATATCTAAACAGAGAAATCCCCAGCTAAACAAGTGATTTACATTGATTTACCATTATTTCAATGGAATTGCATATGCTTTTTTATCATTTTTGGGATTGCTATATATATAGATAGATAGATAGATAGATAGATATATATACATATATATAGTAGATATTTCAAGATATGTTTGACCGGCCAATATGAAACAGTTGGGCACATAGGCAACAATACTAGCGCAACTTGTAACGTAGACACGTAGACTAAAACCAACAAGTACAGCATATGTTTTCGTACACACAGCGAACGGGCCTGAAGTGGGACCACAGGACCATGGGAACCAAATGGAACCAATAGGCCCACTGTGAACAACACTTTTCAACCGATGTAACCCCTATATAATAATCTATGATAGGTTCTATAAAATCGATACAACTACCATATGCCATAAGGGGAGTATTAACATGATTTAACATGTATTTACAGGTTCCAACCCATTCGTCTTGCACCGATTCGGGACTCTCACCAACCGCATCACTTCGCCAAGTTGCGGCAAGCCGATCCCGGGACTCTCCTCCAGGCTTTCGGTCCTAATTCGCTGTGAAAATGAGATATGAGCAGTTTCTTAACAGTGGGGGACCGCTTTTCTATCATCTACCCTCTGGTAATTTAACACAGAAAATGGCCCACATATTTTCCTGTCATGGTTATTTAGTCCAATTTTGAGAATCACCCATCTCCCATGTGGAAATTTTGAGATGTTAACAGGATGAATAAACTACCAGATTACTAATAAGGGGCTGGGGTACCAATTGCAGTAATATCAGAAAACTACTTGTGGGGACCATCCCCCTATGGGCAAGGTAGGGGTTCATTAGTCTTGGTTGGACATCGTGCGCCTGCTTTTGTTCAAAAATACAGCATCTGAAGCCACATAAATATTCGAATATGTGGCCGCCGCCTAATCTTAGATACACAAAATATGTTGAAAGGGACTAAGTCCTCTGTGTGAGACCTTCAATTTGTCGAAAGGGGGTGCGAGTCAATCCGCACGCTCTACAGGACGAAACCCTGCAGAGGCACCCCCAGGATATGAGCAAAAATCAAACCAGCCGACATTGAGGAACTAATGATACAGTTAGTTCACCGTGCCCAATATATGTTGAAATAACTTTGTTATTGGCTGGTTATGAAAGGTTCCAACAGGTCTTTTTCGCTGATTCTTCCCTGTAGAAATTCACTTGTCAACCGATCTGACCACGATCATCAGCTTGGTTTTGGGCCTTAGCAACTCATTTAAGCCCTAAGAACAATGATAGGTACAAATGGGTTCTGCGGGGCTGATGGTATATGAACATATTTGAAAATATGATGGCCATTCATGGCTAATCCTAGATTCCCTGGAGCAAAATTACCTGGTTAGCATGACTTTAGCAAACAAGAAAGTACATGAAAGTACCACTGTAAGCTATAAACTATACATTCAATGTTCACCAGGCATCCCAGCACTGGTTCATCTCCAGGTAAGAAACTCCTCAAAATCCGTAGTGAAAAGTGTAAGAACCGATATATATATAATATATATATATGTACGTATATATTTTTTAATATGTATAATATAGAAAGTTATATGTACTACCATATACATATTAGTAGATAGATAATTACATATAATCAACTGGTACCAATTGGTAAATGTGTCCTATCATGAATGGCAAAAGAACCATTATGCTACCTCCCAGGTTTCATACACCAACTTAGTACGAGATAGAAATTACACTTTGGTCCATATTGGACCCATTTCTATGTCCATTCCCCGAAATATCAACCACCCAGTAAATGGCTCCAAGTATTTGGTTCCGTCCTTTACCAAACATTTAAACCACGATTTCTTGGGGGTGTCTCGGATCTGAAAGCGAACAAAAAACCGCGTGTCGCTTCCGCCAAGCGTCGCTAGCCGCACTCCGCGGCCCTTTCTACACGCTGCCGATGAGGATCCAGTACTCTCACCTCACGACACGCTGGAATCGTTTGGATGTCAATGATCTCCATGGGTTAAGGGAACAACTCCGGCAGAACGCCGGAAACCCATGGTTTTAACATGAGTTGTCCTTAGATACCCCAGAAAAAATGAATATAGCGATACACCCAACGATCCATGGGGAAGACGCCCCTAGAAGCCTGAAGTAAGGGCATGGCTGCCACCAATTCGAGTTTCACTAGGCTAGAACTGCAAGGTGATTGCTATATGGGTCTGTAAGGTCCCTCCGTCTGAAAGGACCCTGATCTTGGTCGGATAGATTGAGGTTTGCTATGGCCCACAAAGTACAATATATACAGGCAAAGAACACCAACAAATACCAACAATTGCTAGCATGAACCAACAATCATATGGCTAACCCTAGAATACCCCTCAGAAAACAGTCGTCTGAATATGACATTCCTCCTTCTCTTGCTAAAACATTGCCTTCAACCAAACATCATCGTTTTTAAAGCTTCAGCCAGCAATCAACAACTTGGATACCTCATACAATCCATGCAAAACGGTATATGTGTGTTGCATCGTTACACCAAACTAATTATGGGCGTAATCAACTTGGCAATCAACCGACACATATAGATATTGAAACATCATTAATCATTATATAATCATCATTTATCACCATTCGTCGCCATTAATCTCCATTCATCACCAGTCATCACCATTAATCATCATCATTCATTACCATCAATCATCATTCAGCACTATCAATCACAATTCATCACCATTCACCTTTAATCACATCACCATCTATCACCGTTAGTACCCCTGTATTGGATATTAGACCATCTGGGCAAAACCAAATAATTCAATAACCTGAAACAAGTCTATTTTCGGATGACTCCCCAATCCGAACCATGATTCCAGTGAGGTCATGACGTGAGGCCACTATGATATTGAGCCATCCTCCACAGAAAGATCCGCACCTCGTTGCCTTGCTGCCAGCCCTGCGCGAATCATCTGAAGCTTCTGACGCCTCTTGACCTGAACAGGCAGGGAGAACTGGCACATCTTGGTGCATGTTCTTGTTGTACATGTTTCGGGGTTTCCCATAAAATGAATATAAATGGATGATTTGGGGTACCCCACATTTTCGGAAACATCAAGTTGATCATTTGGGTCAAAATTGGCAGACCGTCCCCGACCATGATCGACCATGTACTTTTTGTAGAACAGCATGAATATCACATGTGCGGGTCCGTCCGTGCCCAAACTTTTACCAATACCCATTTTGTAGCATCTGCCCATGTACTGTACCCATGAAATACCTTGAAACACCCATTATCTCCGCACTCTGCATTTGTCATGGTGGCTAAATGCTTGTTATTCCCAGCGATGCTTCCCCCATATGGACACCGTAGAAATGAAAACCGATCAGGGCTTCTTGCCCTTACCCTCTGGTAGTCAAACATGGTCTGCTGGAACATTCCCCATTGAGTTTGATGTTTTTCCCAGTAAAACACACACACATTTAGTGTTTGATGACTTATTGATGACACCTAAGGGTATCTCCCATATCTGTTGAATTGTTATATCCCAATATCTTCCCATATATATGATTTTCCTACGATATACCCATATATCATATATCCACTACTTGGGGATGGTAAACTCTCCACCTTAAACTCGCCTGGCCTCATCTTGCAAGGGCCGAGAAGAGGTGGGTGTCGTTGCCGATGCCAGCGGCTCACTGACCTGGTGGACCTGGTGGAAACCGAGAACTGGGCGTGGGCCGAGCTGCGGCAGCTGAGGGAACGGCAGCGAAAGTGGATTCGTAGTGATTAGATGAACAATTTATGAATGGATCTTATCTTAACTATATATATTATATATATATAGATATATCAGATATCTGTGCGATGACCATGCGCATGATAATGATATATAATGATCATAATCAAATACATTCGGAATCATTCAGATATCTACATGATGATCATTCCAGTCGATGGCTTGAACATTGGTGCTGATCCCCAACAGCATCATCAGTGCAGTCTGCGTCTGCGTCACAGCAACCAGCAACGGTTGATTGTATTTGGGTTGTGTTTTTTTTAATCCAGCCTCCTCCTACTTATGCACAGAGTCAAGAATTTATAAGTGGCTAGCAGTGGAAGTTCTTACCTCCACTTCATTCTGTTGTTGCTCTTGAAAACAGTGGAATTTGACCACCCCATGATCCGATTGGTGGTTGGAAAGAAATGCGTCATATTCACCCCCAGCTTGGGTGGAAAACTGGGATTTCTCCCATCTCTGCCGTTTTCAAACGGAGCTGTGCAAATCTAAAACATCGTCGCCAAAACAAAACACATGGGAAATTGAAATCGTTCTGGAACGATTTCTCAGACTGGCTAAAAAAACATATAGCATTTCCAACAGTTTCCGAATAGCCTCAATCACACATGGTTTTTTAGGCCATCCCCTAAGTAAATGATGTTCCCCTTGAAATGCGCGGGTTTTTCAGGGATCTCCCGGCGTCGCCATGGCCAACCTCGGGCGTTTCCGGCGGCGTCGAGGTGGCCGACATCTCCTCCATCACGGTGCGAGTGGCCAAGGCCGACTTCCGGCCGTTGCGCATGGCGGAGATGGCCTGGCCGAAGGCGCCGAAGGGTCAGTGATCCATAGTTACATAGTTGGAATGAGAACTTGGGAATATCATGGGAACATGTGAAGATTCAACCAAACAACGAAGCATAGTATCCATAGTTACTAGTTGGAATCAGAATATGATTGGAATATAATATATGCATAATATGTGTGATGGGAATTTTCTTTCGATGGGAATATAATGAGATAAAATGGAATTTCCATACATTCCTCAACAGAACCTCTAGTCCCCACTAGAACTTAGGATTTGTTGACAATTTGTAGGTGGGACAAGAGCTAAATCGCTCTCTGGAAATTGGTGGGCTCTCAGGAAGAGAATCTATATCAACCTGCCCATCCCTGATAAATATGCTTGTTAATGGGGATCATCATCGAAAATAAGCTGGACAACACATATTTCAAACCACCAACCACTAATTACAAATATTCATAGTCATACGATGTCATCTGTAGTCTTGTCGGAAAGTCAGAGGAATTTTAATACTGCGAGTGTAAGAAGTTTAACAGGGATGTCATGAGGATGTAATGGGCATGTGCAAAAGAAAGACGCATTGATATTGGGAGCTGTCCCAAAATATTAAAATGGTTCTGTGCTGTTTACTGTATATATATATATACCTATTATATGGAGGACAACTATAGGTAAACCATGGGAAATGGTGTTAAGATCAATGAACGTGATGGAATTCGTTTTCGACACTTATCGGGGCTATGTGTTTTCTTATTGTGACTTTCATATGGCTTATCATGGAAATTATGCAAATCTAATGGCTCATGGGGGAAAGGATATGGCTAATCTTGGATGCTGAATGGGCTTGACAAAAACACACTGAAGAAAATCCGGCTGGATGGAATGGGGATTTTTGGCCTTTATTCCCCCCATATTCCGACATGAATGTTTAGTTTCGTACCGACACATGCATGGAAATGATAGACTGAATTTGCACCCCGCTTAGGAACTTGTAAATGACCTAGCTAGCAATTCCTCCAAGTGGGGTTATCCCATAAAAAATGTGGTTAAACTTATTTAGTGCTACTCTGATGGTGGCTCAATCTGAAGCAATTTTGGTTGAAGTCTAGTCACCATATTGTCGCACAATATGATATATTATGGCCGTTTTACAGGTGTCGAGTGACCATCTTAAAGTTTCTGATGCGACCAGGGATCACCAGGGACTAGGAAAGACACTCAGACTTAGAATTGTCTATTGACAGTGGTTACCCTCTGGTAAACTAACATAGCTATTGAAAATGGCCATAGAAATAGTGGATTTACCCATTAAAAATGGTGATTACCAGTGGTTAACTGATGATTGACAGTGCTGATCTACAATCCCTCTTCACTATAGGGTGCCTCCAGGAGTTCCATCCAAACGATCAAGTAAGCATTGAGGTACGCGCGCTTGAACGCTGGGGAAACAGTGGGGAAAACTTGGGACGGGGAAGTTCAACAACGAAAACGGGGTGTCCAGGGGGAACCGTTGGGAAAAGTATGGAAAAGTGATCCTATGCTTGTGCGGAAACTTTCGGAACTTCCACTCCCTCCACTAAAACAAACCAAAGAACTGATGCTTGACAATCACTGATCCTACGTCGTCTCTGGCTAACATTTGCCATTTTTTCAATGGGCAAATGCTCTCCTAAAAAGAATTCAAAGGCTACAGTTTTTTTTCCATCCCCAAATGGATCTGGGTCTCGAAACGGCGATTTTTTGGGGATCAACATTTCTCAGCACCTTCCCATCAAACATGGGACAGCTCAGGGTAAGCGATAAGTTACCGGGAAACGACGTCGTTTTGTCTGAAAATCGATAACCCCTAAATCACAATTTCCACACTCAAATGGCATTTGGTTGAGACTTGTTCTACCCCAAAATTGCTGCTATATAATACATCTTCCCCCAAATTTCTGGAGTTTAGCGGAAAACCTTCAGCAATCTCCAGTCCCCAATATTAAGTATACTCCATTTGAAAATTCTTGTTAAGGGAATATGATCGGGCATGGGATTACTTAAGATTCCCAGTTCTGTCCCACTACCATTCCCATCTAGCATTGGAAAGAACCATGATTGTTCATAAGGTTTTTCCATGGTAGTTTCCATAGCGTTGAGAAAAAAAAACAGCACATCACACCAAAACTATGTTTCTTTGTTTGTCATAGGGTTTTTCATAGTTGTTCATAGTTTTTTCCGTGGATTTCTCCACCCCAAACAAAAACATTCGTTTTTTCTCCACGTCCGGAGGATGGCAGGCCTTCAGCTTTCGCTTCGTCCGGAGGATGGCTCCACGCTTCTCCCAGCGGCTCGTCTCCTGTAGGAATAGAGTTTTCTCTATTATATTCTGTGAGCATCATGTTTCTGAAGACTTTATAATCCAAATATAATCCATATATATATATATTATGCATGTTTCTTTAATATAAAATATATAAATATATAATTATATATATACACATGTTTCATCATGTGGTTTTGCCTGATCACCCGATCAGTTCTGGGAGGGGTGAGGTCAACTTGGTTGGTCCAAACCCCCAGTCAAATCCAGGACGGTACACCTCCTTGCATAGCCTCTCGGCGAAGGACCGCAAGTGGTTGGCGTCCTGGGGTCTGGCTGGGAACGGCTGGGGATTGAGGAAATATCATGGGAATCTGCAGGGAATATATTGGGAATATGGTGTCTTTTCTTAGGTGATATCAAGTATCAATGCATTGGTAGAAGGGAAATCCTCCAACAATGCTTTTGACCACCAAATAGTTGCGGGTTCCGGCAGAATTTCCCATCATCTTGTTCTGGGATTTACGGGATTGTGTTTGTCCCTCACTCTGTTTGTACGACCCTTGATGTACAACCCTTTTGGCAAAAACCTGGCAGTTTTTTGCCACATATTTTCGAGCACATCGCTATTGTCGAGCGGGCCTCCTTCTTTCACTTGATCACTGCATTTGACATGGTCTTCCGATATTGATGATGTGGAAAACCATATCTCATTTGAGGAGCTCTTAATATTTCTCTTACAGTAATATATTCTTCTTGGACACATCCAACTCAAGAAACATGGCCCAACATCATTTCCGCTGCTTGGACCTCAACATCCCGGACTGCGTCCTCCGGATACTTTTGCAAGGCTGACAGCAAGTTCTTGGCAGCGACGTGGGAGCGGCTTGAGGCTGGAAGCAGTCGTGCTACGTGTTTCATGTCTATGTCCTCCCTGTCTTCACTTGCTTGATGTCAGGGCAACTTTTGATACGCCCGAGAAATAATATGGACATTATCTCAGCACAGGACCCCCAACATGGCCACGGGAACCATTTTGAGATCTAACTTCTCTCCAACAAGTCAAACAAAAACATATCATGGTGCCATATGTTTGGTCCCCATTTGCCCAACATGGTTGTGAATGTTGTGAGCAACATTCGGGGTGTCCCTTGTTGCTAAGACCAATCCAGTGGGATCCGCATCCATTTTGGGACATGAAAAATGCGTCCATTTTTCACAAACCAATCACCAAAACTCCTACAAACCACAAAACAAAAAACACAAGTTTGAACTGTGATATAATTCCCCAAACAAGAAAAGGCCACAATTCCCATGAAATCCCCTATTGTCGGTATCATTGTTGGTTTTTACCCATTATATCGCCGAATTAGATAGTGAGTTGTGTCCATGTTTATTGGTTCAATCCTCACAAGGTGGTGCCGCCCAGTTCTAAGTTGGTTAATAAACCATAGAGTAACTATACTTCAAGTATACTTCGATATATCTATCTTTCTATCCATCCATTCATCCATCTGTCTGTCTATCTGTCCATCTGTCTATCTACCTACTGCAAACCCAACAGTGAAAGTGAAGTTATATGTTCACCAACTTAGCCATGAAATCCCATGGAACTCACCATTAGTTCCCACCATTTCTTGATCCAAAATGGTGGTTTAACATGGTTTAACATGGTTTAACCATCAAGAAATGGTGGGAACTGGTGATTACATGCCACCATGAAGCCACCATGAAGCTTCCCCAAAATGCCAAGAGTCCTGTCTGGACACCGAATGGCAATTGCAAGACGCCATGGCTTTGATGGTCACGGGCAGTCCCAACGTTTCGAAGATCGCCTGGGATGCGATCTTAGGCCCAAAACCACTGGCAATCTCTAGGCACTAGTTATCTTGTGATGTTTCTAATTTCTAGAAATTGTGATGTTTCCAATTCATAGATATATGATTAATTATATGATGATATATGCGCAGATTATTTGATGATTATTGTATGCGCAAATGGTAGCTGGTGGCCAAAAGGACCAGGTTCTGCAATTCCGGCACCAAAGAAATGAGAGATCCTCTATGACCATGAGATACCCTCTATGGCATGCATTCTTCGAAAGAAACTTCGTCCTGTCATTTTCCAAACGACTTATCACCTTGCAACGGGAACCACAACTGTTTTTTGTTTTTTACACGTATAAGTAAGGACATGTAAGGCTTGTTCATTGCTGGATACTCAACCCAAGATATCCCAAGATCACATCAAAAAAACTTCTGATCCTGAGATTTGATTCATCAAAAAGTCAACGGAATGCCACGGAACCAAAGCGATGGCTGAATCAACCAACATCTCAACCAACCAGCTCCTGAAATCGCGATATATCCGATTGTATTCTGAGCAAATGCACATGATTACAATATCATACAACATCTATACCCTCTGGTAAACTAATATAACTATGGAAAATCACCATGTTTAATGGGTAAACTCACTAAAAATGACCATTTTCAATAGCTATGTAAACGTTTACCAGAAGGTAGATGATACATTTATCCATTATTTATCCATGGTTATTGGCTATGTTCCATTATTGACCATTATTAACAATTATTAACCATTGGATACCATTGGTATATCCCATACAACATCTATATATCAAGAAACAACGGTTTGATCTCCAAATCGCCAAGGAACTCCAAGGCCAATCACTTTGCCGCTGGAGATCTTCTCAATGGGTTGGTCATCTACCTGCCGACGTTTTTTTTTCAGCTGGACCGGCCTGGGTTAGGATGTCCTGGTTTTAAGGAACAAATCATGGATTGCTTTTTTTAAGGGAAAATCTTCACCGGAAACCCATGGGTTTTAAGCACCAATTTTTTCGGGTTTTCCTGCACCATTTTCCCTTAAACCAATTCTATGAAATATGGGGATGGGTCAAAACCCTGTACTACTAGTGAACATGTTTTTTTGATGTTCACCAAGGGTACATACGTAGCTGGTAAATGGATGATTGTCCCCACAAATTGTTTCTATAGGTGTTGATCCATGACATATGCTGTCTATTATGCTGACCCTTTTTTTAGTTGAAGATTGTGCTTCGGTTTTACTGGTCTCCCAGTATAATGTATCCTGGCCGCAGGATGCCGCAGGGGTTGCAAATGATCACCATTTACATCCACTAGTAAAACATCATGGATCATGCCAATACCTCTGGATTGTCAACAAATCTCCGTTTACCTCTTTCAGTCCAGTTTGGCAGCCAATAAAAAGTGCAAACCAACTTTTTGAAGGCAATTCCACAACACTTTCGCGAAATGTCCCCAACATGTCACTTCCGCATTTCATTGCCATTGCGTTCAAATTGGCTTTTCAGGACTTTTCAGGACTTTTCAGGGCAATTCCGTGCAACTGTCTTCCTTCAAACCCATAAATGAGGCCTCGAGGGTTATGGCCGCTCACTTGAAGCTAGGCTGACATCTGTATGTTTTCAACCTAACCTCCAAACTTGAATCCCTCCAAGGAACGCAAACTGCAGCTTCGCCATTTTCAATAAAATACAGCCTGTCGACATCATCCTCAGCAAAAAACAGTGACTGAGCCGCTCGGCGGCAAAGAGTTTCTGTGAAAAGTCTTCAACGATGTTCAACGCCTTGAAGAGTTGGAGGCTTCCTGAAATGGGAATACCATGGGAATACCATGGAATACCCCCAAATCATCCATTGAAATCACAGCTGTCGGGGTGCCCCCATTTCTGGAAACCCCGGGGTGAAGATCCACAGAATCTCTGGCCTTTTTCCATGCGGCCAAGCAGCATTCTCATGGAAAATGACTTGGTCATCCACGAATCTCTCGACAGAGGCGTTCAAGAGCAATTCCTGCCATTTTTTTGTTTTTTGAAGGTCTATCATGGTCTATCTATACCTTGAACCTTCAAACCCGCAACAAAACCGTAGGGCGCACACAAAAGGACGAGGTTTCCAACCAAAACCCGAGGTTTTGGTTTCGCCCCTATTCTAACTGTGGTTTGCATCCTCACATGCTGCATTTACAACAAAATCAACAAAGTCTCAGAACCACAAAGGCACTCCATCGAACAAAGGGGACCTGGCAAAGGATGATTCTGAGCTACAGCCCAGAAGATCCGTGTTTTTTAAACACTTGATTTTGTGGAAACAGTGTTGCACTGGAAAAAAAAAACAAAATGCATGCACTTGGTTTGATCATTCGAGGAGGGTTTAAACCATGGCCATGTAATTTACACGGCTTGTCATGGGTTTGTCATGGGTATGTCACGGGTTAGGCAAACCCGAGGTTTTTCGGAAAACTCAGAATCTTGCTGATAATCACCGGTTATCATGGGTTTGTCATGGGATGATCACAGGTTTGTCACGGGTGTGCTAGGCCTGAATACCCCACCCGATCTTTTTAATCGATGTTTGCTTCAAAGGCAACAAACCAAGAAAATAGGCAGCCAGCAGAGGGGATGGTAAGATGTTCGGATGCTTCCGAGACAAGTAGACACTGATTCCTTTTACATAACAAACTTTTTGAACTCATGATCGATAGTACCGCATCATCCAGGTACATTCTGGTGAAAAACGGTCTTATAACGAACCTGTGGCCCTTGGCATTCGAACATTTTGTGGAAAACCCGAGGTTTTAGATCAATACCCCAAATTTCTTTCAGGGTTTGGACGCTTGGTATGACTAGATATCTATAATATATGCAAAAAAAATTGTCTATTTCAGGTACCTAAAGCTTTGTGTAAGGTCTGCGCAAAGCAGAATAGCTCCAATCTGGATGCCTAAAAGCCACTGAAACAGCCTACCAATGCACCCCGCAGCCTTGAGAAGCGAATCATATGTTACCTCTTCACTGTAAGAATTGGAGGGTCAGTTGAACTCCGTGATGAGGACTCTGCAGCGGTCCTTCACAAAGTTGCTATCTCGGCCGGCGAACTCCTGACATCGAGGGCCAACTGGGTGAGTTTCTCTCATCAATTTCAACAGGTGAAATGCAAAAAGTGATGCTTTCCATTTCCATGTTACAAAACGGGTCTTAATAAAAACCAACTTGCCAACTGGGTGCGTGTGCGAACATTTGCTAGCCTGTGCAGTGATGGGTCCTTCACACAAATTCGTATGTACTGTGAGCTGCGTATGAGCATGTGTCATTATATCAGTCATGTTGAATGTAATAATGATAAAAAAGATGATAGCATTCGTACTTACAGTAATAATCTTAAACGTAGTAATAATAACGAAAATGCAGCAATAACACTATATAAATTAATCATATATATATATATACCATAAATATATATATATATATTGATGGGGCTGGAAAATGTTTATTCTGTATTCTGTACCTTCGAATTGCACCAGGAGTTCCTCGTTATCCCTCACACATTGGCTGGTTGGCAGTTGAAACCATATCCAAAAAAATTGTCAATTGGCCATCCGTCCCAAGTCACAGGGTGCGGGAGCCCCCAAGCCATGGATAATCATTGTGCTATCAATTATTGCTCCACACTTCAAAGGCTAATTATGATTCTGGTACCTGGTGATTTCTCAAGCCTTGGCTCACCCCATTTGGGTGACAGCCTCCCCCCCTGTCCTGTGACTTCAGGATGCTCTCAAGGTATTCCAACCCGGCCTCAAGCGCATTTCTCAACTGATTGGTGGTTGAGCCATTGGATCATCATCATCCCGCATATGGTATATATGGTTGAAAAAAGTGAAACAAAATATGTGAAACCACCAGCCAGTATCATCTCATTGGTGATATATTCCATTATCTCCCCATGTTAACTGCTTATTAAAACCAACAAATTTTGCTTAAATCTCAATAATTAAGCATGATATACCACAGGACATCCTATAGTCAATTCTAGTAAATTCACTGTCAACTGAGTTTTCATAGAAAATCCCATAATTCCAATAATCATAGGAATTCCCAGTCAATTCCATTCCAGTGATAATCATCATAACCCTATGGTGAACCTCCTGAAATTTCCGCCAGAAGCGCCTTTCTTTCGGCCTCCCCGTCGGCCTCTGCGGCCTGGAGAGGCCATGTTGGTGGTGTTCAACAGAAAATCCATTGGAATCATGGTGTTTTTTTTTAATTTGGTCGTACTATCCTTATAATTACTATACTTTTTTCGTGAGATACATATATATATATATGTATGATACAATTAAAAAAAAATGAATATATATATATATTATATATATATAATTGTAATATATAAAATAGATAGTGAGACAATTTTTTTAAAGTGTTCAATTGGATTTACTGAGATTTGCGTAGGATGGGACAAAATGGCACCACTGAGTGGTCCCCGCCACGCCTGCATGGCCCCGAAGGTCCAGCCATTCGCCGGCCCAGCTTGAACCGTCAAAGGGGACCACGGGGCCACCAAAACCTCTAATGCTATGAAATGCTATGAAATGCTATGAAATGCTATGAAATGCTATGAAATGCTATGAAATGCTATGAATATAAATATCATAAATAACTACATATGTATATATATATATATATACATATCACTGATCCAAGAAAACTCACATTTTGGCTGGCTTCAAGCGCTTAAGGAACAAGACGTTCCACCTGCACCAACTTAGATCAAATGCTCGACCTAGAATGATGTCATTTTCCATCATCTTTCAAGCCCCAACAGTCAAAAAGTCAGCTTTGGTGAATCTTTGGATTTTCAAAGTGTACATAAATCGTTGGCCAAAAACGCCAGGGCAACCCGTCAGATTCCGTCAGTTGCCAGTCGTTGGCTCCATCGCCTCCCAGGGCCCTGCTATGTCTGGGGTCGGTGCTCGGGGACCGAAGAGTGCAGCACTGCGGAGCAGGATGATCTGCTCGGACTCGGCCCAGTGTGACGTCGGGGCTATGAGAAGTTACTAAGTCCCGTTACGGGAAAGTGGTGGCCCTAAGAAATCCATGAAAGAGACTTACTGTATCTCTATAAATATGATATAGATACTTAAGTGATTTATAGGTGGTAGGCCCCATTGTAGACCCCATTGTTCAAATTCATTCAAATCCAAACGTTGCATGTGCTTCAAACATGTTCAAACCATTAACCCCTGTTGGCCAAGCATAGGTCCGTCCTGGAAACTAGCAGCTAGGGGCCACACCCAGCGATGTGCATAGATTCCACTGACCATGTAATCTGCGAACTTTAAGTACCTGCTTGCAGGGGCAGCTGTTATTCACAGAAGTGGCATCATGATATGTTTGATTGACTTGGCCATAGTTGGAAACAAGTACATCAAATATGTTTGTATATATATATGTGTGTGTGCCAAAAAATAATAACTGCAAAAAAAACTCTTGGCTGGCCGCGAAAACAAAGCCGCACACACGTTCTGGATAGAAACTCTGCAAAGGACATGCCAGACGAAAGAACGCTTGCAATGTGTGAATAAAATTTGCAAACATCAAAGTGCCCTTTGCTAATTTAATGTAGCTATGGAACATCACCATTTCAAATACAGAAACCATCATCTTTATCATCTATTTCTATGGGCCAGAACTATCTGTGAATAATCACACAAAGTAATCCAAGAAATTCCATGAAAATCATGGACAATTCGACGAAATTCCATGGCTAATCCCTGGGATCCATGCTTCATCTGTGCAGAACCCGGTGGCACAGATCAGAGGTAAAGAATCGCGCGTCTCCAATGGTCCACCTCGCTGCCGGGAAGTTTCTGATTTTATATGTAAATATACCCCCAGGCCGGGGGTGCCTCCGGGCTAGGGGTATATCAAACAGTTATATCTATAGATATATATATGTGTGTGTGTGTATGTGTGTATTTAAAAAACATGTATATAAATACATATATATATATATATATATGGGGTTCTTTAGGGTTTCAATTTAGGGTTTCTTTAGGGCTTCGTTTGGGGCTTTTAGGGTTTTACCACGGTGTTAACGGAGAAATTCTCGTCATCCATCCGGGGAGATGGACGACATCCCGAATCTCAGAAAACACTGGCCCTGCGCAGTCAAAACGCACACAACCCCGGGCAGCACACCCGTCCTGGCCGTAAATACATATGTATATGTATTAATTTGTATGTATGTATATGTATTATTTGTATGTATATATATATATATGTATATGTACTGTACATGTATTGAGAGTGGAATTCCAAGGTCAGGATTCCTCTTGCTGTTAGTTGAGTGATGAACTGAGGGGACATCGGTCATCTTTTCATCACTATTCTGTAAATTATCTACCTGATGAATAACCTTCCAAATAGTAGTTGCTAGGTCATATATGTCATAAACAAATTATAATAATCTATATAACATTGTCTACCGTACCTACCAAGTATCTACATAATCTAGCAATGGACATTCAACTTGTATACATCCAGTTTTGGATGCTCTTCCTGTTCAACAACAAGAGATTTCCAGCTAGCCATGTTTGATTCGATGGTGCTCCTCCTGGTTGGTTTGATTCGAAAGCCTCAGGGCCCCTGCTGTCCACCCGCAGCTGCTGGCCCCTTCCCTGAGGGACAGTGCTATCCATTTAACCATCTCTCCATCTTTCTATCTATCTGTCTAGATATCCATAATCCATAGTTGTAATTGTATATGTATGTATGTATGTATGTATGTATATATATATATATGTTCGATCTTGCTTATGTACCTATACACATAGTTGCATGTGTATTGATTCATCTATATACATTCAATCAGCTTTATTGGATGACAAAAAAAACGCACACCTCCTCGCCCAAAAAAACTGCAACGAACCCTCTTGCCATGTGCAAATCCTGAGGACGACCCCACCTACCAGGAGAACGTCCAGGTCGGGACGTCCAACATATCTGATGTCCTCAAGGAACCTGGAGATCTGTGGCTGTGAAACCAGACTCTCAAGTCACAAACTGTGAGTTTCCTGACCCTACCAGGGACTTGCAAAACAATTCATAAACCTACCATTTGGGGGTACTTTAAACACCCATTTATGATGATTTTCGGGATGGTTGATTCTTGGGGTTAAACCACATGATTTTTTGTTGGTGAGTTCAACCATGCGCCAAGTGCTGTTTGAATTTGCTCCAAAGTTGAGATTTGAGCTCAGCTGGACGAGTTTGGACCACTCAGCTTCGGCATGTTGATTCTCCGGGCCCAGCTTTGTCGATGAAGATTCATCATCCAAATTTAGTTTGGATATATTGTACTCAGTTGCTCCGTAGTATAACAACGGAGGTGAAAAAAACTGTTGGAGACATCTAGCGGGGTAAACAAAGTGTAGGTGGAATATCCCCTAGAAATACAGGGTTTACCATCGCCATGGCTGTTGCCCATGTACCAAAAATGCCTAGTCTTGGTAAAACATTTCGCAAACAAAAAATGATGCCCTAAAACAATCACAGTTCAAAACAAAACAAATGCCATGAACCAAAACTATCTTTCACCCGTCAACTTACAGAGTTTCTTGGGTTAAATTGTGGTTTCAAATTCCTGTTTGTTGGGTTCTTTCTCTTTCTCTCTAAACAAAATGTAGAAACAGTGCTATCAATACCAACATCCAATGTTTCTTGCTGGTTGAATCCCATGAAAGTAGCACCCCCAGGATGTTTACCAGATCTCAGGTCAACCTTAAATATTAGGCACATATTCAAGGATAAATCTATGCAATATAATACGTATACATGTCGTAAATATGTCGACAAATCAATAAGTTAAAAAAAATACTCATGACATCAATAAGCATAATAAACCTCCATGTAATTCGGGAATTTTCCAGCTAGGCACAGACTAACCATAGTATATGATAGTATGTGTACATGTCCCAGTACATCCTGTCATTCTCAGGAGCAATATACCATCATTGAAAAAACTATATATATAGTAATGTTGTAGATGATATTTACTTTATATTTCCAGGGTTCCCACTTTTCTATCTATTTTGGCGTTGCTATGAATATGAAAACATGTGACTAGATAATGAAAATAATCAAAGCTTGGAGATAGTATAGGATCGCTAAGTATCAATATATATATATATACACACACACCCCTAAAAGTAGATGGCTCAACTCAAAAACCAAAATACCCATAAGATGGCACCGCGCGGTGAGGAAGAAAACGGCGCTATTTTAGCAGGAACATAAAACGAGTTCCGCCAATTGACGAACAAAATCACCCTACTTCAAAATGAAAAGGTATATGGCGCAACTGCCACTCCAGTAGATGGACATAAGGGTATTGTTAACTAAAATTACTACATTTCCGATCATTTTTGCTTGTTTATACTGTAGGTTACACATGTTTGTATTGTATCTAAATATATACATATATATATATATGTATGTATGTAATTCCCCTAATTTGTTATTCTAAAAATGAGTTGCGCCATCTATGTCCCTTACATCCCATTCAAACGCCGGAAAAAAAATCGATGGGTTCAAACATGAACTGCGCCATCTGTGTCCCTTAAATCGCATTCAAATCTTTTAAAATTTCATTGCGATACCTTGAAAATGAACCACTGAATGTCTTAAAACCGATTGTGGACAGAATTTATGGATAGAAATCTCATTTTCCAGCTGATTTTGAGAAACATATTTTGAAAAAAATAAAACTTCATTGCAATACCTTGAAAATGAGTTGCGCCATCTATGTCCCTTAAATCCCATTCAAACGCCAGAAAACAAATCAATGGGTTCAAACATGAATTGCGCCATCTATGTCCCTTAAATCGCATTCAAATCTTTTAAAATTTCATTGCCATACCATTAAAATGAACGACTGAATGTCTTAAAACCGATTGTGGACAGAATTTATGGACAGAAATCTCATTTCCAACATATTTTGAGAAACATCTTTTGAAAAAAAACGTTTAAGACTTCATTGCAATACCTTGAAAACGAATTGCGCAATCTATGTCCCTTAAATCCCATTCAAACGCCAGAAAAAAAATCGATGGGTTCAAAATGCATTGCGCCATTTATGATATTTATGAGGACAAAAACCTGTTTCCAAGATTCTAAAGCCTGTCCTCATCATCAAGCCCTTTCCTGACTTGCGCCATCCATGCGCGTCCCAAACATGGCGGTTCAGCAGGCTGAGGGGGTTGGCAGTGGCAAACGCATTTAGAAACAGGCTTTTGTCCTCATCATCAAGCCTTTGCCTGACTTGCGCCATCTATGTGGTTTGGAATTGTTTGGAAACAGGCCCGATTTTGGGGGCATATTTCTGCTTCAGGAAAGGAGATGCGCCATCTATGTGGCATATTTTGATTAGGTTGGTTTATGGATGTCGGGGGAGTTGCGCCATCTGTGTGGGCATTCCCAACCTGATTTTGGCGAATGAGTGGGAGTTGCGCCATCTATGTCCCAAAAAGGCAGCTTGATGTTGAGAAAAAATTATGGGTGCAAACCAGCGCAGAAGATTGCAAAAACTAGGTCATTTTTAGGGACATACATGGCGCAACTGAACTGTTTTGAATGGGAGTTGAGCCATCTATCCCCCGCATTTTGCATTTGACATAGATGGCGCAACTCAAGATTCTGAGCCATCTACTTTTAGGGGGGAGTATATAGAGAGAGATAGAGAGAGAGAGAGAGAGATAGAGAGATAGAGAGAGAGCGAGAGTCACTCCCAAAAAGAAAGACAGTAAAATCCTACTGACATAGGAAAAGCTTCATTTTTTACTCATTTTTGGGAGCTACAGTATATACATTGTCTTTACATTGTGTATATATATATATACATACATATATATATATATATGTGTGTATTTTGTTGTGTGTGTGTGCGCCTAAGTGATACACATATGTATATTATATATATATGTGTTTTTCTTATACCATATACATGTTTATACCATCATACGGTTTGGAAACTCTTAGTAGCTCCTTAGCTCCCCATAGATCAAAGGGAATGTGAATACCCCTAGGTCCCTTCTAACCGCTGGAAAGCATTTATCTATTCATCCATCCATCCATCCATCCACCCATCCATCCATCCATCCATCTTATCAGATGAACATATATATATATATATACCATCATATCATATGCATAAATATCAATGCTAATTATTACTGCGGTAATTAAATACTAATCATACTAGTTCTTAGTAATATCTCTCTCCACCAACAATAAACCCACAAAAATACCATTGTTCCATTGGTTAACAATCATACATCATTCATCCCACCCCCCTAATATTAAACATCCCATGTTATGGATCCAATTACGTGAAATTCCCTCCGTCCACATCCATCCACCACGGTTTCGTTTAGGGGGCATGGTCCCCCACTGGGTCTCCGCAACTCCGAGCTCCGCAGATCGAAGTCGTCGTAGCAGCCAGGGGCTTCCCGCGACAGCTTGTCGTAGACCTTGGAGCCCAAGGTAGCGTGGACATACTGGGAGTACAAGTGGGAAATGATGATATCAGAGATTTTGTTGGTTTTAGTAGGATTCAATGGAGTTGTTTTCAGGCATTTAAGGGATTTAATGGTGATTTTGAAGGGTTTAATCGGGTTGAATGGCGATTTTAAGAATTTGAATGGGAGTTAATTGCGATTTTAAAGATATTAAAAGGGTTTACAATAATGGGATTTAATGCTGATTTCAAAGGGCTTAATGGGATTTAATTGTGATTTTCAAGGTTTTGATGGGATTTAATTGTGATTGATTTTGAAGGTTTTGAGTGGATTTAATGGTGATTTTATAGGTTTGATGGGATTTTCATTATGTTTTCTTAGCTTTTGATGGGATTCAATGATGACTTTTTAGGCTTTGATATGATTTAATGGTACGTAGTTCTATAGGGATTAATGGGGATTGTGCAGGATTGTGCAGGATTGGGATTTAATGATGATGTAATGGGGATATGCTGCACGTTTACTGGGACGTTTAGCATTGCCAATCTTCGATAAACCGTCGTTGCTACTCCTTCATTGTCATTCACTTCCCTATGGCAATCATGGCGATGGAGAATCCCCAATTTGTGGATGAGTTGACAGTTGCCTTTCAGACGGGAAAATCGAGGGTTCCCACTTTCCACTGTCATGTTTGTGTAATTGTTGATCATATCACCAGTGTTGGTGGCTTTCGTTCATATCCCGCCACACAAACTACACATGGTTCCTAACTTCAGTTGTTTTTTCCTGAGGGCACGGCCATCAAGCACCCCATCTCCTGCCCAGGGAAGCACCAAAAATTACTTTACTTCGTGTGATCCCCACCATGACATTTATACATTTTCTTACTGGCAAATCTTCTGGCATTCTATCTGACATATCTTCTGACATTCTATTTGGCATTCTATCTGGCATATCTTCTGGCATATGATTTTGCATATCTTCTGGCATATCTTCTGGCATTCTATCTGGCAAATCTTCTGGCATTCTATCTGGCATATCTTCTGGCACTCTATTTGACATATCTTCTGGCATTCTATCTGGCATATCTTCTGGCATATATTCTGACATATCTTCTGGCATTCTATCTGACATATCTTCTGGCATATATTCTGACATATCTTCTGGCATATCTTCTGGCATTTCTATCTGGCATATCTTCTGGCATATTTTCTGGCATTCTATCTGGCAAATCTTCTGGCATTCTATCTGGCATATCTTCTGGCATATTATCTGGCATTCTATCTGGCATATCTTCTGGCATATATTCTGACATATCTTCTGGCATTCAATCTGGCATTCTATTTGGCATTCTATCTGGCATATCTTCTGGCATATCTTCTGACATTCTTTCTGACATGCTTTCTAACTTTCTTCTGCACATTCTTTGTCCCATATCTTCCTACATGAGGTCCGGCAGGGAACACTTGGCGTGGATACTCGCGGTTGAGGTCCGGCAGGGAACACTGGGCCTGGATGGTCGTGGTTGAGGTCCGGCAGGGAACACTGGGCGTGGATGGTCGTGGTTGAGGTCCGGCAGGGAACATTGGGCGTGGATGGTCGTGGTTGAGGTCCGGCAGGGAATACTGGGCGTGGATGGTCGTGGTTGAGGTCCGGCAGAGAACACTGTGGATCGCGGGTCGCAGTTGAGCAAGGACGACGAGGACGATGAGGACGACGAGGAGGACGAGGAGGAGGAGGAGAGGAGGACGAGGCAGGAGGAGGCGGAGGAGGAGGAGGAGGAGAAGGAGGAGGAGAAGGAGGAGAAGGAGGAGGAGGAGGCAACTGACATAAAATCTAACAACCCTCACCTGGCAGGTGGGGAATAATGATCTTAACTAAGCATGAGGGCAGGAGAAATAGTTTGTAGCAAATAGTTTGCAAGCCGAAACGGCTAAATTGTACGGGGCTCCATGTTGCTCATATTGGCTTTGAAGGACGCGACTTGCTGTATCCCTGAAGGTAATAAATGGCGCGTAGTTAGCTTCTAATCACCATTGTAGCTGGGATCTTTCCAACGCCGAATTATACAAGAAACCCTTGTCCATTAATTAGGGGGTACCACAGGTACCCCTCCAAAGAGTGGTAATATGCTACCATCCCAAGTAAACAGCCTAGGGGTTTATGCAAAATCCGGGCCTGACAATATCTCAGTCTTGTAGAGACGTCAGGATGCTACCTAACAAACCTACCAAAAGCAGATTCACCCCAGTATACAGATTCTCCCCCCCAAGAAAAAACAATCCCAAACTACCCTAAACCATTGGTGGGAAGGGACACTTGAAATAAAGTTTAAGCCATAGATTTGAAACAAAAAATATAGTGTCCCTCGGGTTGTCACCTAAACCCATCCATTTCAGCCAAGCGCTGCCAAGTAGCAGCCATCAATTTGAAGGGGTCGACCACCGGCGCTTCCACGAAGAAAAGGTCCTGGCAAATGGATGCAAATGGTGTGGTGGTCTTGATACATCAAAACGGAATAGTATTTATTACCTTGGGATCATCCGACCATCCCAATTAATTATAGCTACCAGCTAAGCCTGAAAACAATGAAATTTTAAAATTTTGCCAAAATTTTACGATTTTGGGGGAGTTGCAGGAATTCCTGCGATTCGCAAAACAGTTGCGAGAATTTGGGGGTAGGATGTAAGATCCATTTGTTAGGTTTTCGGTGTGCAACGCCGACAGTTTCTATTGCTTAAATTCGTGTACTGCTCATGTATGTTTGATATGAACGATTTAATCATTTTTTAGTAGCATTATGTCGGTTTCAATTTAGTTTTTCTGAAATATTTAAAAAGTTGATCGTTTGACAACAATTTTTTTTGATGATTTAAGTTAGTAAAATGAACGTCTTAAGTGTGATGAATTTTAATTCAGCTTAAAGACAATTCCAGTGCGAAAGATTAAAGTTTAATCAAAATTACGTGCAATAGATCAACTAATCTTCAATTATATCTGAAAAATAAGTCAAGTGAAGTGAAATGTGATAGATTTTTAATCTATATTAAGTGTGTGAAATTTTGTATTAAGTGAAGTGAAATGTGATAGATTTGGTCAACTGTATCATAACCAGCAATAGCTAAGCCTAAACCAAAGGAACATTGAAAAACAAGTACAATTCTGTGTGAACCGCAAAGAATTCTTACGATTAGGAAAAGAGAAGCCAGAATTTGGGAAAACGAAAGGGATACATGTGGGATTGACCTTTACCGCAGTTTTGGTATGGAATGCGCCACGTCGATGGGGTTCTTACTTCCGGGGTGCTGCTGGCATATTTGGAGGTCGATTGGATTCAAGACTCTGTCTAACTTGAGCAAAAAAAGAAAAACTGGTGCAACTTAATTCACAAAATGGCTTAAATTAAGCCGCGGATAATGTTTGAAGACAACTATAATTTCATAATTTGCGGTTTCAACGATTTATAGCCGAACTTAATTTAGATTGATTTAACCTGACTTACATAAATAGATTTAATGACATGGTTTTCAGGCTGTAAAACTCAGTGAAACTAATTTGGAGTGATTTATTCATTTAAGTTACTGGTTGGTTGGGCTGACGGTTGCAGAACCTATTTACATAGAGATTACGGGTGCTTCAACGGAAATGACGCAACTAATTGACTTGTGAAAAGGAATGGTAAGAATAGAACTTAGATTAACATCCAGGGCATTGGGTTAAGCAAGAAACAATTCGTGTCAATTTAATCTCTTTAAAGCCCGTCGAGTCAATCTGCAGAGTTGACTTAAGGCTTGGACAATAAAGTGATGGAAAACAGAGAGAAAAATTAATGATTGGAAGGTTTTATTTTACTTGTTTTGATCATACTAAACTACTGTAACATCATACGTGATGGAAGTCCTTCAGATTTAGAATCTAAAGCGAAGAAAAAGTAATGTAGCCGTGATAAAATAGACGATGCGACGAAGAATTAATGCAAGGTAGCTTAGTTTGGGGGCAAATTGGCTACTACGCGCTACAAGAACGGAATGTCACATCAGAAATAGTAAGTGGTTTGGATGCGAAGTGGAGTCATGTACAGTATAACCTGCACATGTATACTGTATAAACGTAAAGATTTGGCATGTGGCTTGCTCCATAGAATAAGTTTAAATTTAAGAACCAGGTTTCGAGATCCTTAGGGATATCAGGGAGGATATATCGGGATGGAGAGGGGCTTGCTTCAGGACTTCCAGAGCTTGATGATAAAAAAGTTTCCGGGCAAGAAGTTGATGGCAGTCAAAGGCAATATATAATTCCAAGACCAATGCAAATTTGTAGTTCGGTGCTGAAATTTTGACGCCGGTGACGGAACAGAAAACGGAAAACAAGGATAAACTGCCATACCTGCAAGCATTGGCCACGTGCCTGTGGGAGATGTGCAGTCTGAAGCTTTGCTTGTTGATGTAATTCCATGTATGATGGGTTCGATACGTTTTAGATACCTTGAGCGCCAAAAGCAAGCTTGTTTTTTAAATAACTGTGATCAAAACTGTGTGCCCATAGGACAACAAACAGAAACCAACAACAACTACTACAACAGGAGAAATTAAAAATACAAACGGAGAAATTCAAAATACAAACGGAGAAATTCGAAATACAAACGGAGAAATTCCTGCGAAATATGCACCCGGAGAAGTTGCGAGAATATGCGGAGAAGTTGCGAGAATATGCGGAGAAGTTGCGAGAAAAAATTGCGAGAAAGGGCGGAGAAATTGCAGGAATTCACACGTGCAACAATGTGCCAACTATGCAGGAAAGATCAGGCAACGTAAGCAAAATTCATCAAATTTGTGGACTGCATGCGCCACATGTGAAAAAATGCTTCAAAGTCACTGAATGAGGCAGGTTTGACGCAAAAAAAAACTGAAAAAATAGAGTTGAGGTCACTGCAGTTTATTCGCATGTAACATATGTAAATCACGTGTTGTTTTTCCGTAGATGATTGGTTCTTGGATACTACCTGTTCTGAATAACATGAGTTAAACTCAAAAGATTTCAAAAGCAAGTCTTGGAACTGCTTTGAACTGGCTCTGAACCCGATTCACTTCTTTGGCGGCTTTGTGCCCAGCATTTTGCGGGCAGAGATTGGTTTTTTTGTTGAATATAAGAACTCTGAGGCTTACATCGTTTTCCCCCCGGCCTAAGTAGCAAAAAATTGCCGCTATAATGATTTTTCTATGCCTTTATAGTTTTATGACACCATGTCTGCTGCCTTGAAGAACCCATGGTTGATGAACATTAGTAGAGACAATTTGTTTCCAATATTGTCCAAAACATGTGGCTAAAGTTGCTACAATTACATTGCTGTTGGAAACTTGGCAAACCAAAAACAATGAAATTGATCCAAATTTCAAGCGATAGATCTTGAGAAGTAATTAGTAGCTCTACCCGCAAAAAAAAGAAACAAACAGAAAATACGTGCTCAAACAACAAGAAAACATGGACAGACATGTTGTTGCACGAAGGGATCATTGTTGGACTAGGCCAACCTGACAGCCGAGTGCCTTTGACATCCTTTGACTTTAGTTAATTATATACCTTTAATATCCTTTAATCAATCCTGTAGTACAATGGCAGATTTGTAATGATTTGTGATTTAAACAGTAAATCAAACGCTTGCGGTAGGCCCACAAAATCCAACGTTTGCAAATCTTGAAACACATGTTCAGAGTCGGGCATTCATTTGTTTTCCTCCTGCAGCGGGCCCACAAGAAGCTTAAGTTCAAAAAGTAAAATTAAAACAAACTGAACCTAAGTGTTGACCAAAAAATCCGTTTGCTGCGGACCAAGATAAATACTTATAACATGTTGGTTTTAAAAAAAATCGACTGTGGCGGTGCCTGTGTCCGGCCAAAAATCTCAAGTTCCAAATTTCGGACTTTAATGCAACCTTGGAACGTAATTAGGTGTGACCGCCTGCCAGCGGCCAAAAGAACTTAAGTTCCAATGTCTTCGTATGTTCCGAATTTTCAAGACTTTGGAGGTGAATCCTAGAAGTTGGCGCCTGTGGCGGGGAATAAGGGACCTTTTAAGTTTCAGAAAAATGAACTGAAAAACATTTTTGAATATAAGGCTGTAATCGGCCGTAATAACAAAATCATCCCTAGCCCTTGCAGGAAAGCAACATCGGAAACTTCATTTGTTTTGGAATTGAAGAACATTGTGGAACCTGCACTAGCATGTAGATCTAAGCTCCAGCTTGAAAGTTGCTAGGGTTTTGGACAGGTTTGGTGTCTGCCGTCTCCTAGGCTGTCAAACTGTTGCAGTTGATTTTTGAGGTTGGTTTTCCTTACAGGGTTGGCATGGTTACAGTGATTTTGGTATTTATTTGAAGTACGGTTTGTTGTTGTTTTTTCCGCCCTAAGTTCACAAGAGATTCACTGTATTTTTTTCAAGTCTGGTTCCTGTACAATGACTTCTTTTCTTTAAAGTTCCAAACAGAAACTTACACATTTTAAAAAACAACTGGGGGCTTAAATTCCTTGTGGTACGAAACATGGCAGCTTTGTGGGGATCAGCCGTTTTAGCGGAATAAAATAACCCAAAACATATCAAAACTACGGTTCATCGGGCATATATGGCCTGTACATGACGTCCTTGAGACGTTAGCTCTTGAATGATGATGAAATATAAGACAAACACGAAAAAACAGGGAAAAGGGGCAAAAGGCGGAGAATTGCGAGAATTTCCTTGTGTTGCGAGAATTTACGGGGACAACCGGAGAATTGCGAGAATTCCAGAAAATTTTACGATTTTTGAACTGTTGTAGGAATTCTTGCAATCTTGGCTGTGCTGGTATATATATATATATATTATATATATATATTCAAATCCATACATATAATATATAAGTATCCCAATATAATACATCCCAAACAATAATCATTATAGCTATATAATACATAATTAATATTGTTTAACATGGTTGGAAATGGTTTGAGATCCCAACTGATTTTGCTAATAAAGTTTAAGTTTCAAACCGACCATACAATCAGGGGCCGTTCCCTGTGCCTATTGGGGCCGTTGTTTGGTTCCAAGCTTTCCCCCTCCGATCCCAATGGACTTCACGCCTAGGATCGATTTCAATAGACTTCATATATGGTTTCATATATGTTCAACCTGGGCTGATTATTTCGACCATTGTCCGTACTACAATCATTCAATGGAACATGATACCCATTAGTTGTGGGGATGTTGCGACGTGTTTCGCAGACCTGAAATATGTTGGCAACTTAAGCGGTTGCACTCACCCATCAATCACTACTGTAGAATGCTATGGAGTCTGGATGGTGCTCATAATTCTTTTGGGAGGAACAAAGAAAGAAACTGGCTGATGGCGATAAATCTGAAACTTTTCAAGATTCATCCAAGTGAATTATCGTCGTAGGGAAAATTGTGGCAGACATCTCAAATGCTCCTGAAATCCGAAAATCAAACGACCCAAAGTACCCCTGCTTTGAAGGCTTCGGCTCCGACATATCCAAACACCGGCGCGGTGGACCGTGTCCACACGGAAGAAGTAGTCGTAGCCTCGGTCCAATCAAGGGCATTGCGGGCACCGTTTTGGTTGTTCCACAGGGAAGAGATGATACAAGAATAGTACAACATAGGATAACAGTAAAACAGTATAATACAAGACTATAACAGTATTAAAATACTACATCAGTACATGATCAAACATATGCATCTTCTGTACTTAAGTGACATGTCGACAAACATGCTTCTCGCGTGTATTTCCTTCCTTCAATCCTTGGAGTTGTGAATTTGGCCTGTGCGCCCCAACCACCTTGTTGGAAGGTCTTGGTGCGGAACATGCCAGCCTGGGAGCCCAGGATTCGCCATAGAACGATTCTCATCACAAATTTCCCACACAAATCGAAACAAGTGACCCAAATCGCCATTAACAGGAAAAAACCAACATGTCCAGCATACACACTCGCAAGTCACACCGAAACCAGAAAGAAACGCATCCCAGGAAAATTACCTTCAGAGCCATTGGATCTGGTGATTTCATGCGTGTTGGCGCGAAAGCAAAAAAGGTGACGCCGGCGCAAGACGGCCCAAGGCGCACTGTCTTTTGCATGCAGCCCGTTCGACAATTCATAAGTCTTTGTGAAGGATTCACCAGTGCCCAATCAGTGAGGCTGACTTGAAATTACACACCTGTTGAGGATCAAATGGCTAGATGATTCGATGCCATGTGATCAAAGCAAATATGGTCAATCAAGGGCCCAAACTGCTCCAGTCTCCCATGAACAACAACAACTACTACTACTACTGCTGCCACTACTACTCCTACTACTACTACTGCTACTGCTACTGCTACTGCTACTGCTACTGCTACCACTACTGCTACCACCACCAATACTACAACTACAACTGCAACAACAACAACAACTACTACTACTGCTGCTACTGCTACTGCTACTGCTCCTGCTACTACTACTACTACGACGACTACTACGACGACGACTACTACTACTACTACTAAAACTACTACTACTACTACTAATACTAATACTAATACTAGTACTACTACTTCTACTACTTCTACTACAACAACACATATTTGTTGGACTTAAATCAGTTTCAATGGTCTTCCAACAATGCTTAACCCAACATGCTGCACCTCAATGAACGTCAAGAGTGTGAGGAACGACTGTGGGCCCGTGATTGCTTGTACGATGATAGGGCAAGATATGACTTTTTTGTTGCTGACTACAAAGGTTACAACGACCTACACCACACAAGCATCATTGAAAAAAAACAAAAACGAACATAGAAAGTAAATGCCATTAATCTACTATACTGTTTTTGAAGGAAAATACATGTCCATCTGTTTGGGGGTTGCTCTAGAATCATCGGAATAGTTGCCTGGCCCCAACCTTTGGCATATGTTGTTTTATCTTCCGAATTTGTCGCAGCTGGCGAATCCTGCTGTGGCTGGCATGTCCTACCTAAACCAGTGCCACCTTTCTTTGAAACAGCGCGGATGAACAAAGCATGAACATGGAGACGACACACAAACTTCCTAGCTGTTGCGAAACTTGGACTGAAATAGTTCCCAAACATGGCACAACTTGAGGGCAAGTGAACGAGCCTCTTAAGATTTCAACATCTGGGCAAAAAAAACAAACAGTCAGATTTCATCCATTTGTAGAGGTGAATTGCCTTACTCACAAGCATGTTTGGTGAGGTTGTCGTTGTTGTTGTTGTTGTTGTTGTTGCTGTTGTTGTTGTTGTTGTCATTTCGCTTTCGCCATAATCATAATTTGCCCAGATGGAACATGACTTACCTTCTGCCGGCGGAAATTCCGACCCAAGACCCGGTTTCTCAGTTTCCTCTCCAGGTCCTGAACGCAGGGGACCCGTTGGGGACCCGTTGAGGCTGCGACAATCTTTGAGTAAAGTCAGACTATCAGTGATCAATACATGTACCCAATGGTTAATAAGGGTTAATAATGGTCAATCATGGAAGATAGCCAGCAATCATGGATAAATAATGGATAAATGTATAATATACCCTCTGGTAATTTAAGATAACATAGCTATTGAAAATTGCCATTTATCAGTGATTTACCCATGAAACATGGTGATTTTCCATAGTTTTTGTATGTTTACCAGAGGGTAACACTTGCGGACGCTTCTTAAACTGGGACCCCCAACATCCCCCAACTCATCCAGAACTCAACGGTGAAGCTTCTCCCAGGGCCTGGTCCTTTGGATAGATATATATATATATATATATATCTTGCTCTCTCCTCCAAAAATATATGCACTGCACATTTATATATTAAATTAAATTATATTACATTATATTATATTATATGTTTTTCTGTACACATCTCCATTTATGACTGATTCTATGCAATTCCGTTTACTCATTCATGATTCTATAGTTTTCAACTAATAAGCCACAGGCTCTGGGGTTCCCAGAGTCCCAGGGTCCCCAGGGTCCCCAGGGCCACTCCTGGACTCCCTCCGTCGTTCCAAACTCCGGCTTCGTGAGGATTTTTCCTAAGCGAAGTTGGATCCCACCTTCTTTGCAGCGAGCTGAGTAATTCCCATCCCTCAAATCAACGAAAAATCAAATAACTGGTCGCAAATATGTGATTTCATCATCACCTCCCACTAAACCATGGTTTCTGGGGGGGGTCAAGATCGGGGGGAAGGGATACATGTGCGTGGAAATTCTGTGACAAATATTCCAGAAGAAGCTATAAACTCTTTTGAAACATCATGAACAGTTCCCTCCAACCGATATGGGGAATTCAAGAGCTGTTTAGACCCAACCAACCTATACCAGACCCAAATACAGTCCAGTCTCAGAAATTGTTGGAGCTGTAGGGTGACATATGGATAGTCATATTCCGTAGGATACTGTTTTTCAGGACCATTTCCAACAAGAATACAGCACATGGGCAAAAGGCGGTTCCTAATCAAAGATGGTTCCAAGATGTTCCTAGCTTCAGCGGGAACCGAATGATGTGCAAACCATTGGCCACCGGATTGCCCAGAAACTTTGGAAAAAAAACAGGGTCAGGTAATTAGATATTTACTTTTTTTTGCCAGCTGCGCTGGTCGATCTCATGAATAGACTTATGAAATCTGATGATTACTTTTGATGGCCACATGATCACATCCCAGAATTTGTCGACGAAAAAGGGACACGGAGTTTCACCCTAATTGATCATATTGGGAGGACTGCAAAACCACTGGCTTCTTGTAAATATAAAGTTCGCTCTCCGCAATCAAACTTGGCAACCGGGGAATCCCCTGTTCCATCCTATGGGAATTGGGACGAATCCGTTTGAATTCGGTGACTTCCCTTGCCATGACCGGGCTAGTCCGGATCTGCTACCAAGATGCTCGGTACACCCGGGTGCGAGGTGGTGACAACTCATCACCTGCCAAAGTTCATAAGACAACTCCGTTGTGTCTTGGCGCTCAATGTCTCGGTCAAAAAGTCGCTGGGCATGTTGTAAACCACTTTTTTTTGGGGAGGGGAGTCTAAAAGTCATTCTCTACCAATTATCATCATTATACTGAATAGATAATGTACACAGACTCATTCATTGTCATTTCAGGGTTGGCCGGACTATTTTTTGAAGTCAATCCTCTACCAGAATCACTGAGGAATGGTTGGATCATTTAATATCATTTATGATCATGTCTATTTATTTCTTACATCACATAGGTACAGCTCTCAGACATCACCCTTCACTCTAATCATGCACTATCAGTGTTATCATTATACAATCACTATTATCATTCCTATCACATTCTATCGTTCTCCTGGGGTACCTCATGCTACACGCTCCCCATCCAACATTCCTTCACCTCTCCGCGTTCCGCGGTCGCCGCTACCAAGGGACGCTTCTTTTTGATGTTCCGGAGTCTCTCGAGCGCCGCCTTCTGTCGGTCCGCTTTTGTATCCCCCTTTGCTTCCTTTGCTTCCTTGGCTTCCTTGGCTTCCTTCGCTTCCTTGGGAATGCGAGACGGTGGGATGTGCTTGGGAAACTGTGGTTGATTACTGTTATAAGATCCAGTGCGTATGCCATGTAGGACGTGAAAAAACAAAGATGAACTCTGGATGAACTCCATTTAGGGATACCTTAAGATACCTTAAGGGGTTATGTCATATTATCAATCACATTACTGGCTGGGATGCACATCCAAATGCTTGGATGGTGACATCATCTTATCTTAAGTCTGAAGCCGTCATGTCAACCTGTGCTGACATGAGAGGATGTTCATCCCTAGCAAATGAACTCAGTGTTTTGGCTCACACATGAAACAAACTATTCATGACAATTAGTATTGATGGCCAATTGGCCAATGCATATGTCTATGTGCAACCATGAATCAACAAATCCCGTTTAAAAGCCGGCCTGCAAACACAGAATCAGTTGGAGCACCCCCAGTAAATGCTCAAAGAAGTGAAACATAGTGAAAGTCAAATATATGCTGTGACATTCACTCTTTATATATTCTAATCTACCTCTGTATCCGGCTTGAAAAAACATGCTTGGCCCATCTCAACCCTTTGCTTCTTCCCCGTTCCAGACAACCCAAGCAACATTTGCAGCTGCCTCTTTTCGTCGCTCAGCTGCTGGGGAAGCACTTTCACTCCCTGGAGGCCAAGGCTTGGTGGAATGACTTAAGCCACCTCTGTTGGTGGGAATTACCTCTGGGGGGTGACCTTACACTTCACTTGCTAGTTGGAAACAAAACAACGTAGCGACGTAGTGTGAGTTGAGATATTCTCCAAAACCCGAATTCCCCTTTCTAAGTTGGACCATTTATATATATATATATGTGTGTGTGTCCCTTCACAAATATTTGGACACTATCACAATGCCTCACTCTCCTTAAGTCGTTCATGAAAAAAACTTGTTTTTGGATTGTTTTATATAGTTTGTTGCCTAAACTCCCTATACTTATTTTTTGTTTTCCATATCTTTTCCATGTTGTTCCTGCTTTTTGCTTCCCCTTTTCCATGGCCAATGCCTTCCGCGCAGAACACCGCCTCCTCCCATAGACTTGGTACGAGTACGGCCATAGATGTCCAGCCCACCTCAGAACTCAAACGGGGCTTGGAGGGCATTTCATACCCTTCGGTGTCGTCAAGCTGCAGCAGGGAAGTTTTGTCCTGAAACATGGGCATCTATACCGTCTATACCTGAAAAAAAAACATATAAATGGGAAACTCATCGAACTATCTGTTGGATTTTCCAGAAATCCATGGAGCTGATTTCAAGAGGGTACAAATGAAAACCTGCATAATTACAGGAACTACATCTCAGTTTGGGGTGTTTCTGAAACAAATCCAAGACACGTAATGACAAATACACCTGCAAATTTGGTACGCTCCCCGTGTAACTTGGGCGTTTTTTTACATAGGCACCAATAGCAAAGTTTCCTGTTTGGGGGATCCAAAAAAACGCACACATCCAATAATTCCAAAAACCTTCAATGAGAGTTCCTGGAATGATGTTTGTTAGTGGGAAGGGATGATATCCGCCTCAAATCTATACGCTACCATCCAATTTGGTTTGTACGAATGCCTTCTGGGAATCCGCAACGACTTTTAAAAAACGCTACCAAAAATGACAAGAATACGGATGTCACCACCAAAACAAACGGTTTGTGATGGTTTGTCATTGGGACTGGTATCAACATGTATCAACATCCCTGGGCTAGACAATCTTGAGAGACTCAGAACATCTCAAACCCAACCAGTTTCAACTCATCCAGTCACCTTTGACCTTCTGCAAATCTTCTGAACTTCGCGACTCTGTGACCGTCCGTTCAAAGTAGCCTTGCGGCGAAAGGCCAGCCCCAGAGATATTGGTGGGTTGTCATTGGGATGATAAGTTTTTCCCTTATTATTTGTTTTTCCCGCGGATTTTCCCTGAAACCAATCCAATGAAAATGGGCATCATCATTCCACGTTGAATGGAAAAAGTGAATACCTAAGTACCACTCCGCCGCACACAAGTGCATTGTATGCACATTCAACAACCAATCTGGTCACAAAGCACTCGTCCAAGTGGGAAATAACCCCTTTCAATGCCCAAGTTTCGAGGCCGCGCCTCCGCCACGACCAAGGCCTTGGATGGCGCGTGCTTGCATTCGAAGCTCGCGGTCCTGAACGGATTCGACGCGGTGGAAGCCCAGTCAGAGGATTTAGAAAACTTAGAGGACTCATGAAGCTGTGTCCTTACCCAGTAATGAGATGATTACTGGGAATATTATGGAGTCGTACCATCACTGAAATGGGATACCCTCCAGCAAACAGGAAATTCCATCGGTTTCCCTGCGGACTTTTCCATTGCTATTAGCTATGTTAGTTTACTGGGGAAGGTAACTGATGAATTTTAAAAAATGGATAGCCCAGCTATAGGGGACTTATCAAATTGGGTAATTATATTAACGACATACAAACTGGGATGAATCATCCCAGTGACGAAGTGGCCACTATTCAACAGGGATAGTGAATCCTAGTTGTATCCCATAGTCATAGCTTTGTAAAAAGGACAACTGAAAACTTTCTTTTGGGATCCTTTGGGGATATTAGCCGGAGTTAGGAACCACTATGACTCACGATTAAATAAGAGTGATCTTGACCGTTATCTGCCAATGGAACATGGCATTTAACCAGCAAAAAAATGAAACTGGGGATGTCACCTGACATGTCCCACAAACATGGGGGTTTACTCGAAGCAATGATGATCGGTAATACGGTAACCTGTTTTTTTTTGTTTGGTGGGCTTATATCTTAAGCCCTTATAAATGGGATACGCACAGAAATTGAAGATATAACCAGGGCTACTAGCCACCCACTTACTAGGCGGGATGGTCCTCCAAGTGGACATGTGGTAAGCCCAGCAGGATCAGAAAAATATACAGTAGTAGTAGTAGTAGTATGTAGTAGTAGTATGTAGTAGTATGTAGTAGTAGTATGTAGTAGTATGTAGTAGTATGTAGTAGTATGTAGTAGTAGTAGTAGTAATTAGTAGTAGTAGTAGTAGTAGTAGTAGTAGTACAGGCCTGTAGTAGTAGTAGTAGTAGTAGTAGCAGCAGTAGTAGTAGTAGCAGCAGTAGCAGTAGTAGTAGTAGTAGTAATAGTAGTAGTAGTAGTAGTAGCAGTAGTAGTAGTATAATAGTAGGAGTAGGAGTAGGAGTAGGAGTAGGAGGAGTAGGAGGAGCAGTAGGAGTAGTAGGAGTAGTAGTTGTAGGAGTAGTAGTAGTAGTAGTCGTAATCATAGTCGTAATCATAGTCGAAGTAGTTGTAATCATAATCGTAGTCGTAGTAGTCGTAGTCGTAGTCGTATTCATAGGCGTAGTAGTCGTAGTCATAGTCGTAGTCTGCTACTACTTACTGCTACTAATACTACAACTGCTACTACCACTACCACTACTACTCCTACTACTACTACTACCACCACTACCACTACTAGCACTACGACCACTACAACAGCTGCTCTTAACGCCGCGTGCCAACATTTGGCACCGGCTTGGGGAGAGCACAGGCATCAATGACAGCATGTGGTGGGCAGAACTGGGGTCAAGAGCCAGGACAACTAAATCTGGATGCAGGATCAGCTTCATCTGGAATGCCACCTAACTTTGTGGAATACGACTGACACCAACCTGACTGACTAGAGAAGCGAAAGGCCCTCAGATGAAAGTTCGTCAAACGGTCGCTGCCCAACACAAGCGATATTTTCTTCGACCTTCACGGCTGGCGCCGCTGTCTGAGCTGATTTTTTTTGCTCAAAGAAATTGTGCTTTGCAAATTTTCGCTTCTGCTTGGGCGCAGCATTGCGACATCAGCTGGATCGGCCTCACGGGTTTCGACGGGCTGTAGCATTCGAACGTGACTCATACATGCTGGTCGGAAAGGAACAGACGAGTGGACTGCACCGTTGCAGAGGCCCAATCCAGAAAGCATTGCAGTTTTGGCATGGAAGCTGCTGTCTTCGTCTTCCTGCAGGGAAGAAGGAAAGGGCGATGCATGGAAGTGGTTCCGCGGCTTGTCTGCCACCACCTCTCAATCAAATAATGGCACTGCAAGATATTGGTTTTGTGCTCACCGTTTCAAACCAGCAAGACATACAGGAGCAGCCTCTTCTGACTCGACCGGTGCTCCATCTGCTGCAGCTGGTCTTACCCCCGGGAGCCGGAGGTGTGACCAGAAGCGCGTTGAGAGCTTCTCTTTTGGGAGGCATTGCGAAAAGCACTGATGAGAAATCGACTGCGGGGTCCATAAAAAGCTGGGAAAAGGCTTGAGCCAAACATATAATCAATAATATAAAATGATGTAAAACGATATATATATATATGTATGTTTGATAGTAATAACAATAACAATAAAACAACATGAAAAATATTAAAAACAATAATATAATATACTATTGATGTATATAAAACCATAAGCATATAGAGTAATCAAAACATATCGTAAACTGTTCCAATGTGTATATATATATATATGTATATAAATCGGTGTAATCATATGATATAACTAGTAATATCGCACAAAAATATGCAAAACATATCAAATAATTCAAAAATATCAAACAAATGCAACTTTTGAATGGAGACATGTCATGAACACTACTCAGCTCCAATGGCACCTGCCGTGGAGGCCGGCCGCACTTAGTGCAGTGACTCCAGCCAGCTAAGTTGGGCGAACCGCATTCGCAGACCCACCTGCGGCCCATTGCGGTTAGTGGATTTACCGCGGGAGGAAAAAACACTTAGCAAATCTATAAGAACATGGCGGTTGAAGGAATCGCGTTTCCGGGATTTCATCAAGAAAAACCTTGACTATGTATGAACGTGTGGGATTCAACCCGTCGAATGTTGAATTGAATCAGAACATTTTTTCCAACCAAACATGTTCTGTTTCAACCAAACAGGTGACTGGACCAGCACAACAATGTATTTCTATTTAAACAGCCAAAAACATTGGTTTTAACATGTTTTAACGCGGAAAACAACTGACGACTGTGTCGTTTGACGGGCATCATGATAAGAATATAAGACATAATGGTTTTGGAACAAGAATGGTCTACGCTGGAACTTCCCACAATTTTCATTGCAAAACCATTTCTGAACAAGGCTGATCCAGGGAGACTCCCAAAATCAAACATCACAATGGACAACTACCCATTCATACAAAGTGGGGCTCCCTAGATAGCTAAGTTGGTTTATAACTCCAATAGCTATGGTTTATGGTACCTATAACTATAGTTAATGGGGTTTATAAACAATCTTATAACTGGGGGGCCCCACCTTGTAGATGTGTGTTTTTCACTAACACCTCCATGTTTCAGGGATTTCCCATTGTTTCAGATACAACAAAAGCCGCTGAATAGCGACCATACATGGAACCTGTTCCATGCTGCGTGTAAAAATCATGCGCTCATGTCTACACGGTCAAATCATTAGAGGAGAGACAAACAACTCACATCAACTGACACTTCTGAACTCATCTTTTCACAAGCAAAATCAGCCGCAAAGCACTGGGGGATGGGTCAAGATTTTGTATGTCAATCCAAAAACTTGGATGAGCATGACATAGCATGACTATACCAAATCATACCAGATCCAAGTGGAACACCAGAAAATCACAACATCCTATCATGATCTCTATCCCCATATGGTATATAATCCCCCATGATCTCTATCCCCATGACTATCAGTGGTATCAAATCCCCATTTTTTAGGTGGCCTTTAGGGCCTTTAGGGCTCCACCCCCCGGCGATCCAAGTGGCTTGGGCGTATCCTTCGCATCCAAGCGCGACTGCAGGGAGTTCTGCACCACCTGTGATGGGGCGCCACGATCCCAGCCCGCCATGGCGGATGGTGGAAGGACTTGCTGTAGGACTTTCTGGTGCTTTCTTGGTGGCGCAGTCATGGTGATTTAATGTAGATTTATATGGATATGGAATGATATGGATCATGCTGCTTATGTGATGAGTATGATGGTGATGATGACGACTGGCTTGCTTATGGATGAATTTGCTGTTGACATGGCTGAGTTTGTTTCTGCCTGCTCAGTGGAATCGGATTTCACCGGGATGCCCCGGGCTTGCGGCAAATGGAGATTGGATTCGGACCATGGTCTCCGCTCATGACCGCTGAGCCAGTTGCCAGAGCCCAAGGATCACGCACCATGCATAGATTCGGTAGTGGAACATGACCCAACTATACTCAGTTTGCATGTCATTGGGATATGCTACTCTCTCATGAAGCCACACTTGAAAACCATTGTGTGCCTGCATCGCTGCCAATATTCCAAGAAGTTGACTGACCATGACGAGCCATGAGATTTGTTTGAGGGCCAGTAGCTTATTCCAACCCATTTGTGTTTGGGAGTCGGGTCAACACTGATCATCGATGAACACATCAAAGATGGCGCTGGGCGTCCCGAACGGTGAAGAAATGAGCGGCGTGCATCCAATTCACCCTGGCGACAACGCTGAGAAGAAGACAGACTGACCCCTTTCAAATGACCCCTAGAAATGGAGTCCTCCTTGACTGTGATGGGTAGGGGATGCATCATCTTGAAACATCTATAGCAGATCCTTTCGGGGATGCAATGACCAGTGTGATGGAGCTGCCGCAGGCCCATCTGCATCTGTTCACTCTTTTCTTCGGGTACTTGGGGGCCACGCAACCCCAAAGAATTGGCGCAGTGAGAAAACCAGCTGGGACACCCAGAGCTGCGAGCAGGCATGAGGTGTCTGGCATCAACAAAGGGGTGCACAACCCCAGCGTAAAGGCCAAAATACCAAAAGCAACACATGGCATACCAGCTGAAACCTGCAAAAGCCAAAATTTTCACAGCAACCTCTGTCACTGACCTGTTTCAGTGGACCCCATGCCCCCTGCACCTGTGAAAAGAGTGGCATCAAAACTGCCTTTGTGATGGCGTGTAGTTTCGCCGTGGCCGAAAGCCAAATCACCGGCAGTGCCACACGGAGACACATCTTTGGGCTGGGGCTGGGGCGAACATGGTCTATCCAGTATCCACAAGTAACGCTCAAAGAGTTGATTTTTTGAGTAGGTAGTTGGATTAAACCCCATTCAGACATGTATATGGCCTTATTATGACAGGGTTTGACCGAGTGTGGACTTTGCTTTTCTCTTGGGCCCGGGGTTCATTCCGACTCACTGGAGGAAGCATCTGACTCTTCCTCAGGTTCAGCTTCAACTTCTTCCTTGTGCTTCCTCAGCCCAGCAGCGGAACCCCACTGGGTGACGATGAGGGGTCACCACACCTAAATTGGAGGTCCCAACATACATCTATGTAGGGCTCAAGATGCTTTAGCCCGTGCAAGGGGAATGCAGTATCCAAGCTAAATAAACAACTACACGGGACATAACAGCAATCGGCAGCAATCGGTATACCTGAATGAGTCGTTGCATCCATCAACCCATCGCTTTTCAGGAGACAGTTCCTGCGAACAATTGATCTTCCCACACTTCCATTCCACAACCCCGGAGTGATCCCTTCCCATCCAATAAGCAACTTTCCAAAAACCTTGATTTAGTCACTTACCTAATTATCGACTTTATCGTATAACGATAGTAAAGCAATAGGATCCACCCATTTGTTTGGGGTTCTATAATCTATCAAAATATGATTGGTTTCTTGTTGCTTCACTAGATTAACCATGATCAATGCCAAGTAATGTGGGAAGACCCAATCATATATTGGATATTGTGGGATAATGATCAGGGAAACTCCGGTTTATATTGCTTCCCTAATGTTACCCAAAAAATTTTCCAGATGTTTTGTGTTCCCATGTTTTCCCATGACTTCCTGTTTTCCCATGTTGTTCCCATGTTTCCATTGGGGTTCCATCCCCAGTCCCAGTGGCTGCGCGAACCGCTTGCGATATCTGGCACCGCTCTTCTCGACCTCATCGCCGCTACCCGCCTGGCAAATGGGGAGGCGCTTGGGGCTGCATCGTACCCTCTGGTAAACTAACATCATTATATAATAGGTACAGGGCCAGCAAGGGGTAAATCAACTACAAATAAGCAAATCAACTACAAATCGGCTATGGAAAATCACCAACATTCATAGGTAAATCAACTATTTCTATGGGTCATTTGCAATAGCGAACTGTTAAATTGCCAGAGGGTTTTCTTGGGTCCTACCTCATGGCAAAATGGATCCAACATGATCCTGTTCAACAGCAGCAACTCCTGAGATCAGCTCAGAGTTGCGTTCCTGCAATCCGTTGAATTTCAACATGGAACAATGAACCCAATGATACTATAGAGATCTATATATAGAGGGTCTCGAGGAAAATATGTTGCGTTTTGGCCAAGAAGATGGATATCTCCACCACCGGGTTCAGAAAATGACTTCCCATCGCACTGGCGGTCAATGGTTTTCAGATCATGACTTGATTTTGGATTATCCATAAGCAACATTAAAAGACACGCACCTTTCACACGAGCAAACGATGTCAAAGTTGGTGTATAATCAACAAGTCAACCGAATCTATGGATATTTTATGATGGATATATCTATGGATATTTACGGTAGATATATGGAACTCTCACTCTCTCTCTCTCTCTCTCTTAATGGGCTACAAAAGTTAACATATTATATATATATATATATATATTATATACACATGATACACACACATATATATATATATATGCATAAATGCAAATATGAAACTGTCAGATAACTGGGAGGTACTCTGCCACCATGTTCCCACATTGGTGGTCAACACTGAGGCCCAAAAAAGGCCTCTTCTTCGCCTCGGAGGAAGGGAGGCTTCCGAACGTGGTGACGTGACGGTGCTCTGGTACCATAGGATATACTACAAACAGTTATACCGAGTATGTTCATATACACATAAGTATACATATATACATATATACGTATACGTCCGTATATATATATATTATTATTATTACTATTATTATTATTACTATGATTGTTATTATTACTATTATTATTATTATTAATATTATTACTATTAATTAATATTATTATTATTATATCTATTATTATTATTACTTTATGATGATTATTATACATATACTATATACATACTATCGCAAGCTCAAGCCACAGATAGCAACGTTAAAAACCATTGAGCACCTGCAAATATGAGTTAAACAATAGTTAAATACCATAATCTGTAGAATCCTGAAAACACTGTTCTATCTTTTCTGGGCTTACCATCAGATCCTGGGATTCGCTGATTCGCGACTTATGGAGTCCCCCAACAAAAATGAGTAAAACAAAACATCCCGGAATAGATTCCCCCACATGGTTGATGTTCCATTAGGATCCAGGGACTCATTGGGGCCATACCCCTCAGCTGATGCTGAAACAATCCTCGGTAAATCTTGGGGGAAGCACTGGAAGCCCCAAAAAATCAGCGCCATGGCACTTTCGTCGCCTCTTAGGTCGCCCATCCACTGCTGGAAGAGGGTGGGCTGCAGATCCAGATCTTCATCTTCCTGTCATCAATTCATCTGGAAAGAAGTGGTGGACATATGGGGAACATAGGGGAAAACATATGAAAAACTATAGGAAAATATGGCAACATATATTGGAAACATGGACACATATGGTAAAATACGGGAAGCAAATGGAAGGTTGACCCTCAACATTAAAAGCGGAACATGTGGATGATGTGCCCCAAGAAACGTGGTCATCAAATGTAATCAATTAGTAACATTTACTGTGGAGAAATGTATGGGAACAAATGGCACAAATCATAGGAAACCATAGAAATGAGCTCTTTTTTTGTGGGAACATATGGGAAAATCCTCTATAAATATGGGAACATGGGGAAAATGCTTGGACCCCAACATAAGCAATAGATATTTTTTCTGAGCTATGAACTGCCCATGAACTGCTCGCTTCGTGATGCCTGTGATTCCCAACATTGTACCATATATAACCCTAAATAACCTATGAAACTATGTCCTGGAGAATGTTAATTTGAACATACTGTATTTAAAGCATCCCCAGATTATGAAACATATGTGAGGTTATGCATATTCAAACACCCTTTGGGATAAAAAGGGCTAGCTTGTTTTGAAAAAAATACAACTCCGCTGATGGGATAGCTCTTCTCTTGTGGCGGGGACCATCTTTTCTACCCGCCATCGATGATCCTTAGGAGCTACCAGCCTGCTATTTTTCACAATTTTGCAGTGACCGTATCAATAGCATAAATTGCAGGCAACATCTATGGCACTCAAAAAAACGATTGCAACATTTAATCTGACTTAAGCAGTGCTTTCTTTTTACATCCCCCTTGATTGATGGGTAGGAACCCGTGCCCCACCATTCCATAAAAACCCGGTTTATGTAATGGTTGGGTACAGGTATATTTGTATAGAATGGATCCTTTTTTGGGCTTATATATTATGGAATACCACATAATACCACCATTGTACTACCTAGCAGGCCGGATATGCAAAGAAATGCTTCGCCAGTATGTTATGGAAATGGCAAAAAAAATGAACTCTTGAAACCAAGAAAATTTGACTTGTATATTATGGAATTGGTTGTTTTTTGAGGGGGTCATTTTAAGGTATCTCAAGATATTTTAAGATAAAGTTATTGTTTATGTTCGGACACGTTAACATACCAGAACGATCCATTTTATAAACAACATAGGTGTTTGTGAAATTCCCCTTGTATGAAATGGAACGTCTTAGTAACGTCTTCTGTATTTCATGTTTCAAATACTAGACTTTTCATGATTATTCCATTTTATACACCGAAATGTGGGGTAAATCTGGACAGATTTACCCCACATTTCGGTGTATAAAATGGATAATCTTCTATTGTTTCTGTATTTCGTGTTTCAAACACTGGACTTTTTCATGATTTATCCATTTTATACACTTCTTATGGCTCGAGGACTTCGACCCGGCAGGGACGGGGCAACACGATGGGATTCACACCGGGACAAAACAAGGGGGAACACAACGGGTAACCAAACAGGGGGAAACAACGAGAAAATGAGAAATGTCACGTTTATACTTGGTTATATGGATTATATGTGGTTATATGGGTTATATGTTGTTTTATGGGTTATGTGGGTTATTTGTGGTTATTATCCACAATCTTATATATATATATATGTGTGTTTTTTGTAAGTTTTATCCACAATCACTTTTCAAACATTCAGTGGTTCATTTTCAAGACATCGATCGCTGAAAGAAACTTCCATTTGATTAACAGATCTCCAAGTTTCCGTAAGTGTTCAAATTGGAACCTTCCAAAAAATAGCAAACAACATTTATATTATGGAAATGCCGATTTTGGGACTAATGATTCCAAAGAAAAATGCAGCTGTATGTAATGGAATTACCATCGTTTTGTATGAAATGGAGGGGTGTAACATGGCACCAAAATTTAAGGGTTTTTTGCCCCGTTTTCCAAGATGGGCCGTGTATGAAATGATGTTGGTTTTTCCATTTCATACGGGGCATGGGTTCTTCCATTCCATACAGGTACAGTCAAGGGGGATCTTTTTACAACTATTCTATCTTTTTAAGGATTACTGCAAGCCACAGTCACCATGGCTCTAAAACTCATCAGGGTTTGGCCCAGAGTTTAGCCCATCCCGGAAAGGCTCCCCGCAGCTCCTGATGCACAGGCATCTTCCGGACCAGCTCATCTTCAGCGTGAGCATGGAAGGTCAGTTCCACTTTGTGGTCTAACCCTGCATATGCATCACCTCGAGTAGAAAGGATCAAATGGGAATGCAAAGTGCAGCCAAATAAACATGGTTTTGCTATTTTGCTTCCAGGGTCTTAGGCCTAAAATCAAACCTTCTCAGTGTCATCCTATCAGTGTTACAGTATGTTACAGTGGTCACATGGACTTAATATCATTCAACAATTACTGGTTGGTGGTTTCAACCCATCTGAAAAATATTAGTCAGCTGGGATGACTATTCCCAATATATGAAAAAATGAAAAATGTTCTAAACCACCAACCAGATTAATTATATAAATATCACAGGATATATCAGGTGATATTTAGGGCTTACCACACCTATATTTTTTGAAGAGCTATATCCCCTGATTTCCAGGCCGCAGGCACACATGGCGTAGAGGACTAAGTTGTTTTCTCCCGCTTTGGTCACTTGAAAGCCTTGGTGCTGGTCATTGCTGGTCCGCCGGCCAGACTGGAGGGCAGTCTCCAGTCTGGTCTATCTGAAAACACTGCAAGAAGGGAACGGAACACGGGTTTGATCTATATTCTGCAAGTCTCTGATACATGTTGGCTTCACCAGCAAGTCAAAAAGCAATGGCAAAGTAAGGACGGCCCATATGGGTATCCCCCACCTTCACAGATCAGAAAATGAAAGCGTGATGCATTGCCAAAACTGATCATCACTCTGATGGTAACGGCTTTGCAAACGGAGAACCTTGGGCCTTTTTCCCCCTGGTGAATCAATCGCTGCAACTTTTTGGAACCCAGCGACGGAGCTTTTCTTCGATACATCGCTCCACTTCGACTACGCGCTCGAAATGAACGATGCGTTCCTTTGCGCCAGAATCCACCAGAAAGAACCTGACACAGAAGGGCCACGAGACCAAGACACTGAAGTTGAATCCAATTTTTGCATTGGTTGGTGATATGTATACATATATATATATTATATCGAAATCAAATATATATATATAATACATATTATCCATTATCATCTCAATTATATCCCCGTGATTTCAACGATCTCAAACAGGAGCCCCAGCATCAGCACATGGTTTCTTCGAGGCTGAGGCACCACCATTCTTCGAACTTGGCGCCGGGGAAAAGGGGCGCATGGACAGGTCCTAGTGCCTCGCCCTTCTCCAAGTGCTTTCCTCGGGTCAGCCGTTGGAAAAAAACCGCTGCAAGGCCCAAATGGATTGGAACATCATGAGAAATCTCTCAGGAGACCATATGGTTGCCATGAAATATAGGGGTCCTGCACATTTTCACTTAAAGCGAATGCCCAATTAACCAGTTATATATATATATATATGATGAGATATATGATATATCTAGTTAGCAGTTAGCTATGTTAGTTGCAAATTAGCTCAGATAGTCTAGGGATACTTGGGGGCACTTGTACGTAGCTTCAACCCATCCCAAGAGATTCTATGGTCGAGAGGGGTTTAGCTACACTCCTTTGAAAAAACAAAAGTAATTGGAACCCAAAAACAAAGGCACATCCAATTCGACAAAACATCTTCCATTGCCACATGGGGTTCCTGCAAAACTTGGGGTGTGGGCCTGTAATGAATTGGAATTGCCTCACCTCTATGCCCATTATTGCTAATCTAATCCAAGTACCTTCAAAGAAAACTAGATGAGTTTTTTTCAAATGTCAGCATGTATAACATTAGATATATTAGATAACCGTTGGCCCAACAAATTTACTACAACTTACTATTATTGAAAACAATTGACCATGTTATTGTTACATAAATACTTTTAATTTAGCATATCAGTATTACTATAGACTCCTAAAAGTAGAAAATTCCATGATATGCCAAGGTTGACCCAGCTTGGTCCAAGGCTCTAAAAAGCCTCACCGTGACCACGGCCACGTCACCCACCACGATTTCCGACTCATCGTCCGTGGCGATGGTGGCCTTGACGCGGGTCTCCCCGATGAAAGAGCACAGGGACTCCACGTCTAACGACTCGCTGTCGCTCATTTGGGTCATCTTCCTGCGATGTCAAAGGCTATAATGGGAATCACACACACATATATATATATAAATAGGATAATAGATTAGTTATCATCCCTATATATTTATATAGGATATTAATGGATAATAGTTTATTTATCATCCCCGTGTAATAGACTAATTGACTAACATAGATTTTCCAAGCCATGGTCACGCAAAACCTCCCAGATGACTTGTCCCTACGAAACTATATCATGGCACCTATATTATACATGTATATGTCAACTGTGGTGAGATGCAACATGAGAACTATTCACTTACAGTAGATGGGATGAACAAGCCCAGACTTCAACAGATTTCTTCCACCCAATGAGGCTAATACACTTATATTATAATCTTTAAACAACTATCTCTTGGTCTTCCTCTTGGTCTTTCTTCCTTAGAGAGGTATCGGTATCACCCAAAACCCATCCGGAAAGCCAAGATAAGCCAAGCCCAAACTGGCACTGGCCGCGCCTTCGCTGATCTGGCTCCAGTGCCAAGAACTCCTTCAAGGTGGTCACTGGGGGCGTAGCGTTGCGGCACAACTCCAAGTGTTTCTCCGTGAAGTGGGGGATCTGCAACAGCCTCCAGGACTTCTTGTTGTGAAGTCATGCTATGGCCAAACCCTGTCAAACATGGGCAGAAATGTACATCCCCACGAAAAATGCAATCTTCTCTGGAAAATCATGTGTAAATTGTGTGATGTTCCATTGCTAGGTCCTGCTAGGTTTGATTGCTGAAGGGGGTATGTATGTGTATATATATATTTATTTCAATATATATATATTTTTTTTTTTCTCTCTCTCTCTCCCCACAATCGTTGGTAGCAAACACCAGAGGTACTGCTATACTAGTTAGTGTGTGAAATTACCAGCACTAATCAATCTAGTTCATCTGTTAATATAGTTTCACCAGCCAGAAACATAGCCAGAAGGCACATCCTCGCATGCTTTTCTATCAAGAAACTGAGAGGACTTGATGTCCAATGCTTGCACCAAACATCTTCGGAATTCGATCATGCCCTGAGCTGTGCCGAACCACTCCTCAGTGACAAACTAGTGACGCGACACTCAAAGAAGAGGGCCAAACAAGGGTCCCTAGGCCCAGGAATGATCGAAGTATCCTAGACATTGAATGGCTTGGAATGAAAACATCGTGTGAACCATGGTGAACCCTTGTGTCTGATAATTTTGTTAAAGAAACAAGGGGTTCACCATGGTTCACCTAAAATTATCAGAATACCATGCTGAACCATGGTTCACATTTGTTATCAAACTCATGTGGAATACCTAATGGCTGTTTGTAAAAGAATGGTTTTCCATAAAATTAACCTCAAATGAACCGACAGTCCGACAGCTGATCGATGGCTTAACGTTACGCTACCTGAAACAAACGGCAGGAAGTTGCACTGGAACATTTTTGGATTTTTAATGGGTTCCAGGATGTTTTAGGTATTTTTAGGTATATAATGTGGCAAACCCAATAAACCTCTATTAGGGGATGATTCATTATTGGATTATAATTATCCTCATTGCTCCTTTTCTGTATTCACAGCTGGCACCTCATCAGTCCTTTTCTGTATTCATGGCTAGCGTTTTGCTACGTTTCTCTCACTTCCTATATGCAAGGAACGTTGGTTTCTGAGAGATTCAGCACCCCATACATGTCCCAAATCCAGCTGCTAACCCTCAACCTCTCTGGACTTCTCGTTACGCCCGCTCAGGTTTTCCTTGCCCTTGGTTGGACCCTCTTGATTAGCTGCTATGCTTTAGATCTCTAGTGGGTGCTGTTTGCAAATGCGTCCATGGTTTCGTGGCCATGTTACTTCGGGCTTTACCTAAGGCATGGGGCCACATTGGGAAATGGTGTGAAATGGTGAAGGTTCAAATATAGAAGTCCGTGAGGTGTGTTAATAACTTTGGAAAAACATAAGGGGCTTAATGGTAAATTTCAAACATTGTTTTATTTTTAATGGCCAATTTTATGCTCACCAATTTCTGTTCAGCGCATCCTGCACATTTTTTTTGGCCCCGGCGCAGCTAAAACGCAAGAACGAACAACAAAAAAAAATCTGATCTCTGCCTCTTAGGGGTTCTTGGGCCCGCCTTTCATTTTATAGGCGTCATACGCACCCTTAACATCCCAAACATTTTATTTGCTGCATTTGTAAGCAAGTTTGGGCATCACCAGCTCTTACGTTGATAGATAGAAAGGGCGGCATTTTGTTCTCTTGGGAATGCTTCATTGCTGCTGCTTCGACATTTGATGCCTATTTTTGGCGTGTTTTTTTTCTTGGTTGATTTTTTTGATCGTGGTGGTCATCATTCATGGTCGTCATTTTTGGTGGTCATCATTTGATGGTCATTCTCCAAACTATTGTCGCTCACCACTAGGTGTTTTGGATGATGACCATGGTCGTTCTTCGCCTAAGCGGGTAAACCCATGGTCATCAAAGCGTCGAAAACAGGGGTAAAATGATGACCATATGATGACCACGCGGTCATCATTTTAAAATGATGACCATGGTCGTTCTGGTGATCATCTTATGGTCATCATATGACGACCATGGTCATCATTCCAAAATGATGACCACCAGTGGGGCTATGGTCATCATTTTGGTAGAATGCTCACCAGAACGCTCACCAGAACGCTCACCACATCCCTTTTGTTCAAGTTTGTTTTTTTTGTTTGTGCAATTTTTTTGGGGAATTTTCAAGTGCACCGGCCCGGCCATGCCGACAAATACTTGGCCAATTAAGATTCCCCTCATTGTTTGCGGCAGTGAAGGACAAAAAACGAACTTGTGCAATATGTGGCAATTTCCTCCTGGTTTGAGTTAGTGGCGTATGTCTGCCTATCACTACCACGCCGCGCTGCTGTTGGGAATGTTTTGACATAAGACCTTGAAGATATGTCCATACTAACGCTCTCTGTGTATGTGCAAAACTTGCTGGTGGTCAGTGATAAGCCTGAACAGCTCATATGGGTAAATAAACAATGGTTTTTGGTTCACTACCCCCCTGGCCCGCTCACCAAAAGAACCCAGCCGTAATTAACAGGGCTCACGGACTTGTATAGGTTCAAATCCAAAGTTCATCTGGTGCACATCCATTCTACAAATTTTCCACTGGTACGGTTAACTGATTGAAAGCTAAAAATAGTATCCATTTACACCCATGTAAACACAACATAAACAAATGTTACATATTATTATTATCATATTAAAAGTAACCAATTTCCGTTCCAAGTCCATCATCGTATCGACCACCTTTTTTACCGCCATCATCGACCTTGCCAAAGTGCCCGCATGCACGCCACCTCTATCATAGCCTGGACCAAGGGTCACCCTGGACCAAAGGTTGATGGTTTCAATCCCATGAAAAAAAAAAACCGCCAGTTGGGATTAGTTTGGAGGTACCCTCTGGTAAACTAACATAGCTATGGAAAATCACCATTCTTAATGGGAAAACTCACTATAAATGGTCATTTTCAATAGCTATGTTAAATTACCAGAGGATACCCGATATTGACACCATCTCCTAGGCTTGGACAGCTTCAATGGTCCCTCTGGGGAAATTCTGGAGACGTCACTGGCCGACGTCACGTTGAGATGGGATGGGAATTGCCAGGGGAACTAGCTCAAAGTGGCTGATTTTGTGTTGGATGCTGAACTATATGAACTATTAATATATATATATAACTTATACCCAGATCCATAGGAAGGTTCCCAATACATGGTGGTTTAGGCAATCCAAAGAACACTGCACGTCAACAATATTTAACCAACCAAGACAGCATTCCTGGATTACATGTATGGCATGTTTGCCAACATTTACATCCCAAACACTACCCAAGTTCGCGCGGACATATACCCATATACCGAACATTTATACCCAAGTTTGTCTTTGATGCTGAAGGTGTTTTTTTTGCAAATTTCTAGAGATTAAACACATTTATAACCACTGAGTTTCTCAGGGTGTATCATCACTTTCCCAATCATCAAACACAGTATGGATCTGAGTTGCTCCGCATTATCCCCTGGAACATACGAAACTTGTCATTCATCCCAGTGTTTGTTGTCATATATATATAAATCCTATCCCCAGTTGTATCTCATGAAATATCCTCATGTCGGTGACATTCCCAGGATTACCATCTAACAATTTAACTTAGAACTGGACCATCACCATTGTTTCGTTCGGAAAATCATCAATCTGATCATCTATTTAACTATTTCGATGAACCATGGATCCCATAGCAAACTCTTCACCAGATGCCACACACCAATAATATCCAATTATCCATGATATTCATCCACTGTGGCATATATTTTCCCTTGATTCAGAACGTTTTTTTTTGGTGGGATCGGGGCCCTGGGATTCATGGGATCAGATTTTCAGAGATTTTCACAGCATGTCGCCTGCGAGACCTTCATGGAGTGTCGCAGCAACTCGTTGAGGTCTTTCTTGAGCTCCGGCGACATCTGGTCGTGGCGCCGCTGCATGTGCGCCCAGACCAGGTATTGATTCCTGGGCGGAATGGCTGGCCAAGCAATGGTGGATTTAAGGACAAAAATGGAGGATTGATAGGTGCAAATGATAGCTAACGTTGGTTTATAACTAACAATCCACTAGGGTTTATGGTAGATATATCATATCTATACTAGATAGTATTCTAATATAGTTAAATGGGGTTTCTATGTTTATAAACCAACTTGTAGCTGGGAGGCGCCACCTTGTACCATCCATGTATACCCAGTCATGCTGTGTAGACCCAATCATACCATGTACCATGGGTCATAGAAAAAGTCGATATCCATCACCTAAAGGACCTACATGTTATAACCTGGTTATATGTGGCTGATTCGGGGAATGCATATGCGTAAATCATACATGGAGCATCTATGGGCATATGGATCGGACCGGACTTGGAAATTTGTAAGAATGATCCACCACGGACCCCAATGAAATGGAAAAATGAAACCACATACTTTCCTCCACGTCATACATTCACTTGGCACTTTCGGGGGGGGGGCAGACCAAGAATAATGAGACAAACAAACACAGAGGGAAACTAAGCAGCACAACTAGGGACAACTTGGTTGGAAAAGAGGTTTGAACAAATCCCTGGAGCCTTCAACTGGTCAATCAGGATCATCCCAAAGCACCGCTGTTTACCGTTGAGGCTCTTCATCACTGCTGGGAAGGTGAAGACTCGCTTCTTATGCTCGATGACATGTCCTGTTGGAGGTACTGGGCCGCAGCAGCCAGTCTTGGATGACCCCACCAGTGACCGTTGAGCCGGATAGCTGGGGACCCTGATTTCACCTGGATTTTTTGGAAAACAAAATCAAGAATCGTGATGACTTCTGTAGAGGTATCTCCACTTTTTTGCTGCTACCAGCTTTCATGAACGTTGGACATGTCGAAGGACCAATCCTTGAGCATTCAAACCATTTGTTAAGTCCGATCACAAATGAAATCACAGACCACGCTCTTGTGAGGCATGGCTGAATGGCAAACCCCGAACCCAAACATAGGTCAATGTACCATTCGCAATGACATAAACAGAAATGGTACCATTCAAGGGGTTAGTTCCTACATATTATGTATATAACTATACATAAAATACGAATAGACATAAAACTCGCTGAACTAAAAACTTGACGCCACCTTTAGACATAGAAAAGTCATCAATATCCTGAACTCAATGAACATCTGATGCGTTTGATATTTTTCCTGCGTTTTCCCGCCAGTGTCACCCGTTGGCCCATCGTCCTGCGAGTTTCTTCAGATGGGCATTGTCCCAAGGCTTGGTGCCTTTCCAGAAAGGCTATCATTTGAAGTTGCCGAGACCAAGAAAGGATCTAGGACAAGTATACTATGCCTATAGACAACAAAAAGAACATGTATATATATATATATATATGTACATATGATTACATATGCATATATATATATACAAAATATAATAATAAAGATTTTTAATACACAGTAATTGTATATGTATATATATCATTAAATATACATACATTCTATGTGTATACCTCCCCAAATCTGTATTCTGGTTGATGCAACCTGAGCAGAGCTACATGTTGGCCCGGGCCCTGCCATGATCAAAGAACTCTGGAAAAAGACAGTTGATGGATTGGGAACTAACTATGATTTGCTCGAAATTGATGCAAATCTGGCGATGGTCCTAGGTCCAACCGGAGAAGATTAAATATCAAAGAAACTGAAGCTTGGACTGTCCATTGTTGAATACAATCATAAACTATATCAGTCAAACTTGCTCCATGTTATTCCATGTTCAACCCCAAAGCTAGGATTTATGTAAGCCATTATAAGCTGAAGTCTTTAGGTCCTATTCATTCGACGTAGTCCCAAAAAAATAAACAGCGGTTCCATGGCTCCTGAGCCCCCGAGGGGGTTAACCCATCAACCAGCTGGAAAATGCAATCAGGTCATAAACCCTGACTATTGGGGACTTACCTGAGAAAAATAGCCGTATATAATTGTAGTAATTTCCTACTCAACCTTTCAAGTGTTATAATTTTCCCAATTATTTTTTTTCGACTTTCGACTTTAAGTCACTAATTACCACTAATAGTGGTCTTCCTAGTAATTACAAACAGTTTCATAGTGGTATTCCTGGTAATTATCACTATTCTCATAACCAATGATAAATAGCGATAATAGTGCTAATTCCCTAGATCATAGTCATCATTACCACTATTGATCATTTTTATCATAATTATTCAGCCAGGTACCCTCTGGTAAAATAACATAGCTATTGAAAATGGCCATTTATAGTGGATTTTCCCATTGAAAATGGTGATTTTCCATAGCTATGTTAAATTACCAGAGGGTAATTCCCAGTGCTAATGACTTTCAGGGGAATTACCACTGCCCCCCACTGCCCGCGCCACTCCAAGTCACCCATCGACCGGCTTTCCGCGCACGCCGCCAGGAGCTCCGGCCCGTTCTTGGCGCGCGCCGACTCGCCGATGTAAAACCTGTGGCGGCGCACAGGCACACCGTGATGAAATCGCTAGGAAAACCATGTTTCTTCATATTTTATAAGTCAATCAGCTACATGGGCCATCTCTATATATCTATGTACCATATTCCATATTTGTATATAATTTTGACGGTTTGCTATTGGGTCCCGAGTGGCCATTCATAATATAGAGAACATGATGACCAATGAACATTGAATATTTTGTTTTGGGATGGGGGTTGAAATTCCAGGGGGTGGGTTGGCCACCCCCTTTTGTAGCTACAAAGCCTTGAACCAACCCCCCTACGACCAAAATGGGTTCTTAAGATCAAAAAAGACCCCCCAAAAAAAAAAACCTACCAAAACGAAGCACCCACCCTTTCTAAACCCCCTACTCAAAGACAATGTGATTTTAGATGTCTATATAGATGTCCAAATGGCCCATTTTGTTGATGATTCTTAGAACGGGATCCCTTTTGGTAGGGAGCTCATTTTTCATTGATTTTGGGTCCAAACATGCAAACACATGCAAAACAAGTTACAGCATTACAACATGAGCGCCCAAGCAAAATAGAACCAGTTGACCCTTTTTTGCTTGACCAACATGTCTCCTACAAAATGAGGGCTCTTGTGCCCACGGTTTTGCATGACCAAAAACAAATGTTCCCTACAAAAGGACACCTGGTTTTTATATGTTTTTATAAGATAAACAAGTCCTACAAAAAACACAGCCCGCTTACAAAAGCATGTGCCCAAGATGGGTTTGGGCATACAATTTTCTTATTGAAATACAGTTTGCAAAGGCCCTCAAGCACAGCCTTTTGGTAGAGGAAATTTTGACGTCCATATTTTGGGTATGTTTGGACAATTTAGGACAAACCTTGGTGATTTCATTTGAAACAATCGTTTTGTTCCAGGCAACTGACAGTTGGAACCCCAAGTGGATTTCAAATGGATGTTTCATGCTTGTCAATGCAGTGTTAATTATATAATATATAGAAATGAGTGTAATTCTATATATATATATATGTATAGATGGCCCATCTAGATCGATTATTTACTTGTAAAAAAGCAATGATTTTCCATAGAAAACTGTTAAGTAATTGTTGACCAAGGCACCCTAGAAACTGAAGAGTTTCTATCATCACCTCGCGCCGGGCGCCGAAGGTTTGGAAATCATGAGGAAACAGCCATGACTTCTATGATATTATGATGTGATACGCCCAATGCAAAAAAAATGAGCTTCATACATGGCTTTGTCTGAAAATAGTGTACCTCTAAATCCATTGCTCAATCATCATTTCCCCTATTCAAAGTACCATTTGGGGTGTACACCATCAGACCGTACTTGACATCCCCATCCATTTATATCCATTTCAGGGTCATTGGGACTGTAACAAATGCCACGTCATGTCTCGAATCATGGCTAGTGATACTAGCCAACTCAGTAAGCTTGGAGAAAGCAAGTTCAACTACCAAAGAAAGGTTGGTCCCTCCCTCATGGCATAATGGTTGCATAATTTCTGTTTATACACATCTTTGCCAATAAAAACAAAATAGTGCAAAGATCCGTGACCTTGCCTAAATTCATGCGTACTGACTACCTCGCAGCAGGTCCATCATAGCCGATGCCACGCACTTCAGCTTGACGCAAGAAGTGTTGATGCCAGCTATGACCGAAGATTCTTGGCCAATTTCAACTTGACCCAGTACTGGATTTTGATATCATTTGTATTCATTTGTTAGGTATTCAGAAGTCATTTGTGCCAAGGGGCTCCATTGACCGCAAAGTTTCTGCTATTCTGATAATAGCAAATGAAGGTCATCGGCACCAAAATGACGATCACAAAGAAGAAACTGCATAAGATCATGAGGTGATTCTCCTCGGCATCACTGATGCATCGCCAACTTAAAGTAGATGCACCATACTCCACCTCTAGAAACACAGGACGCACACACGCACACTGGTGCAAATGGTGTATGATGGTGCCTGCATGAATATGAAAGGCACACACTCACACACACATATATATATATATATACTGTATATGCGTCCACATCTGTATATATACTGTCTATACTATATTATATATATATATGCGTGTGCGTGTGTATCATACATCAGTATTTGTAAATGTACCTAAGTATAGTATATTGAGTATATTGCAAACGCAAATTCGCGCATCAAACCATCATCCTCTCTTCACGGCATGGCTGACGTTGGCTGATAACACTCTTTGGTGTGGCTTCGGAAACCATCCAGCCTGCTACCTGTTTTTTTAAAGCCTGCCAACTGTTTATAACCTGCTGAAACCATGCAAACAACATTCGAATTCCAATCAATGAGTACTCCTTCCGATTGTGAAGAACAGTTGTCATTGTTGAAGATACGCCCATGAAACCTCAAAGAATTGGGTTCGGCCACTTGTCTTGACATGGACGCAGCTTTTCTTCCTCAGCAGAAATGGTTGGCAAATCTGGCAGGTCCGAAATCCCAACTGGTGCTCCAAACACAATACTTGGCCAGGCATCTTTTTCCAGAAGAAATCTCGGAAGGCCAATGCCAACCTTGTTGACTTGAGGGCCGTCCGGATTCCTCCGCATCGGCTGGGGCCATGTGTGCGGCAGTAGACATTTTCCACACAATCCAACAAACTGTTGTGGAGTGTACTGAACACTCTTCAGTCATTTTTTCCCTTGAAGTGAAGGGCACAACTTCCAAGTTCTGTATATTATCATTTCTCAGCGATGCGTGTGGTTTATGTTGCTATTTTATGCGCTTGAGGATTCTTCGGTCTCCCGTATCTTGTGACCACACCCACTCTGCCAACAGTTCGATAATGTGCATGTGATTGCAAGTGCACATGGTAAAGTACTTATCTTGCACCAATCCAACAACAACAACCCAATTCATGGAAATGTTCAAGCTTACCACTATCATTCAATTAGAGAATTACCCCTGGGGCCAAAGGCACCGTGATGATGATCCGGGCTACAATAGCCAGGGAACGTACTTACTTGGAGGTCGTGCACCAGGGATTGCTTGTTTATTCCCCAACCCACAAAGATTCTTTTGAGACATGTAAGCTACTCTTTTCCTTTGTGCAGCAGCAATCAGAAACAGTGTTAAAATTCTACATAGCACAGGCACGTAGAGGCCCTGCCGAAATTCCAAAAGTATTGACGCACCATTTTGAACAAAAATCATTCTTTCACTGCTGTGGATTTGCGGCGGGGTTGGCTCAAAGTAATGTGGGTAAAACAATAAACCACCCCATGTTTGAAGGTTTATACCACCCATGAAAATGGTGATTTGGGTGATGGTTTATTATCGTTTTAACCACATTATTAACCATTATTAATGTCAAATCAGGCGGTGAGCGCAACGGCGGCGGCGTGTGTCAAGGAACCCGAACTTCTCCCAGTTTCTCTTGGAGATTTCATCCTCAGAGTGACCAATCCACGTCGTCACGTGGCCCCCAGTTTTCCAGGTGTTTTGTTTGAGAAACTGGTACTACATACTGCCTCATCCTGCCTAGGCTTTGTAGCATTAAGTAGCTCAAATATCTGGTGAATCCTAGTGATAAATACGGTATAGTATAGAAGTGGGATTTATCCACGCATCATTTAGGTCTTAACACTTAAAACATACTTACTAATTAAGTGGTTTTTTTGCACCAACAAATGGTGACATGAAATTTCTGCCTTCACCTATACCGATCCCCCCAATCGCAATCTCTCCACAAATCGCATTGGCAATCCCAGACTTGGAAACCTCGCAACAAGATGCAACAGCGACTAGATCTACGCAGAAATCCTGGGAAATTGGAAACTTCAATTCTGGATGTTCCAACTCAAAACATCGACCCTTCAAATATCCAGAAGCATCATCGCAATCCAGCCAATCAATGGCCGGGCTTCCGTCAAAGCCTGGTACGCTTTGGTAATTTGAATGAAGCGCGAAGCCGCTAGCGGGTCATCCGGATTCTTGTCCTCGCCGTCGGCGTGACGGCGTTTGCTGGGGGAATGGTCATAACTCGGGAGGCGGGGACATTATGTGTATGTACTATGATCCATCATAGTATAAATAGAAACATATAATATCAATTAATTATATACGTATATATATATATATATATAGAGAGAGAGAGAGTTTGGGGTATGATATGGGTTGCTCCCACCCATAATAGGTAAGAGATGGTAAGAGGCAAATGGTAGTGGCAAGGGTCGGGAACTGTCATGTTGCCTCTTTATCTACCCAGTGTTCAATAGTTTTCCTCCCTTGCATCTGGTGTTTTTTTTATCATCAACCCTGATTTGGTGCAAAATGTTGGACCAAGAAGATCCGTATCACCCCATAGCCTTTCCCCTGCCTTTCTCCAAGGCTCTGGATGATAATTCAACGACAACTTTCGGTAGGCTCGCTTAATTTGCGAAGCACTGGACTGCGGTGTCACATCTAAGATCTCAAATGGATCGAACTTCCTGAGACTTCGCTGCCAGGCGCGGCGGAGTAGACGGATATAAACTATATAAGCATATATACATATATATATATATAATATATATATATATATATGTGTGTGTGTGTCAATATGTAAGTAATCAATATTATATGTAATATATTTTAATATATATATAATAAAGATTACTAAGTATGTTCAATCTGGGGAGGTTGTTAGTAGATACACTGTAAATGGTGGAAATACGTTGAAATACCAAACTTCTGCCGTGGAACACTTGGCCTCATTACCCCACAAAGCATTGCCAACACATGCCAACACCAACCTTACCCTCTACAACCAGAATTTCAAGCTGTGTCATTTAGTATGGAAAGTTCATTCCAGAGTCACGGTTAAAGTTTCACCGCCATTGCGCAAGTTCAACATGTTAAAGGCATTACAATTGATCTCATACTGACACACTGTTCCTTTCCCGCCTATACCCTGAGCGGCCCAGGGATCAAGCGTCTGAATTTCTTTCTCATGACCCAGCTGAGTCATTGTTCCGAAGATTCCGGCCCAAATGATCGACAGCAGCACCGTCTGTATCCTGAGCATCATGAACGTGTCTTGTGTTCCACAGGTAGTTTGGGATGTGAGATGACAAAGAAATATGGCAATCTTCAGTGCCCCGCACTACGGAGTGTTCACACCCGGTTGTAGCTAAAGAGATCTGAAGGCAACCAGCTGCTCACGCAAGGGTGGGACCCCATCACCTGAAAGATAGCTGCCAAAAGAAGCTGCTTATTTATGTTACTCACCAAGTAACCAAATGAAAATGGGGCTTTTCCAAGAACGAAGATCTGTTGTTTTAACCAACCATCATTCCCCCCAAAAACCAGGTCCAAAAACAGGTCGCGATGGGAAGATGATTGGGATCCAGTCCTCTGGAAAACTGAAGCCTAGCTGGTTTCTGATAGCTTTCCCACTCCTATTGCTTATCATGATGCCCAATAAATTGAGTAGTATAACAATGTATCACATAGTAATAACATGTAATAACTCCAACAAACCCACCAATCAACCAGGCTATAACTTTCATAGCTCACTTCTGCCAGGTCTCAAATAAACCAGTCCAGTCCTAGCTGTAAATCGTCTTGCTTCGCCTCGAGAGGTGTCGACCTTCTCGACCATGGCAGCAGTCCGACAGTATTTCCTGAGTGGCGACCGGAGGAACGTTTGGCACAACAAGCACAACAGGTGCTAACATGTTATATTCACTTCAATACATACCCTCCGGTAAACTAACATAGCTATTGAAAATCACCGTTTTTCATGGGAAAATCCACTATTAATGGTCATTTTCAATAGCTACGTTAAATTACCAGAGGGTATATGTGCTGATCTTTTTCCACCTTCTGTTGTCTGGTGAGTCTGGTGAGTGACAATTCAAATATTTTTTGGAAGCTGAAAAACATCAACCACAGAGCCATTGCTGCAGTTTGGTGAAATTGCCGCAGTATGTTCAACCTGTGATGGTGCCACCAGGGCTGTGGTTTACATCCTATTTGAAATTCACCTTAAAACCTTGAAAGCGCTTACAAGGTGCTTTACATGAAATGCAGTGTGACTATTTGTATGCAGGAAATCCTCCCACCAAGGGAATCTTGCAGAATGCATGTGATTAAACCAACAAACCTGGCACTGGAGAATCCTCGTTTTTTGGATGTTTATGTCCCCCATCAATGAGAATTGTCCATTGCCACCCAGAGGGCGCCGGAGGGTGCAATTTTTTGTACCTGCATCATCCTGCCCTTCAATTGCGTGTGACGATATCTCCATCTTTGTTATATTTATTATACATATGATACCCTCTGGTGAACTAACATAGCTATGGAAAATCACCATTTTTAATGGGAAAATCCACTATAAATGGCCATTTTCAATAGCTATGTTAAATTACCAGAGGGTAAATATCATGGATCTCCCTATGTTTGGGTTGGCTTGATTATGTCAAAATATGTCAAAATCATACAACATAGCCGCTCTTCACAGCGTAGTGGCAAATGATCAAAAGGAACCCCTGGCTCAATATGATGGGTTCTAGTCACATTTCCATCAAATAAGCTTTGGAACTTGGGTTTGTCTAATCTGATATCCCCATTTGCTGGGTTTTGGTTTGTCATAATTCACCGCAGCAAAATAAAGAAGCATATCATGTTCAGCCGCTTTCAGCCAAATCTACTTCCTGGAGTCATATTCAACCCAAAAACTGGGACTTGAGTCTTTAGTTTTCTTATTCATCTTAGGTATTCTCTAAAGATGTTTCAGATTTGCCCAGACATTGATCCAGTTTCTATCTAGCACCATTCCCCAGTTATCTATATATATATAATAAAAATATATTAAACATATATATATATATATATGGAATATCCCGGGCTATAATAAATGGCTTATAGAATGATATAAAATGTTAAAAATCATAAGTGGGGTGCACATCCAAGTACCACATGTAATGATTGTAAAGCAATAATGGACCAACCATAGAAACTGATGGTTTATGCCGCCCATTTATATTGTAAACTTGCGGATGGTGGATCCTGTTGTTTCACTGACATTAAGAACCAATGAACCTTAATAGCCAATCGATCAACTATATCATCATATATCATCCATATCTTTGATATAGTTACAACATGTTAAATTATCTGTTAAAACCTCATCCCCCTATGATTGATGGTTGGGAATCCTTGGCCAAAGTGTCAACTTCGTGCCTTCACTACTCTTCCTGGGGAACTCGCTGTCCGCATCGTGGCCGTGCCGAAGGAAGCTGTGCAGAAAGGACAAGGTCCAGGGAACGGCGATGCAGGTCAAGACCGAGACCACAAAGTAGTAGAAGGCGGTGTCGTCATATCCTTATCGGTCAAAAATCGGTGAAATTCATGGGTGTTTTCCCCTGGTTTTTTGGGTCAAAATCCTTATGGGATATCCCCTGGTGGAGGTCAAAATCCATAGAAATTGCTGGGATAAAAATGGATGTCCATTCCCCCTAAACATGGCATATAGAAAGGTACTGATCATTACTGATCCATAGCCAACTCGATGCGCCAGCGAGTGTCCAAGCACGTCCTCCTTAGTGTCTTCCTTGGTGAAGGAATCCTTGAAGCCTCCGGACATGGCTATCGCCTTGGAGAACTCTGATCTTCGCGAGGCAAGAGGTCTTTTTTGTTGACCCGCAACACATCGGTGATTTAAGTTTCAAGGGAAGCATGGCAGCACACCTTGATTCATTGATGACAAAATTAACATCACATTAAAAAGAACTATGCTTTCCAGCAATGTGTGCTTTATATTCCTTTATATTCCTTTATATCCATGAATCCACTGCAAACTCACTATCAATCCTATATGGGTAGCTCTATGCAGATCTCCGGTCGCTCTATGCAGTCGAAGATGCCCGGCTAGTCCTGGGCAGCCAAGGCAGGGATGCAGGGCTAATCTGGAAGATTGCCATTGAATAGCTCTGAAATCCTTCAAGAAGAGAACATGTTCTACCAAAAGAACACCAAGTAGTGTAGGTTTTACCATAGGTCTTACCAGCAAATCATGGGAAATCTGGCTGGCAAAACCAGCTTTTCCCTCCAAATCTCTGAAAAACCAGACATGGCACCTCAGCATCCTCTGGACGAAAGCCTTCCCGGTATTTTCTATATATCACCATGAAAAAAATTATACCATATTTATACCATATACAGCACATCAAGAGTTTGAAGAGTGTTCATATTTTTCCCGAGAATGTCAACCCTGGATTGATAAACCCCAAACGGCTGTTTAACATTGTTTAACTGGGGGGGGTACAATTTAAGTATCAGATTATGACTGTTGTGGAAGTATTTAATCCGGAGTTGACATTAATGTTCAAAATGTGACTGTGCAATGTCAACCCCAGCGGACAGACGTGGCCCTACACTCAAACGAGCGGCGAACTAAGAGCATGTCAAAAATGGCGCGGAAGGCTTATCTTTCTAAAACGCTTGAGCCATGACAGCCATGAATCAAGAAATTTAAGGAACATGATGGAACATGTAACAATTGAGATACTTAGACTGAGGTTGAAATGGGATACTGCAACTGTAATTGCTGTTGTTTTTGGTTGTTGCTCTGTGGATGACTACGTGACTACTTGGCTTGGCATCTAACGCCATGGCCAACAATGGCAAATGCAGCGAGTACAAGCCTAGAAATAGCCAGACATCCATTGTACCCTCCGGTATTTCAACATGGCAATGGAAAATCCCATATTAATTATAGATGATTTGCCCCTTAAAACATAAAAATATAATTACCCTCTGGTTATGTCAAAATAGCTACTGAAAATGACCATTTATAGTGGATTTTCCCATTAAAACTGGTGATTGTCCATAGTTATGTTAGTTTACCAAAGGGTAAGGGGTTTCCAGTTGCCATGATTGATTGGAGGGTATGTGGAGCAATGGAGCAACTTTTGATGTGGATGACGATGGGATGATGTCCGTGCACCACCCAATCCTTTTCTCCAGCATTGGTTGAAGGGACCCCCCGACCATGGGACACAACCACCATTTCAGCATATTTCACGATTCGTTTTCTGCAAATGTTCCCAGATGAACAAAAACAATGGCTCTTCCAACCTTTTCAATGCATGGATCATGGACATCTTCACGGCACTGGACCACCGCTCAGAGTTCGCTTTTCTGACCCGCCTCAGAAATTCAATCTGTCCACTCCAACCTGAAAAGGATATTTGGCGGTTCGAGAATTATTTTGCTTTCTTTTTTCCCTGAGTTTTGGGAATAAACCTCCATATTTGGCCCCCAAGGCTGCATAACTGGAATTCCACATGCTTTATCTCAACAATTTCATGCGTAATGATCTACATCACCATGTCGTCTATGGATGTCTGTGTGCATGCTCAAATCATATCAAATGCAAATCACCCAATCAAACCTGCCTTCATCAGTAAAGTGTGTTTCACTGCCTATAGGCCAAGGCTCCTTCTGTTTTTGTGCCTCATGCGTTGCCACTGCGAACATCACCCAGCTGTCGATCAGTTCTTTGCTGCTCACCTGACCAGAAAAATCATTTGGGACCCGTGCTGTTGGGGGCCCTCCCCAGCCGCGTATAGGTTGAACAACCATTGGTATCTGAAAATTGGGATAACCCACGCCATCCTCATCCAGAAGCGATTTTTTCGATACTCTGCGGGAACCTACAGTAACATAGCTGTTGAACACTGCCATCTATAGTTGATTTACCCATTGTTATTTTGCCATATTTTACCCATGAAAAATGGTGATTTCCATAGCTTCCATAGCTTCCAAAAAAACTATGTTAGTTTACCATTTTTCGGGGTCTCCTCAAGCCCATCCAGCCTTGCCATCCCGATTCGTGTCGTGGAAGCTGATGAGTTCGAAGTGGTCATCTTCAGAGCCACTGGCGCGAAACAACTCCTCCTCAAAGGCATGGGGCGAACAGCGAACGGGAGCTGTGGGCTTCAACAATTTTTTGGCACCTCCGGGTGAGAACCAGTTTATTACCATTTTTTTGGGAAGATTCTGGAAGATTTACGGAATCAAATTCATGAAATGATTTGGAATATATTCAATCTGGTTGGTGGTTTCAACCCCTCTGACAAATATGAGTTCGTCAGTTGGAATGATTATTCCCAATATATGGAAAGTCATAATCCAGCCATGTTCCAGTCACCACCAACCAGCAATATATTGTGAACGAACATTCAGAAATCACGTAACCACAGCTGCCCCGCCACAGCTGCCCATCGACAAAAAAAAACTCCTGGGAGATCATGCCATCCTTGTTGAAATCAACCTGCCAGGATGTGTCATGGTTAACAGCATGGGGGTTTTGCTACGGGCTTTGCGTCATGATAAATTTGTATGGCCTGTATGATAGCTACCTACCTTCTGGTGATGTTTATATTTTACATCATGTTTTTAAATATAGATATGGAAGCCATGGCCAATAGACAACACATGGTAGACATGATGATTTACCTTTAAAACATCTTAATAGCTACCTTCAAACATCATCAAACATCTGAAACCTTGTAAACTGTCAGCGCCGGATCAAGGTAAACTCCTGGACTGATCATTGGAGGGACCACATTTGGGGCTTGGGCCTCCCCTGATTCATCAACCGAGGTTAAGTCATGTTGAGGATCATCCCAGCCATGGCAGGGGAAGGACCGACATAAAGATAACACCGCAGCCTTGAAGCTAGGCATTCTGGGCAACAATCGGGATAGTGTTGAATATATGCAGCAATGAGATATGTGAGGAAATATAAATAAACAAATATATAAACATATACTTGACTGCATCCTCCACATGGGCCAGGTGAATTCAGGGGAAAATAATTATGAAAGCCCTCCAAATTTGGATATCGAACTCCCACGTCCACCAACTGCTGTTAGATGGGGATCCTACACACACTTTTGGACACCATGTCACCATGATGTCTTTTTGGAACAAATAGAGATGACGGTTTGGATTACCGTTTGCCATAAACTTATTGCTTTATACAATGGCGACTACCTTCTTATTTAACCAGCCAGTGGGAATATGATATTTGAATCTCGGTGTAGCAACTGCCCAAAAATAGAACAGCATCCTGCTAAATGAGTGAAAATACATGCTCTTTTTGTTTTATATCCTTTTGGGAGTTACTATATCTATTTCTATACCATATATATATATCGCATGTAAAGGGCATCACCAAACCCTTGCCGCCGCACTTTTGATGTCTCGATCCGTTCTTCTGCTTGCCAGGTGATTGGCCGTTGACCTTCATCAACTGCGGAAAAAAACACCTGGTGGAACCCAGACTTGAAGTAAGGGAGCCGTGTAATTCACACAAAAACCATACAAAACCTCCAGATTTCATAGTGAACATGTATATGTTTTATTGTCATCGTTATGGGTCCCTTTCTCTCTCCATCGCCCTTTTTTGGGAGTTCAGCATCTTGCCGAAGGCGAGATGGGTCCCTTATTGAATCTTATGGAAACCGCTTGTGGAAACAGCTTTTGGAAACTGTCGGAAGCAAAAGGAGTGTTCTCCAAAAATAGGTGGCCTTGATTGGAAAGGTGAAACGAGTAGCCCAAGAAGCTACTTGATTCATCTTTCAAACAGGAATAGCCACGAGGCACGGTGAAAAGACTCTAAGAGTACAAATGCCGGCGGACAGTGCTTCACATGAAGGATTACTATTCTGCCTCTTCTTGGATCTTGGGTGCCCGATGCATCAGGAGAAACTTGCTGATGTGGGCTTGCCACCTACGCTGTTCCTGCAGCGAAAGCATAATGATTCATTGAAAAAGTTGAAAAGAATGGACAACGAATGGGCCTGGTTCCAATGGGTTCCTGGGTGTTTCTGCCTCCTGTTACCAACACAGCCATGGAATCGCTGGATTGATCAAACATATCATGTGTTTCCTGGCTTGCATCTACCCTCTGGTTATGTCAAAATAGCTATTGAAATGGCCATTTATAGTGGATTTTCCCATTGAAAATGGTGATTTTCCATAGCTATGTTAGTTTACCAGAGGGTATATACTAAGAATCAATTCCTGAAGCTGGAAACAATTATGTATCTTTCCATGTATATAAAATTCCACTTTTCGACTGAAGAGCCAAGACCATCAACCACCTCATGACACATGATGCCACATATGTTCATATATAAGTAATATCTTAAAAACCTTAAAGTCTTAATATACAAACATATATATATGTATATATATATATATACAAACATATATGTATATATATATGTATATTATAGGGTTCTATAGATAATTTTAAAACATAAGTCACCTTGGCTGACTCAACGTCTCTGCAACGTCTCGGCAACCGTCTCGGCAACGTCTCTTTATGTCCAGGTCCTGCGCACTCGGCCCGATCAGCAGAAATGTCCGATCCTCGGCGCCACAGGAGCAGCATCAAGGGACCAAGTTGATGACCCAATCATCCCAATCCCTATCCCAGAAACATGGCCTCAAATATCTAGCCTCAAGTTTTGATTTCTTCAAGGTGAGTGCTGAATCACCTGAACATAGTAATAACGGTTACAGTATAACTTATAACATCTTCACCCATGGAAGATTGCCATGTCTAGAGCCAGAAAATCAATGTCCATATCCACACCACGGCCTTGAACCCGAGCCAAGATGCCACGGTCTTCACAGCGAAGGAGTTCTCCTTGCCAGTGATGTGGTCCGCCCCAACCATCGCAACGCACTCAGCCAGGCTGATGCATTCTGTTGGATTGGAATATTCACCTGGCGAAAGGCGTGAAAGGTCTACGAAGCTTGCGGGGAAAAAACATGTGAAACAGCGTTGAAAGTGCAAATTCTGGCGGAAATTAAGTAAGTGGATCATTAAGAACAGGAACCGCATGGAATTGCATGATGTGAGGATCATCGAAGCAACATATTTCAGTACTGACATGCACAAGTTGTGAAAGGAAGATGCCACACATCCTGAAAAGCAACAAACAACGCAATAAATGGGTCTGTGTCTGAAAATAGGGTATACCCCCAACTTGTAGCCATTTACAGTAATAGGGATAATGATCACTAAACCATTGGGTTTAGGGCCTAAAGGGTACACTATGTTTTAGACAACTCCAAATTGAAACACAACTGGCACACCTCAGGTCCTCCCAGACCAAGCTGCCTTGACGTTTGAAGCTGCACAACATGTTGGGGGTGAGAACAAACCATCGAGCGCGCCACAAGGAGAGGTACCTGGATTCCTTCAGCAGAAAGCCCTGAAGAATGATGTCCTCTTCTCGAATTGTTGGCCGAACCATGTTTCGGACGCCGCTGGGCGGTTCAAATGGAAACCCACGAGCCACGAACGTGCCAATTGTAGAAGCCGAAATGGCTATAAGGCTTAGGCTAAGGACGAGATCTTGCCAAGAGGGGATCGCAGCACCATAAACGGACAAACACTCAATGACTCAATGACGTGAAAGAATGGAAATCCCAAACTCAAAAGCGGGCTTATCCACAAGTTGAATAGATCATGGTAGAGAACCGATTTATTTCTACCGAGCTGAGCCCAACTGCCTAAGTCTAAGTATACACATCAAAGACACGCACTGATATTAAGTAATCATTGGGACATAATGTTGAAGGGGTCCACAAGAGCCTTCATCACCACTGCCAGTATCCTTCCCGCTAGATGACTGACTCATAACGTTGTGCATGTCTTACTTCTGTATTCCATGCAGTTGGGCTGTTGAAAACATGAAAGACAAGGTAATATAACACCATAACACCTGGTTCGTTGCTGCCATCTAACGTCCAATTCCGTTCCCAAAAGATCTTCCGAATTCCAAGCCTGGAGCTTGTCTGGCAATAGGGTATGCACTCCAAAATTCCATTGTTAATTGGTTAATCATCATTTTCCCGCTATAAATTGCAAATCCGCCCGCGCCGAAGGTGCTGGGGCGTGATCTTCCGGATGGCACTCGTAAAAGGTTACAGGTTTACCTGGGGGGGGGGGCACCATTTTTCGGCCAAAACCTCCTGTTTTTGATAGGTCGTGACGCTCGCCTTCAAAAAACACTGTAAAAAACAGTACGGAAGACACCTGTTCGTGAACGCGCCCGTCCAAAATCGGCAAGCTAAAAGTGAAAAAAACCCGTGTTTTTCAACTTTTTGACCTCAATTTTTTGGTTTGCAACATCTTTTTTTGCGGTTCCGCAGGTGGCCGGGCCCGGAGGCGGATTTTTGAGTTTTTGGACCCGTTTTCGGACTGATTTTCGTCGTTTTGTGATAGCAGAAACACTGGTTTTTACAGTGTTTTTCTGTTTTCTGCATGCTTGACGGCTAGCTTCAAAACTTCCAAAAACCTCGTAAATTACGCTGTTTTATGTTACGGTGTGAATGAAAACATCGTAAATACAAGTGTTTTTTGACGTTGGTTAAAAAAACACTGTAAATTACAGTGTTTTTGGCCACCTGACCCTCAAAAACCATGGTATTTGCAGTGGTTTCTGCTTCTCACCGCGCAAAAACACTGTAAATAACAGCAATTTCGTCGTTTTTTCATGTTTTTCGTTATTTTTTGAACTGCGTTGGTCCGCTATACATGGCTATCAAATTCTTCGCGTTTTTTTTCCGACAATCAGTACTTTCGGATGTTTTTGGTCTCAATGGCCGACATCATTGGCAGTTACGAGCGGCTGCCCAACGCTGCGGTGCGGGCGGTTGCCGTCGCGAAGCGACGTGAATAATTGGGGTACTGGTACCCTCCATGTTTGAACAATATGAATAATACTATCTCACCAAAGATTCCTCTCAATCCACCTGCAACACAACTCAACCACCACTTTCTGATAGCTACACCTCCACAACTCACAATGTTCAATTGGTTCCTGCTGCCTGGCTTTCATCGCTTGTATTTCCTATTTGCTTCCAGTTATTTTGTCTCTGGTGGCCAGGATATCCAAAGTTTCATCTGGGATTGCTGAGCACCTACCAGTCACCTGTCAGTTCACCCTATTTCGCTAGGTTCCTAGCCTTAAAATCCCAAAGTTCGTCCTAGAAAACAAAAAACAACACGGTTTTCCCCAGCAATTCCTGGGCTTTACCCAGGATTCTCATGGTTTTCCCAGCAATGATCAGGTTTTTCCAGATCTTTCCCCAGGTTTTTCCACCCCCCAACCGTGCCTTATGTGCGAAGTGTTTGGCTGCCTTCAACGCCACCGTTTTGGGCGCCGGCCGTGCCCGCACCGCCGAGCGCAGCACCACCAGTTGCTCCACCACCGCTGTGCAACCGCCCACGTCTTCGCCCACCAGGGCGAAACGGGGCCAGAAGGCGCGGAAGTAGGCAGCAGGGACAGGGCGTTCCTGGGAAAATCCATGGAAAATCTATACATAAATGGCGTTTGAGTGGCAACATGGATCAAACTGATAAGTTTTAACTTGGGAAATTCTGGCACTAAAACTCGGGATGTTTATCCTGATGACGGGCAAATCCTGGAACTATATGGTGTTTTCATGTAGTTTATAGATGGGAAAAACATCGAACAAGTCATGTGATTACCGGAGGCTGATTTGGAGAGTTGCTACAGTGTTGCATCGCTATTTATCGCTATATGTAATTTTATTAGTTGATGGCTGGTTTATGGAGTGGGATCTAAAATCACTACTATACTTGTTTAGTTGGGGGACCTACCTAAATGTAAGGAATATTTTCCGGGGACTTTTTGAGCGGGGGCCTAAGGATAGAGACATCATTTCTTATACATGTCTTTGCTTTTTCAAATGCATAATTCATATTTTAAATGCACGATGGGTGGATGGCTCATGTCAAATTCAAACATTGCAAATCTTGTCTTTCCATGCGCTGAGGGTTTCTTTATCTGGGGTTGTGTTAATTGCAGACCAGAATGTAGGTACACGAGATTGTTACGTTGGGACGTGTTTGGATCTATGTACATATGGTTGTATATGTGTTATATATATATATATAGTGCAAATGAAACTTGGTGAAATTGGTGACAACTGTGCAGAAACATGGAGATATGATCCATCTAAAATCATCAACACCGTGAGCCCTTCATGTACGTATGCATGGATCATGATGTGCCAACAACTCAACAACTGTGGGCACGGGATGGCAAGGGGGGCTATTGATCAGTTACTGGGATGTGCATCCCTGATCTCGGCCGAGTCTCAAAGGTTTGAGAAACTGAGGAGGAGCACTCCTCGCCAATGGAGAGAGTTTCCTGCATCTGTATGCGTCGTTTGTGATGGGTACCGAATGGGTTACCCTAAAAGGGCTGCGAGCCAAGGGAAAAGCACAGACTTTGGCCTAGACTTTCGCCAGGAGATGAAAACAAACCGCTCCAATGGGACAATGGCCAAAAGAAACTGGAATAATGTGGGATACTCAATGCGAAATCATCCCCAACTTCGGGGTATGGTAAATCATATCAGGAAAAGGAGCATACATATTTTCCATTGAGCACCACAAAATTGGAGATGGTGGCTATTAATCATCAATTATTTTTGTGGGTCAACCCTTAGTTGTCTATCTCCATGTGCTGCTGGTTCCATCCTCTGTTTCATCCGCTATAATTTTCGCGGGCCGACACTCCTAGGGCCTAGGTGCCCCTAGGCCCCTCGAAAGCGCACTTAAAGTGACACATGCGAACAACAGTGCCAAATGGCATGGCTGAAAAACATGTGCAATGTGCTACACCCAGAAACAAAACTTCCAGGTTGGGGTGCTTCATACCACCCATTTCTGGCAACATTGTGATCATTATTGGGTTTACTGCACACATGTCCTTATGAAAAAGGCACCTGGCGGCCTCCTATTCACAACACAACAATATTCTACCGCAATTAATCACTTGGTAGCCTACATGCACATAAAAAAAAATCCTTAGAACGTTTCAAACGTATTCTCTCTCTCTCTATTTTGTGTACACTCTACCTACTTGTCACAATTATATATATATATGTACATATTATATATTACTTATATTACCATTCATGAGTGATTTCACCCAGTTACCACCACTCCAACACCTTCCAACACCTTCCAACACCTTCCCCCGGGACGTCATGCACCATGCCCGGATAGACCACCACAGCAGATCCATTGGGCGCCGTAAGTTCGAAGGTGGGCTGCCACTCCGAGCGGCGCTCCTCGTTCAGGGCCCCGTAGACCTGGTGCAAAGCGACCCTTGGAGTTGGCGAACCCCGCAGGAAACGACACGTTTGGCCACAGAAAATGGGTCGTTCACCGGGAACAATGGGGATTTCACCAACAAATATACATGGGAAATTATGGTGGATATAATAGTTGATATAGCTGATGTTTGTTTGCCAAGTTGGTGTATCACTAACATTTCACTAGGGGCTATGGTAGATATAACTAGAGCTGATGGGGTTTATAAACCACCATGTGGCATATACATATACAAAGTATACAACAATTAATGGTGGTATAAAGGGCCTATAATGGATTTCTGATGATTACCGAGATAAACTATACTGTAAATACAAAAAGCTATTATATACCATCAATACATGTTCATAATCCACAACTACTTGGTGGTTGATCCAGCCCCCTGAAAGATATGTTTGTCATTGGGGGTCATCATCCAAAATGCAAATCCCCTAGTGGGGATCCCATTCAGTTTCCAAATCACGGACCCAAACCACCAGTGTTCATATTGTTGGATGGCTTGTTGATTCCTTGTTGAACAAATATATCTTGTGGTGGGATAAATCATAAATGGCAAATCCCTCCAACTTCTTCCCCCTCATGAAACACAACTGAATATAGAGCAAGGTAGGGTTACCATGTTTTTTTTTATCCTTGGCCATATGGATCATATGGGGATGTGTTCTTCAAAACCTATTTTATTGTCGGAATCATGGGAATAATCTTTCAGAAAACAAAGTTGTGGAAGAATAGTTGTAGGGGAATCGCGTCATACGTGTTCAAAAACAAGTTCATTCAACATTCTTGGAGGGAACAAAATAGAGAAAACATGCTCAATATCAACTCTTGCTGGAACACATGATGGAACCGTGTTCAAAACCCATCCTTTAGATTCATGCTGGTGACAAGATGTGTCAATTCTCAGAGTCAAAGGGGTGGATGAAACATTTGTAGCAAATCAACCGGGGGAAAATTTTGTGTTGCTACATGATCAAATGATGGTAATGAAGGTTGAAATGAAGATCTGGTTCAATATGGTTCAAACGAAGTCAATTTGGATGATTCTATATTACCCTCAGCGAGCGGGGAACAAACTGGAATATGACAAGCAATCCAAGCCGCCTGGCCGCCTGAAGAACAGTAGTTCACAACAAACCGCTCAGTACAGTAATGCTTTTAATGCCTTTGATCAACAGCAATGGTGCTCGCAAGGCTTGGACATTTCGCCATATTCACCCAGTTTTTGGGAACATTGCAACAGGAAATCGTAACTTCCTATGGGATAGCATCCAGTTCCTTGGGCTTCCAGGGTCACTTAAATGATCTTAAATGAACAACAATTCACCCTTCATTGGAGCTATGGCCTAGAGACTTTCTGAGATGGAGCAAGGACTTTCTGGAAATACAAAAAAACAAAAATACATAAATATACTGTCATACGGAGGCTGTTACTTTCAAAGGAAACCGTTAGTTGAAACAGCCTCAAGTGCCCAAGGGATCCCCAAGGACAGGCACTTCTCCATCGAAGTATCCATCTGGATGTGGCACAGCTGGTGGCACCTGGGAGGTTGAGACGGGATCATGCAAACAAAAACAACCATTGTTGCTACCTATAGATACATTTCAGAAACAAAAGAGCAGGCTATGAAACTTTGGATGTTTGTGAGTTCTATGACTAATTGGTCTAAAGCATGGTTGATTTGCACACCCCAGGTACAAGAAGTGTAATGTTGTAAGGACATGTAAGGACCAATTTCCAACCCCTTGCGGTTATCATTTACCTATCATAGGTTGAAGCATGCGTGTAGAATGTTGCCTAGTCATAGATAGTAGCCCCATCAAATACCAATTAAATTCTCATTATTGAATAACCATTAAATCACCACAAACAACCCATTAAATACCCATTACATAGCCATGAACTAGCCATTGAGTGGCAATCAACAAGCCCATTTACACTGTAGCACTGAAATACCCATTGAATAACCATTAAACAGCCACTAACCAGGCTGCAACCCCTACAGATCCCCCGGGATGTGCAGCCCAGCGTCCATCATGCGCCATTTTCGTTCCCCAGAAAAGCAAAAGGACACGGTGGTGCGGCAATGCGGATCCTGCCAGCGATCATGTGCCCAGGATAGGTATATATATTATATATAGAGGTAATATATATATATATAATATAGATTATATATATATAATATAGATTATATATATATAATATAGATTATATATATATAATATAGATTATATATATATATAATATAGATTATATATATATGTATACTCATATAATCTCATACATGTTTTGACTCTTAACTCATAACCTTCTTCCCCAAAAGAAAACACGTTGCATTCGCCGTCCATGTGAGCTCGAGCTCCAGCGCCCTTGGGATGAAACCACATCTCTGAGGTGTGACCCATCTCCTGGCGGCTCACGTCTAAAGCCATGGAATTTTCATGGAATAGAATCAGGATATGATATGGCTTTAATACAGGATATGATATGACACATATATGATACATATGATTATAGAATCTAAAGCCATATGAATCAGGATATTATAGATATGATACATATGATTATATGATAGATATGATATTGTGGATATCATATGTTGCATGTGGAGGGCAACTAAATTCACCGTATTGGCAATAATTAAATTAAGGGACTATTCAACTATAAGGCTTACCTAATTTAGTGATACATGAGGATACACAATGGTCATCAATGTCCCTATGCAAATCAATCATCACAGATAGGAGTGGAGTAAAAGATGTGACCAATGAATCCAAACTTGTGGAATTTGATGGAAAGTGTGTAATTATGATTTTTGGATCGACTCAACCCTTGTTTCAAAATTGGTGGAGAAATTGAATTGAACCCGAAGCATCCGTTTCCATCCGGGATTAAGACCGCATACCCAGGCAGTACCGTGGTAAGCCAAGCATCAGTGGAGCTCTGCTGCGGCAGCCAATATGGGACCTTGCTGCTCCTCACCTGCATGAAAACTCTCCCATCATCTCCAAACGAGAATCAACACATATCAACACTCATCCCACTATTCAGAGGTGATTCAACTGACAAAGACCTTTACCCACCTGGTGCCTTCGAACCCGTAATCATTAGGGGTCATCATTCTTGGTAGCTGCTCGAAACCCATTGAAATCACCCCGTCGCTGAGTCGCAATTTGTTGCACCACTTTTCCTGGCTCCTTTCCCCACTTCCTCAGCAAGAAACAGGTCACTGTGAAGGGCACGGTGGAAACATGGAAATTGATGGAAATTCCATGAAAAACTCAAAAAGATGAAAAAACATGAATGTGCATTGTGGGCCAATGGGAAATCAGGCTGGGATACGAGTACTTTCTTGATTAGCCACTTATCTTAGCTTTAACATGGTGGGCACATCTTGCCCGGCTTGGCCATTTAAAACCAGTGACATAGCAAATCACACGAACCCAGATTCAATCCAAGGGCTTCCGATTTGGTCCTTTGAGCACGTTCAAGCCATTGGTCACAAAGGATTTCCATGATACCCGATGATCCCCTACATTATGACATTGCTCAGGATCTTCATCAAACAAGAATTGGGGAAGAATCAGGGCATCGGGATATCCATGGGTCCACGTAGGCCAAGCTTCAAGTTGACCCTGATAGTTGCATTAACGACTGAATACTATGGGAAACAAAATAGAACAAAATGTAGAAACAGAATCTGGTATGATTAAACTTTTGTTCATCAACAATTTACCACGGAAGTTCAGACTTCCTAACTTCCCATGGATTCCCATGGATCAAGCGTCCGTTCCCTCTCATCTTGATAGGCTTTGGCAATGTCCCAGTAGAAGGGTCGTATCCGAGGAGCGCCGGGCGGATACTTCTCCGAGCCTGGCAGCTTCGCGGTTCGCGGTTCGCAATCAGTCGATTGAGGGAAGCCATGGGTTGCTTCCGTCCCTGGCAGAAATCTGCTTCTGATTCTCCAGGTTTTTTTAATGTTTTCTTTTGTTCATAGTTCATAGATTTCATAGTTTCTTAATCGGTCCTTCAACAGTCCATGAACTCCGGCTGCTTTGCCTCAAATCAATATGTTAAACCGCATATCACACAAGAATCCCTTCCTGCTAGATCCATTCGCACCTGGGTATCGCTTCACGTTGCTCTGCCAGTTGCTGTTCATTTTGATGCCATTCCGCTCCTTATGTTGTTTGCTACAGGACATCCCTGAGCTTGTTGATCAGGCATGGTTTTGGCCTTGGTGAAGTACCGCATTGCTTATATATTGTCTCTACATACTTCGGAGCAAAAATTGGCAGCTTACAGAACATGTGCAGGATCAAACAAAACCAAGAGGACATCTGGCCAATGTTCTCACGTGGTGTGATACCCTTCGGAGGGTTCTCAAATCCATGTGTTACATTGTGTTACATCCCGTTCTTGATTCTCGGTCAACCCGCCTGTTTACTTCACAACGACAAAGACCAAGTCCTACATGGCATGAGGGAACTAACTCCTACAAGGCCATACAGTGTTATACAAGAGTAGCATCAGCATCACTGTAACACGATAATTTCCCGCAGAGCTGCCTGTCCCCTCACAGATCTCACAGTCCACTGGCAAGGCTCTGATTCACCGCCCTCTTGTCGAATCCGTGAGTGTGGGAACTCTCGGCTCACAAAGTCACAATCCCAAGCCTCATATCATGCAGCTCGAAGGTTTCGAGGAAACGTCCACCTTAAACACTACAATTGTGGATCGTTGAAATTCCACTCCTATATTTTCTACTGGGAGCCCCATGTGGAAACCTGCATTGTGATATCCTCTGCTTCCAAGATGGCTCTTAAACACGCGGCAACTGAGTTGAATTGGGGATATCTCCACTACAGGGACTTTAGGCCTTGAGGACTGAGCACAACTACCAGCCACCACTCACCTGATCTGATCTGCATTGAGCTCTCTCTCCATCTCCAGGTGTCTCCCTATGTTTTTGTTAAACAATGTCATCTTGGTCAGGCTTCATTCTAGCTCATCCTTGTAGGTTCCGTCCCAATCTTCAGTTGCTTCAACCTCCGAGTTTTTGGCCATTGCCAGGTATATCATGTAGTTTTTTAAGCCTTACCATCTGCTTATTTAACATAGCCATGGAAAATCCCTTATTTAATAAATGGAGGTTTATAGCTGGGAAAATCATCTATTTCTATGGGCCATCTATACCATGGCTATGTTAGTCATAACCAGAGGGCAAGTCCCATTAATATCCCATTGAATCACTATAAAATCCCATTAAATCACTATAAATCACTATTAAATCCCATTAAATCACTATTAAATCCCATTAAATCACCACTTTGACCATTGCTATCCTAACTTTGCTGAGCTCCCCCATCCCCGACATCCCCGAGCACCGAGCTACAGCCATGGGCAAGCCCCGAGCACCATCGGTGACCACGAAAGGTCGGCCCTGCAGCAAGTGCTCCTTGACCGCAGCGAAGCTGGTGTCCTTAACCGCACGGCACGTGGAGGAGAGTTACCACATGGGAAGATTATGGAAGATGTTTGGGAATATCATATGGAATTGATGGATATTATATCCATTTGGGGTAAATGTTGATGGATTATGGAATATCCATATCTGCAAGATTCATCAACATTTACCCCAAATGTAGGTAAATATACCATACATGGAGCGTCTGGGAATATGACAGGGAATACAAGTCGGGAAAATGTTGGCTTGGGAACATGATGGGAGTGTGATGGGAATGTGATGGCAATGGGAAATGTTGAGGATGGAAACGATGAAAAGCGATATCTGGGATGAAAGTCACCAGCAAAATGGCGGTGTCGCTTGCAACAAGTCCACAACATCCTCAAAAAGGGGAAACTATGATCACAAATGGCACCACCAGCAAATTAAATTAACACACAGGGCCATACATTCAATTAACCACAAACATGCACTTAGATCCGCAAAAAGCAGGAAACCATACACATTTATATAACAATGTTGAGGTTTCCATCATTTTACGCAGCATTTTGAACTTGTTACCGTGTGTTTTTTTAGGCATGTCATGTCACAACTCCCTGGGGACCTAAAACATCCACCGCCCATCAGCGCTAAAACACCGTGAAGGATGGAGCTTCGAATGTGCCGTAGTGGGCCAGTACCTCTGGTCATGGATGATATCTGCTGGGTTGACCACCAATCTGTTCTTTCTTTGGTAGGCAGTGGATAAGCTTCCTGGAAGCGGGAAAAATCATCTACATTCGATTTGGGTTTTCTGGTGAGAATGGCGCACCTCGTACTTACTGGTATCTTGATTGCAGCATCGTTCAAACCTTTCAAATTCTTTGAAGCCTAGCCTAGCAATGTAAAACCTCCTTCTGAACAGGATTCTCACCGAACTCCCATTGAACAAGTGGAAAAAATGGGAAAAACAACATGGCCTTGATCTGCAACCATGATCGACCATGTAACCATGTGTATCATATGCCGATATGTCCATTTCCACTGGTGACGAATCATCAAATCTGGAGCCTCATCATCGGTCGCAAAAGCTAAGCTGGCAGCCAAACTGTGCAACAGTCTGGGCACCATCTGGCTGAGACGCGCAGGGCACAGCGGATGTTTCCTCTGTCACAAGGTTCCATATCTATGGCACAAGGTTCCTGTGCATGGACAAATCCATCCAATTTTGTGTCTAGCTTTGCGTTAACAACTTTAATTTTTGCTGGGAACCGCAAGGAAAACGAATCGGTGAAGTCAAGTGAGATACCAAACCAGGATTTGCCTTGAAATGCGCAGTGTTTGCCAATTTCAACCTGCAGCTTGGCAATCTCTGCAAACATTCTGCGGTTTTTTTTGGCCTGATCGATGTGCACAGATCCCATCTGCGATCCATTGCCATTCGTTGGCTTGATTGGTTCAAAGCAAGGCTGCAAGGGTCACTCACTTGCCATGGAAATCCCGAAAATATGTCCCGGCCCCAGAAATCCATCCCAACAATGGCACTTCATGGCATCCAAAAATTCAATGGCACTTCATGGCACTTCCATGCTTTATTTTGTGGGTCACCTTCAAATACCCTCCGGTAATTTAACATAACTATGGAGAATCACCATTTTTAATGGGAAAATCCACTATAACTGGCCATTTTCAATAGCTATCTTAGTTTACCGGAGGGTAGTGTGGGTCACCTTCAAATTTTTGTGATCCTTGACTTTATTGGCAATCTCCCTGGTCTTGGTTTTGAAAACCCCTAACCGCGCACCGGCTTTGTAGATCCAAATTTCCGAAAGGTCAAACTGACTGTGTTGAACCAACGTGGTTAGTTTGTTTCGTTTCACCCATCCATCCAACTATACACCCAACATAAACCCACCAATTAGCCTAGTTATCATAGAATTGAGCTGACTATACCATCCCCCCGTTCGGTTCCAAAAAAAATCATACATTCTAGGCAAGGCAGCAACATTTTAGTTTATCAAACCCAAAGTTTTGATGGCTAAAGCCTCGCTAAAGCCTCTCGTTTGTTAGTTCCACCCCAAATATTAATAGTTAAGCCACCATTTTGGGTTGCTTAAACCACAAGTTTTCGATGGCGAAGCCCAAGTTTTCATGGTTAGTCATTCACCAAATAACGGTGCCCTGGGCACGGCCAGCATTGAGGTCGCCAGGCAGGACAGCGACAGCCGCAACTGCGATCGCTCAGCCACCTCGAAGGGTTTCGAGGGACCCGAGGGAAGAACTGTTGGGTTGGAGAATAAATGATATATATATATATATATATGTATATACAGGATGGGCCCCCCCAGTTATAAGTTGGTTTATAAACCATTATAATCCCCATTAACTATAGTTATATCTACCATAAATGATATACATACAAAGTGGGGCCCCAAACGATAGCTAAGTTGGTGCGCATAACTCCAATAGCTATGGTTTATGGTACTTATAACGAACTAGTTACTGGGGTTTATAAACCAACTTATAACTGGGGGGCCCCACCTTGTATGTATATAAGTGTGACAACTTAACTATATATTCATAGTTATGATTTAGAGGTATGTTTATAGTTAGGCCTGTATCTATTCATAGTTATGTTTATAGCAGGCTTTATCGGGAAATATTTATAGCTGCCCACTGCAATTCACAGAAAATACTATGAGCATCATGATAAGCACTGCTTGATTGCTTCATGACAAGTCAACTTGGTTTAGTGATGTGGAAAACATCAAGGGAAGAAACCTTGTTCACTGACACACTCCACTAGTTAACAGTTAAGTACCAATCCTGTCGTCCAAACCGATGTTAAGCACTAATTAGTTGCTAGCTTGCATCAAACAAGCAACCCGAAGCCAAGGATCTAAGCAGCAACATTCTCCTATATGACTCCAAAGGTTCCGAATCAGGAGCCCTTACCTACATCGGAGGTACCTATGCTTAAGTATGGCCATTGTTTAAAGGACTATTCCCGGCCAACTAGCCAAGGGCAATGGGTGCCTCCATCGATTTTCTGCAGAATCTGCACACCTTCCCATCTTCTACTAGGAGGGCGTGCCAATATTGATCATCCAACATGCATAGAGGCGGCTTCAGAAACGCATCAGGCCTCAGGCCAGTGGCAGGAGGTGGCCACTCCAAAACAGCTGGCAACCAGGAAAGCCCACACCCAAAGAAAATGAGATCTGATGGCAGATGTGTGCACTGCTGCTGCGCTGTTGGTCTCCTTAAGCTACCAATTTTTCGTAAACCATTCACAGCATTACCTTTACTTAAGCTCAATTGTTTTTGGTTGGTTAAAGCGTCATTTAGGGTTGGTTTAGGTCTTGTTGATTCATTGGTTTTAAGAGTTGCTTTAGGATGTGACCATTAATTTGTTAGAGAGCAGCGGAGAAATGGGAAAGCAAAGCCCGGGGTCCTACGATTCTGACAGCTTGGAATCTTGAGCCTTCTTCTCGAAAATGAAATGGGGCGGGCGGTTTTGGTGCCAAACAAAAACAGGGAAACGCCCGGAAAAAAAGAAGCGGAGAAGCAGAGAAGGGCAAAAAGCGAAGAAGCAGTGCAGCAGAAAAGCAAAGAAGCAGAAAAGCAGAAAAGTAGGAGGAAGAAACAAAAGCAAAAGCCTTAGCAGCCAAACATAAAATCAACATTCATGTAATAGCACCACCAAATATTTACTCTTCCTTCTGTTCTTGTAGCCACCAAGTGGCCGATAGACGCAAATCCCTGATTCAGGGTTGACAAGCCATTGTTGTTGCACAGGCCCACCTGTCTGCTTCAAGGTTATCCGCACACGCGGGTGACTGACCTGTCAAAAATCGGGTATGATCTTGATGGAAAAGCACGATTCACCATTCTCAACCTGGCTTTCCAAGAGAAAACATACCCAAATTGTTGCCCTTCTATGTGAGTCACAAGTCACAAGGCTATGTCACAGTATATGTAACCATTCTGTAGCCATGTGGGATTGGGCCAGAAACCATCAGAAACCTATTTTATTTCATGGTGAACATCCCCAACATCAACGGTTCATCAACGGTTCAACGGTTCACGCTGGCCAGCTGGGTCTTCCAGACCCTCCGGGATAGTCCATCATTTCCGAAGGGAAACCCACAGACACCTCCTCAAAAGGCAGCTGAACTGGCCATGCAACGGCCATGTTGCCGTCTAAGCAGCGCATTGTGAAGGGAACGTATTTGAAAGACTGGGTCAAGTACACATGCTAAACAAAACAGGTTCAACATAAAATATCATGAAATAATGAAACAAATGCAAAAACAATAACAATCGGTTGACTATTCAAATAAAATTATGCACGCTTTGCAGTGCATTGGGGCCCTTCTAAGGTTACTCAGTGTCCTTTAGACATTTGGATCGCACTTATCCCATAATTACTAAGGAAACACACCAACCGAGATTGGGGTTTGACTATGTCCGGTATTTCAACAATATCATTCTTGCCAAGAAACAACACCTGGCAGTTTGTTTCATATTTCAGCTTGCTATGCTCGTGCCACAAATGTTCACATGAGCCTTTGGAATATGGCTAAGGTTTCGCATCCCCCAGGGCCAAACCACCCTCGGCATCCTCGAAGGAGATCTTCCTAGGTTCAGCATGGAAATGCTGTCTCCATGTCTCCTTCAGTTGGACTGCATGATAAATGCCCCCTGGTAAATTCCAATGGCACTGGAAGATAGCCGCCACCATTTCCCGTTGAACACTGGGACATGTTCATACATATTCGAGGTTTGTTGCCAGAGCGTAGCTGGGCTACAGTATGCAAACATACCGGCTCGGACTATGCAAACCATAGTTTCCCACCAGACCATCGGTGCATCAGTTTTGACTCTCCCATATAATGAATAACGACATTTCCCAAGTCATAATCAGTTTCACGATCATTCTTTTCAAACCACTTCTTCCAGAATTTGTTTAGTTCGACCTGGTCTTACCCCCCACAAAAAATATAACACACACGTCTAATCTATCCATCATTATCCATCAATTATCATCTATCCATCCCTTCCTCCGTCCAGCCACCCCATGGTCAATACGATCCACCTTTTCTTGGTCCATGTTCAAACCCAAACCTAGGATTTATTTTAGTCCAAATCAATTTTACGTGGTCAGAAAAAATACAAAACGATACAATAACATTTTCCCAACCAGTGATCCAGTTTCTATCTACCACCATACCCCAACTGTGGAATATCCCAATTACCGGCATTTGTTCCCGTAGCTATGGAAGCCATGGCCCATAGAAATAGATGATTAAAATCCCTAGGTAAAGATGATTTTCCCACTTCTAAGGCCATTTCGAGCCCAGATTTCCCATATTTTCCCATAGAAATTTGGGATTGTCCAAACGTTTTCCCATATTTTTCCCTATATTTTTCCCATCAAACGTTGGGATTTCCCAGGGCGCCAGGGATCAAGTGCTCCGGCACTGCCGAGCTCAACCAACGGAGCTCCGCAGGGCTGCTGCTGTTGCTGTGGAAGATCACCTTGCGGTTCCAACCTCTCTGAAAAATATTAGTCAGATGGAAGCATTATTCCCAATATATGGAAAAATAAAAAATGTTCCAAACCACCAACCAATATCAATTGGGATAATTGCCATATCTCATTAACAACTAATAATTAATTGGGATATTCCACTTCATATATCCCGATTAATATCCCTATTTATACTCATACCAGTAGTACCGCACTAGGCGGTGGCGGAAGTTTCAAGAAACCTATAGGAGAGATGTGTTGTTGTGAATCACGGATGGCAGAGCAAATCCACTGATCGACCGAAAAGTGGTTGGAGCTGTGTTTTTTGGAGTGGCTGCGATGGTTGCAGTGGTCACCTAGTCGGTCACCTCACCCACAACTGCTGGATGTAGTGTGGTGTAGTGCAGCTGTAGCTGTAGTTGTAGTGGAGTTGTAGTTATGGTGTAGTGTAATTAGTATAATGTAGTTGCAGTTGCATTTGTGGTGGTGTAATGAGTGTATTGTAGTGTAACGTAATGGAATGCAATGTGGAGTGGGGTAGTGTAGTGTAGCGTAATTGAGTGTAATGTGGTGTGGTGCGCTGTGGTGTAGTATGGTGTAGTGTAGCGTAGTGTAATGCAATTAGTGTAGTGTGTTGTGTTGTGTGTTGGGTAGTGTAGTGTAGTGTAGTGTAATGCAATTAGTGTAGTGTAGTGTAATGTAGATGTAGTTGTAGTTGTAGTTGCAGTTGTAGTTGCAGTGTGGTGTTATGTAACGTATTGTAGTTGCAGTTCCAGTTGCAGTTGTCGTTGTAGATGTAGTTGTAGTTGTAGGTGTAGTGTAGTGTAGTATAGTGTAGTGTAGTGTAGTGTCGCGTGGTGTAGTGTAGTGTAATGTAATTGAGTGTAGTGTACTGTAGTATGGTGTAGTGTAGTGAGGTGTAGCGTAGTGTATAGTGGAGTGGGGTGTCGTGTAGTGCAGTGTAAGGTGCAATGTAATTAGTGTAGTGTAGTGTAATCTTATGTAGTGCTAGTTGTAGTTAGTGTGATGTAGTGTAATGTAGTGTAGTGTAATGTCATTGGTGTAGCGTAATGTAATGTAGTGTCGTTGCAGTCGCAGTTGTAGCTGTAGTGCAGTGTCATTCAGTGTAGCGTAGTGAAGTGTAGTGTAGTGTAATGTAATTAGTGTAGCGTAGTGTAGCGTAGCGTAAATGTAGTATTGTTGTAGTTGTAGTTGTAGTTGTAGTTAGTGTAGTGAAGTGTAGTGGAATGTAGTGTAGTGTGGTGTAATGTAGTGTAGTGTAGTGTAATTGAGTGTAGTTTAGTAGAGTGTAATGTAGCAGAGTGTAGTGGAGTGTAGTGGAGGGTAGTGTAGTGGAATGTAGTGTAGTGTAGTTGTAGTGTGGTGTAGCGTAGTGGAGTGTACTGTAATGTAGTGTGGTGTAGTGGAATGTAGTGTAGCGTAGTGTAGTGTAGTGTGTAGTGTAGTGTAGTGTAATGCAATTGAGTGTAATTGATTGTAATTGAGTGTAGTGTAGTGTAGTGGAGCGTAGTGGAGTGTAGTTTAGTGTAGTGGAATGTAGTATATAAAGGTATAGTTGTAGTTGTAGTGTAGTGGAGTGCAGTGGTGGTTGTAATTGAAAATGCATGAAAATGCTCACGTTTTGTTCACTTTTGGCCAGGTCCACAATCCCTTGCGCCTGCCACGCGAAACGACATCTGAACGTCCAAATGGTCCGAACCCTGGTGCTTTTAACATTTTGACTTCGAAATGTGCTTTGCGCCACAACGGCGTGCACTTTTTCGCATCTCAATTTCCAAAACTGGTCAGGTGTGCTTTGTACATTTTGACTTCGAAATGTGCTTTGCGCCACAACGGCGTGCAATTTTTCATCTCTCATCTGGCCAGCTGGCTCCGCACCCGCCGCTTTAGCGAGCCTACTCTTCGACCCTCTGGAGACACAAATCATTGCAAAAACACAGTGTTTCGCGACTTTCCTACCTTTTCGCGCGCCTGAATCTTTCTTTCTTCTCAGACTGACTCTTTTGTGATCTTCTTTCTTCTTCTTTTCTCTTCTCTGACTCTTCCCATCTCTGCTTTTCATCTGTCCATATTGTCGGAAGTTTGACTTCTAAACGTCCTTCGATAACCATATATTACCCACTAATGTGGGTAAAACAATGCCACAAACCACCCATGACTGTGAATGGTAAACATACCACCTATAAAAATGGTGATGACTGGGGGGTGGTTTATGGCATTGTTTTACCAACATTACTCATATTTAGGGTGATTAAGAGTATGCATACCTCAAATTAAAGTTTACTGTAATATTGAAAACATCATACCAACTACTACTAATAATAATTCAAAAAACAAAAAACATTGATGATCATAATGATCAATATGGACAATGACAATGCTAAAGCAACAAACAACTAATAACAACAATAACACAACATATGACAAGAAACAAAAAACACACTGTTCAAAAAACACGCACGTATATATAATTATATTCATATATTCTACATCTACACACATTATTGAGTGACCAGCAACAAGATCAACACTCCAAACATCACCGCCACAACAGTTCGCGATCAACGCGTTCTTTAAAAACAAATCCAATTTGAAGCCCTGACAACTTCATGGTTTCGACATCGCAGCACATCATTGGTTTCCTGGTTCTGGCACGGCTATCCAGTTGGACACCCACAGGCGCAACAAGCACTATATCAACATACGCAAAAACAGCGTGCAACTAAGAGTCTGCTGTATGAAAAAAATGCATGACATTGCATGTATACTTTCTTGAATTTTCCATAGTTTTCCCTTAATCCAAATGCATCAAAACAAACAATCCCTTCTCAACAGGGAACCCAATACTCCACCAGGCGACCACCGGATAGTGCCAGAAGAACTTGGCCAAACAGCGCAAGGACAAGGCCAGGTCCAAGTGGAGGCTTCGGTCGGCATTTTCCTCGGCCGTGGGTACTGCTGGTGTTTTGTAGCCACATATATACTTTAAATCAATACAGGATGTTTGGAGAAATTTGATGTGAATCTGCTTGGTGTCATGGTCTCACATATGTGCCTACACCTCAATCATTCAGCACATACAATTGCTAGACGTCTACCAGCGTTTCGTTCCAGCATCAGTCCGGGCTCATCAGCCAAGCAACCATGAGTAAGTATACCAGCACCTGAGCGAGGAAGAAACATAGAAATACATAATTAAAGTGTCTGAGTGCCGTTCCGTTCGGTGGTGAAAATTGGATGATATCATAGAACGGGCACCTTAAAACCTTCATTCCTTGAAGCTTTCAAAACAACTTCGGGGTACGGAATGCCTTTTCAATGGTTTTCAAAGGCACAACGCCCATCCCGCAGGTTTGTGTGAAAATACAGTTCCCTTGTCAAAGTTGCGCAATAGTACCCACTCTGATTGAAGACCCATGATTGTTCCATGTTTTTTCTGTGATTTTTTTGCATGATTTTCCCATGTACTGTTGATAACACCTCCGTTATCCACCATCTATGTTTGTCACCTCCTACGAGCTGCACAATGCTGTCAAGTTGCAGCCCGTGGTCGGTGCTGCTCCAACGAATTTCTTCGCTCCTTCAAAGCTTCAAACCTAAAGCTGCGGGCCGTTCGGCAAGTGAAAAAAAAGGACCCCCCTTCAAAAAAAAATGGACAATTTGGATCAATTAGTAGAATAGAAAAGAATAGATGACATAGAATGTTATAAATAACACAATATAATAGTCTACCACACTGTGTAGCAAACTAGCAACCATGACAATGCCACTACATGCCACTACACAATCATAGATTGTACTGGGTAGTGTGCTACGAGTCATTGCAATAACATGCGGTAACATGGTGCCGGGTCTCTGAGAGACTCGCGACTGTTGTTACTTTTCAAGGGAATTCAAAAGGTGCCAAAAAATGGTTTGTTCACCATTACCATCATCATCATCATCATCGTCCACATCATCGTCATCATCAGTGTCATCATCATCGTTATCATCATCGTCATCATCATCATATTCTTCTTCTTCTTCTTCACCTTCGTCTTCATGTCCAACTTCATCTTCGTCGTCGTCATCGCCAACGTGTAAGTGCGAGAGAACGGACAGCAGCCTAACATAATGTTTGTGTGTGCAAATTGAAGAAAACGTACAGCAGTGTCGCATGACGTATGTGTGCAAGTGCAAGATAATGTACAGCAGCGTAGCATGACGTATGTCTGCAAATGCAAAAGAAAGTGCAGCAATGAACGTTAGTCCCACCCCAGCCCACCCCCCCACCCTTCCACCCACCCACCCACCCGTTGATACCCATATGCAAAATGTGACAACAGTCGCGAGCCTCTCAGAGACCCGGCACCAATAACATGCATGGTTGCGAGCATATAGCCACAAAAATAAACAACATGTATAACCACTAGAATAACTCATTATCATGTAATGGGAACTAATCATCGGCAATGCAATGTAACTATGTAATACACAGAGGTTATTGGATCATCGAACAAGTGCTACTGATGGGATCCCAATGGGACATATGATGGAATACACAGGTGATAATTATTTAACAATTGAATTTGATAAGAACAGGAACCTAGTATATATATATATATTCCAAATTATTCCAATATTGAACACCAGGTGTGGTCTGCCAAAAAATGCGATGTATCATCCAATCCAATCTGTCATCCAATGTTTTCCAAAATTTGTTGGGAAACAAATGTTCCTGAGAATCTTCAGGTGCCAAGGCCATATCTTAAGTATCGACTTACAGACACAGTCCTGCCAGGATCAGCAGGCTTGACTAAAACGGCTGTCTGTTTACCAGTATATCATGTTATTGCGGAACCCTTTGACTTTAATAAGGTAATATATAATCACACTTGTGGGGCTGCAGTTTCCATCCTGATCACCTCAACTGCATCCCCAAGAAGGAATCAACCCGGCCTGTGGCCTGACCTTTCCTATGCATATCTCGGTCGAGCGGCTCCTGTTCGTAGACACGCTGTTGGTTCTTTGCCTCCAGACCTTGGATAATCAAACTGCTGGGTTTTTTCCCCCACGATGTCTGATTGGGGTCCGTTTGAGTTGCCTTAAACTTAGTAAAGCTCAATACAGTTTTTGCAACCATTCACAAATTGTTTGTGACAAGCAGGGGGCGCCTCTCTGTGAAACAAGATTGCTGCAACATTCATGATGTGTTAAAAGTTAAAATTTGTTGACACTGTTCACAGAAACCTTGACTTTTGATTGATCTCCTTTGTATCACTCACTGCAAGAGAGGCATGAGGAATAACGCAACTGTCTGAAGCAAAACCAGTCCACACAGCACAGCATTTGCGCGACACTACCTCGCAAGGACCATACATTCCATTCACCTTCCCTGCGCAAGAAAGAGTATTCAAAGTCCAATGCGAATTATTGATTTTTATTGATTTTTATGATTGAGGGTTCCATGGTAGATTTCCTAAACCCTTGATGCTACATTCGAAAACATGCGTCCATCCTTCCATATCCTTCCAGTTCGTCCCCAAACGCATGTGCCAGCTCAGAAGGTGGCTCTTGTCCACGTAGTATTCAAGACCTCACTCGCAGATGCAGGACACGAACAGAAGCAAAACATTTTCATTTTTCAAGTAGCTTCACGAAAATCGATCATTCAATGGATTGGTTTCTGGGAAAGCTTGCTCTTGAAACCATGAGATTCCTGAATACGCGAAGGTCCTGCAACATTTTTACCCAACAAATTGGAACAACTCATCAATGCTGGGTGAGGACTGGACAGTGTCTAAACGCAGCCATTTGGACAATGTGCAAATAGCTACGCAATGCAAAAACGTAGCCGCCTCTGACCAGCCTGCAGCCAGGTGACATTCTTGAACCAATTCGTAGCCATTGTATTCAATGGTCATGCTGCCATTCTCCCCCTTGGTCTCGGTCGGTGAGAAGTCTGTGGAGCCAGGCAGTATGGCACGAATTTGCACAGCATCTCACACAATCAAACTGGAACTCCTATATTTATGGTTTTTCCAACCTGCAAATACCCTGCAATTTGGGGTTCCATATTGGGTCCAAGGTGGGCAAGCATCATTGACGGACATCCACATCCATGTTTCAACCAAACATCCCTTCCGGCCCTTCCGGTTGGCTTATGGTGTCTCACTTCCCGCAGGAATGGCACAAAAAACCAGCCTCTGTCAACTCAACATACATGCGGTAAGATCCCATCCCCAATATGGAAAACTTTGCCAATTATCCAGTTCAGATATATACATATATATATATATTTATATATATAGGGGGCTTCTCCATTTCTTTGGCTCCTATATTGACATGATTGCTGAAATCCTGATTTGCTTGCTTAAATCCTCATGCTTTGAACACCAGAGGTCAATGGATATTGGGTTGATCTAATGATGTGTTTAATGGAAACCACAAGTTTTAACCCCTAAATGATACCGTTCCCCAAATTGACATCAACCTCGAGGATCAATGAAGTTTAGACTTAAACAACATAGCCTTACAACCCCCAACTCACAGCAGGGTCTATGTTAGGTGGGGAGATGGTTAAATTTTCCCGCAGAAAAATCCCCCTCAAATCAAATCAGAGGATTGATTTTTTCTTTGATGGCTAATTATAGACCATGTAAAATCCCCATGAACTGGGTTTAACATGGTTACAGTAACCACATCACACCTGTAATACTGATATTTATTGAAGGGTCATCTTGGCCCCCCCTGGCTTCAAGGCTCGATTTCGATCTCCGGGGACGGCAAGTTCAACTCCTCCTCCTGCCGCACACGGCGGCCACGCCAATAGGAGGCCGCGCCCGCGGCATCCACTGCGGCGCGATCTTGGGAGCCCTGGGCGGTAGACATCAGGGCTGTGGATTTCACCAAGGTGGCATGGTGATATATTTGCCACATTTGTGTGGGGAGTGTGTGTTAAATGATGTTAAATGGATAGCTCTATAATTATGATTATGTAGATTCGAAAAGGATCTGGTTAATTTGTTGAACCAGTTCCACAGCAAATTTCTTGGACCATCATTTGTGGTCAGGATGCCGTGAGGTCGTTTTAACGAATTCAATTGGATAATTTCACTGGTCATAAAGTGCGAGTAGAAACCAGGGGGATACACCAACCCCTGGTAACGAAGGAGATGATACCTGGAACATGTTGTTTATTTCTTATTGTTGGGAATGGTGGCTTCGAACAGTTACACAACATGCTCTGGAGGCTTGAGGATATGAAAGACTGGAGACACAAAGTGTCTCCTACAATAATCTAGTGATTTGTGGTGGCAAAAAATACCATCACGGTAAATCACGGGTATATCACGGTTCTCCATTGACTTCAACCCGTTCGTTTTGAAAACCACACCCCTTCCAGCCAGACGTGCGACCTAACCTGTCGCTTTTGCGCCCAACACTTTCCATAAGCACCTGCCACTCACGGCCTTCTCCCCATGCACATTTACAGCCATGCCGCTAGCATCTACCCACTTTACTCCTTTCTTCTCAATCTCCACAGTCTTATACACACCCACCTCTACACAAACCAAGTTTTACACCAACCAGCTTATACACAAACAGTCTTTTACACCAAGCACTTCTTGCAGAAACCCACTTTGCAACCAACCAGCTTTTACACAAACCCGCTTTTCCACAAACTCGTTTTTCCACAAACCACCTTTTACACCAACCAGCTCTTGTACAAGCGAGTTTTTGCACACAGCAGCTTCTACGCAAACCAACTTTTCGACCAGCTTTACACAAACCACGTTTTGCACCAACCAACCAGCTTTACACAATCCCTGCCTTGCGCCGAATGCCGAAGGCTGTTAAATATGGGATCGTTCATAAAACACAACAAACAAACTGCATCCTCTTTCTCCAAAAAATGGATATGGAAGACAACACAGTTGATTCTCCCAACCTGTCAGGTGGAGGGTTGTTAGATTTTATGTCAGCTGTCCCGCTGCCTCCTTCTCCTCCGCCTCCGCCGGACCTCAACTGCAAGGGCTAGATCGCAGTGTTTCCCGCCGGACCCGAATAGCAACCTCTGGATCGTTACCCGCCGGACCTCAGCCACGAAAAATATCCAAAGATATACCAGATAGAATGCCAGAAAGAATGTCAGAAGATATGCCAGATACATGTGCCAGAAAGAATGTCAGAAAATATATATGTATATATGTCATAAATATTTCCAGATGGTGTGTCAGAAACTATGTCAGAATACTGTGTAAGGGTGGGGATCACTCGAAGAAAGTATAGTGGCCGGCTAGCACTTAGAATATTGACGTATTCATCCTTGAGAGTCCAGCGGCTCTTTTTGGAGGCCCGGCTGGATTTTTGACAATATTCTATCTGCATTGCACTTAGAATATTCGATAATAAAAATATCATTAAACACATTACTTCTTGAAGTGTTTCTGGAACAATACTTCTTTGAAATGGCTGCTGAATAGTTGCTAAATAGAACAAGGAGGTGAATGGATTCATGTGACTTTGGCATATTCTAACTGCTAATGATTTCCGAATATTCTAAGTCGAGCTGTGTATCATTGTGGAATATTCGAACTGCTGACGTATTTTCTGGGTCCTAACTGCTAGCAGGTTACTATAATTCTTTTTTATAATCCGGGTGCCCAAAAAAGAATAGGTTTCAATATTAAATTGGCCATTTGTGGATTCGGGAGTTACCCCCGCGATGGAAACCTCCAACGGCGGCGCCTCTCCCAACACCCCCAGCAGCGCCACCCACGCCAGCCACGGGCGCAGCCCGAAGAGCCCGAAGGGCCCAAAGGGCCCGAGGGGCTCGAAGCCGCAGGGCGGCACCATGGAGTCGGGGCACACATGATGAATGGCGATAGATTGGGCACGACATGGTTGAAAAATTGTGGTAAACCAATTAATGGTGATAACATACGTGTTTATTATTGTTTATTGCTGAATATGATGAATGATGAACATACAATAATGTGGAAAACCCAAGTCACCATCCACAGGGGAGGTCTATGCAATTGGGTGACCCTCCATTTGAGATGATGGAACATATATTTAAATACTATGACATAAGTGCCACGTTTTTTTCAGACAAATGGGAGCCACCCGCTATACCAACCATATGTATCGTGATATCGTGACACGTAGTGTCGTCGCTTTGTTGTTTCCACAAGAAGTACCTATACGTAAACCTAGATCATCCTACAACCGAGTCCTTGCGATAGACTTTTGTTGCATTCAGGTGCATGCTTTCAGACCATGGTAGCTACCGAATTTCGGAATTGTCCGCATTGTGCATTTTCTTGACGGTCAAAGCTTTGGGGATGCCTTGTTGCTCAGCTGACATTGTGGCAAATAGTTGGGTTATTGACGATCCTGAAAGCAGAGATGAGCAGCGGTCACGGAACTGCAGGGCTGGTAGCTGCAGCGACAGCAATCAGAAGTGCAAGTGACCATATGGACCAAGATCAATATATTGCAGAAACAGTAATCTAATCTCCATGTGGTGACATACTGGCCTGTAGAATGGAGAACAAACTCCACAAACTGAAAGCTGAGACATCCCCAAGTGAGAAGTGCGGAGCACACATTAAGAAACTTGTGTAAACGAACTTCGATGGACCTTCTGCCCATTCGGATAAATGTAGGAGGCTCAAAGAAAACAGCCATCCCCTGAGAGACGCAGGCAGCCCCCTTCCAGCTGCGCCCTTGCAAAGGCTACTCTTTCCGCCGCGGACGGCCATCCGACAGAAGACATGTCCTTAAATCAATTGCTGTCCTTCACAGCACCGCGTAGAGCAGCACCGTGCAGTCCAAACAGGCCAAAAAGCCAAACGCCTGGCCGGGATAAAGATGGATCATGGATTGTTGAACCTTAGGAACTCATGGTTTCAAAACAAAACGATGAAACATGTCAGATGTGGAGCACCCACATGTCTGGAAGCTTATACTTATTGATCTCCTTAGCTCCCTGACTTGCAGGATGAAAGGAGGCTTGACTTGGTAAGGAGGCCCAAAAAACAGAAGGCGACGAAAACAACCAAAATGAGCGTTGAAGAGGGCAACAAGTTAAAAGACACACCCTATCCCACCTTGACTTCCAGTCTATGTACCTGAACCCCTCATGGCCGCCAAAACAGGACCCAACAAGAACAAACACTATCCTCTGGTACACAGAGTTGCCCATGCCAAAAAAACAGACCAAACACGGAATTCCTTAAATTAGAAGGGCTGTAATCATTCTCTTGATGGCACAATAACCGTCACCAACCCACAGAAGCAATAGTGGTCCCAATAGTCACAGCAACAATAACCGCAATAGTAATACCATAAAGGGAATAGTAGTCTTTGATGAAACCGCATATTCTCCGATTATTGGGATGTTTAATCTCGTAGCTCAATCTTACGGTTGGTCATTGGGGATGTGTCATGGGCTTTGCCCCTCGCTACCTCACCACCTATGCCGCAGCACCCTCGGTGCTGCAGAAGTCAAGCAGCCAAGGCACATAAAGTTTCTGCGGCCCCAGCCGAAACATCTGAAGTTCATAGCGTTCTCTGTAAAGCCGAAGTTGTCATTCCGCTTGCTGCTGGAATCCGCGGCCCAAACTCCCCGCGCAGCACGGGAGAAGTGGTGGCAACGCGGCATTTCGCAGGAAGTCCTGCAATCAAACGTCAGTTTCTGTTGTTTGGGCCCGAAAAAGATGGGCATGATAACCGCATTATATGTGGGTTAAATTGGCAAGCATAACTATTCGTAAAAGCATCTTTGCTTAATTTAAGCACCCTACCCACATGCACGGTTTTTGGATTTGTAGACAACGGAGGTCCAGATTTACAAACCCTCTACCCTAGAACTTCAGTATCTATCTTCATAGATGGTGCTTGCTGGTGGGAAATTTCACATGTCTGGACTGGGTGAACAGGAGACGCCCTCCTGATGGCATCTTCAAAGCGCAAAAGTTATGGCCATCCGCTGTGTAGAATGCAGCCTGAGATTTGTATAGATTTGTTGGATGCAAATGGCGTGACCACTAAAACTGGCTGCGGAGATGGGGCAAACCACTTGAAAAGCAACAGTCAAGGCCAAATAGTGAAGGTAGGATCACTGTTCCAGGCCGGTGTGAAACATAAAGTAATCTTTTCTGCGTGCTGAGCAAGGTACAACAGACCTTCAGCCAAACTGTCCGAAAGCCTCGCCAAGGGACGCAGCATGCGCCAAGGGGCTGCTAGCATTGGAGAATCGTTCATTGGGAGCAGCTCACCTCAGGTCACCCTGACCCCGGGGATTGGATCCTCATTGCGCGCACATCTCAAGTAATCCCAGGTAGATAGGTAGCAAGCGGCTTGAAATGTGTCCTAGCAACAAGACAATAGAATCACTCAGACCGAATTTATGATTTCTTCTTCTATATCTTTTTACGCCAGGGCACTATGTCAGCTTGGCAGCAGCTACGGCGCAGCTCGTCACTGGCGCAGCAGGCTCCAATTTGGCAGCAGTAGGAGGTCATGGGGCTTTCACCCAACACATCGAATGCATCATGCAACCATTTCTGCACGTCTCATTGCCCCACCTTGGATGGAAATTGACAACAAATTGCCCCAGTCCTCCCATTGATGCCATCCCACTCATGAATTGGTTTGGGACACCGCATTTCCTGTAACAAACCAGTAAATATGAAAAGGATTTCTAACTGAACAACCCCAGCAGCTTCCGCTAAGCACCATTGCCAAAATGTGCCATACTTCGCAGCCAGCTGGAGAACCGGAGCCACCTGGGTTGTCAGCACGGCCGAGTCTTGCTGCGTTCTGCTGATCATAACTTTCAGCATCTGCAGCGAGTGCTGCGCTTCGGCCTGTCGGGGGCACCGTGTGGTTGTGGATTCCTGAAGCAAAGTTGAAACGAAGCCATCGCTTTGAACTTCTGATTTGGGGATTGATCAACACTCATGGCACCAAGTTGGGTATGGAAATCCATTGAGCATCTAGTTGCGTGCTCACTAGAACAAATTTCTCACTCGTAGTCGTAGTCACTTGTTGGTGGTGTCCATTCAATATTCCCTGAAACAAGATTTGGGTTGATGGTGGTAATCAAGTAGCTCACCTTAGAAATCACATCCCAAAAAACTGTCAAGTTTCCGTCCTACAATCCAAATGCTGACAACATCTTCTGATATCTTCTGCGTGGTTCTATTCACAATCTATCCCCTGACGGATTTTAACTTTGACGCTTTTCCCCGGTTGCACAAATGTCAAGCTGAATGCATCCTTCCAGCCTGCGTCTGTGGGGCTACGACTACCGCCGATGTACGCCATTTGCGGCAGCTGGCTGCTTGCATCACCTTAGCCGCTGTGGATGTTGAAATTCAGCTTTCAGCCTGAAATTAAATTGTTGTACAACTAGGTGCCAACCTTTGTGGAACCTCATGCTGTAAATGGAACTGGAGATTATCAAACAGAATGTTTTTATTGAGTGATCCCCGCCCTGGCAAACTACTCTGACATAGTTTCTGACATAACATCTAGCATACATATATATATAAGTATCTGGCATCCTATGTGGCATTCTATATATATGGCATGTGTTCGGGTCCAGGCATGCCCCACTGAGCTGTCCATATGGGGTTCGGGTTCAGGCGTGGCCCACTGTATCCGGCAGGTGTAGCGTGGCCCAGAGGAAGGGAGGGGCGAAGGAAGGAAGGAAGTAAGTGAGTTGCACCGTTGTTAAAATCCAGAGACCCCCACCTGGCAGGGTGCAACAAAAAACAATAAAAAACATGTGCCTTCCAAAATCACAGCTTGACATGATTGCCAACACTGTTATATAGCTAGTCAGCTAGTCTTTTTCTGGCATTTGTCTGGGCATGTCTGGGCCATAGAATGCCATGGTTTGTACAAAATAATGAAGAAAGAAGTTCTGCAAAAATACCCTTTTAATCGCTGCAAATCATATCATCAACATCAAAGTTGCCGTTTTCATTGCTGCGCTGCAAAGTTTCAGCATCAAGCGGTCCATGCGGAAGCCACTGGCAGCCATTGAAGCGGCGCACGGTGCGAGGATGGGCACACCGCCGAAACCAAAGCTGCCAAGGATCCCGGAATAGGGCTCAGATTTCCGGCCATTCCTGGATTCCAGGTCAGTGCATGAAAACAGTTCCCTATAGACGTGAGCCCTGGAGTGTTTTTCCAAAAGAACATGTTGAATATGTGGATTTCCGCCTTCTTCCTGTTGCAGATGGTGCACAATTCAGTTGGATCAAAATTGTAAATCCCAAACACATGCCATACCCAAAAACGACAGAAACAAAGGAGGCTGAAACCAGCACCCAGAATCTGTTTATCTTGACTGCTGCCCATCCAACCTCAATGCGCTACTCAGTACGAGCTTGGCTTCAATGATGAAGGTCTTAGTCCGTAACCCCTTGCACCCCGCCGGAGACATCAAGAATCCACTGGAGTCAAGCCTGTGATCCATCCATTTCTGGCTAATCCATTTACCAATCTGTCATGAAGATTTGCACAATCACGCAGCATACCTGGCATCTCTTTTCGTGGTAGCGATTCACTATTTTCCCTGTTTGACATAGTTTCAACATGTTTGTTCAATCACAAGAACAACATGACAAAAACTGTGGTTTCCTGATCGGTGTTCATCAGAATACGATACACCAAGGTCTATCCATGAAGTTCTTTCCAGCTGAGGTCCTCGGATCATTACCAGCAACCACCTTTGTAAAATAAACATGGCCTGGGTCTAGTTGCAAAATTGCATTGTTTCCAACACTTCCAAATCCATGTGCGATCAATGATGATAAGATGCAGGAATCAGTTTATATGACACGTGGTACCGGGTATTTTGTAGTTTCAGATTTGCTGGATTTTTGGACCCCTAAATTCAAAACCTGCAAGAGTAAAGGTGGAGCACATTTCCCAATCGGAAATTGCAATGCTTTGCTTTCATCAATTCCCCCCGTCTGCGTTTCAAGCCCCGCCTTCCTCATCTGAACTGGTGGCGCAGCTTGGGGTGGAGCAATTGAAAGTCAACCTCACACCAGAAATTGCAACTTGTGAAGAATCTACACTCTTCAATCTGCATCCAAAAAGTAAACGGTTGCTTGGTGGAGACTTGGCTGGTACAGGGTCACTTGGGAGTAGACGAACTGGGACCTCCATCAGGGGAGCTCACCCTTCATGGTACGGCCTGATAGATGTGTGCCTGGCGCTTGGAAAAAACACATGCAGCCCAACATTCTTCAGTATGCAAACAATATCCAAGCATATGAAAACGTGTTTTTGTAGGGTAGAAATACATGTCTCAAGAATCTGGGCCGTTTTGTTTGGCAAAGATGTTTTTAATGATTTTGTGATGACTTAGTTTTAGGACAAGTGGGTAAACATTGTTAATATAACGCTTGCAAAAACTTGGCATGGAATTTGGATGAACTTGCTAAGGTGTGTGAAGACGGTAATTGTTTGGGAATTGTGAGATATTATTGCAGCGCCAATTTAGGACAATTATAGGCCATTGTTAATTATGATCCATTACAAAAGAGAAGCAATCAAAGTTTCAAGGCAGATCATCAGATCATCAGATCACAGTAATCAGCTGCACCTGCATTACCGCCCGGACAATATCATAAATCGTATCTGAATTCATGTTCGCAACCTGTGTCGCCGCACCCACATACTGAAGCCTTCCAAAATATCTATATAATATGAAAAAACATATTTAAACACTACTCAAGTATGCCACTGGTTACCACCGAAATGCCATGGTTGATATTGGCTGATCACAATTTTCTCATTCGAATGGCTATACCAGCCCCTTCAATCATGTCCAAACACACCTCCAAGAATCAAAACCCCTCATCCAGTCTTAGGATGTCATGCGGGGGCTCACTGAAGGCTGACTACCACCCTCCCCCGCGGAGTACCCTGTCCGCCAAGCAACAGTCGCATCACAGTGATGGCACGTGGCAGCAGTCACCGTGTCCATGGTTTTGTTTGCTAAGAGAGCATCAACCCCCTTTGCAAAACATGCCTAGGCAACAACCATTGCGATTTTGATGGTTTTGTAGGCAAAATCCTGACAATTGCCCTGCCGAAATTGATTTCACGAGCAAGGCGTGGCTGTTTCACCACATGTCTGGCAAATTGGAGGCCTTGCTGCGCATGACCCCTGTATCATCCCACCAACAGGCTCGAGTCAGAGGTCGCCTGACCCGTCATTGCTGGAAAAATGGGTTGATGCTAGGTGGAGCTGGAACGTCAACAAAAACAGAAATTTGAAGTGACAGTCCAACTGGATGTGACCTCATCACTTTAACTGGAATCAAATTCAAACCTCCTGCAGGGGAGGGGTATTTTTTATTTTTTCAAAACCTGCATATTTTCGAATCCAAGCATGGATGAAATTTTGGGCTTAATATGTGTTTTTTGGAAGTAAAAAAATGAAGGTTAAGTGTTGGGTCAAATAGCCTAATTTCTGACATCAAGAGTGCAGTGGCCATTTCCTTTACACCCGCTGCGCAAGTGGGTCAATCATCCTTTCCGGCCACGAGGTTTTGGCAAACGCACTACAGGGTTCAAACAGCTGTTGAAAGACGTTTCGCACTGCAGAGTGGGGCCGTGCTAGGTTGCTAAACCACGATGCCCTGCCGGCGGCAGGTGCGCAAACGGCTTCACAATGAATATTTGCAGTGCATGCCCCGAAAAACACAACCGCACGAAGAGGACACACAAATGTTCTTGCATCCCGCTTCATAATCAAGCTGACACAATCCAAGGTGTGTCAGACACATGTCAATGGCTGGCGGCCGCAACTATGATATAAAGAATGCTCCAAAGGAAATCTTGTCTTGTCCAAGATGGTGGAGTAAATCGCTGATTTTGCCAAAACTCACAAGGTCAAAATGGTGACTGGCTTGTTCATAGCGACTTGCTTCACACCACAAAAAGAAGCATTGCTAGATCTGCGCAAGGACTTGCGCATCAAAGATGGGCTCTTTACCTTCAAAGACTGCCCGTTTGGACCAGCATGGATGTCTGCACAGAAGCTTTCATCGTCTTGTCATCTTGGCAAATTTAATTGCGAAGCCGAAAGCGGAAAAGAATGCACATTTTATTTTGCCGCTCAACCTCAAGTTTTGACACGTGCAACTTCGAACGTATTGCTACACCGCAGCTTTTCACAAACAATGGCTTCCAAGAAAGAACGTTGGGAAACTTTGGCAAAACATGACAAATAAGCTGGGGGAATACACCAGTCAAACCAACTCTTGGGGAGCATGGGAACACTGCTTGTGACGAACCAGTGGCACTAAGACTAAGAAAGACCCTGGCAAGTTCCATTGCAAACTGCACAATGTAAGACAATGTCACTATGTATGAGTTTTCGAGCAGCGTATGCCCCCCGGCTTCCTGACTCCATAGAATGGGGCAAGAACATTTGGCCAAATCTCCTCTCATACCAGGACAACAAAGATGTAGAGCTGGGACATGCATCTCACCCTGCAACTGTGTGCATGAAGCAAGTGCGGCAAGGATTGCCACCCGACATGGACAATGATCACCCTGACCAGGCATGGTATTCATTGATTGTGCTCCATGAATGCATTTCAGCAATGGGGTGTCGGCTGGGTGCTTCCCCACTGGCAAATTCATCTTGCACATCTGAAAAAATTGGCTCGACTATGTGAGAAGACCCGAGTCAAAACACCCCTACAGGAATCGCAATCCTGATGCCCTGCCAGAGCTGCCTAGTGGGCATAGACCACTCCAGCACATCAAGAGCAAATAGTCTTCAAACTCTTGACCGCTGCAAAGCTCGCAAAGGCGCAGTCGAACTCACACGTTTGCACTTTGGAACCTTGGCCTTGGCGCCATATCGAAGTTTGCCCTTCAGCACCCAAACTCGCACAGGCTGCTGCACTTTAGGGTTGGGGTGGCCAAGTAAAGCGGAAGCCACTTGGCACGGATTAATCATGTCATCCCGGCACCCCACCATTCACATCCCAGAAATAAACATTATCAATTTGTGCTAGGACGTTCACCTACCCGTTTTCAATGGCTTGAATTTTGACCCAAAATCATTTACCTACTAACTGTTTTCGATACTTCAACCACAGGACCAATCCACCTGGTGCGGGGAACTACAAAATTGTCGTCTCCAACAAACACTCGCTGGACACCAGTGGGCGCAGCCCACATGGAACCCAAACAGCCAGCATCAGCCAACATCACTCCATCCACCCATATATTTGGCCAGCATCTTTGTGGGAATGTTCATGGTAAATTGTGGCTTCGTTCAATTTTTGTTCATTTTTCTAAGACTCACTGTTGAAACTTGAAAAAATCTGCTTGACATGACACAACAAGAACCACAACACAAAACCAGTGCTAAGCTTCTCGTGGCCTGTGGCACTGCTGGATTCGCATGTGTTTGGCAACTATGGATTTTGGTTTTATGCCAAAGATGTTGATTTCAACTTTGCAATCCTTATGACGACCGGGTATCCTTAGCTACTGAAACATGGTTCATTCTGAGATACCCTGCAAGACTCATTTTTGGCATGGAATCATACGTTATCATACCTTCTAATTTGTACACGCGGCTCATTAACCCAATGAAGCTTTTACCCACTCCATGAAAGGCCTACTAAGTTAAGTGTGGCCGCAACCGCAACTTGGCGCTAGGCATGATGCCTGTTGGTGCCCTCACTGGATGCCAGCTGTATATGGCTAATCTGGAAATAGAAACTGCAAGCCCCAAGTCTTCCAAGAAACATGTCATGATTTTGGATGTTTCGCATGCTATGCCAAACAATGCCTGACCCTGCTCCAAGAACTGCTTTGTGGTAACGGTCCCTGAGGCTTGCGGTGGTATTGTGAAAACAAATGGCAGCAATACCTACCAAGCCAGCTGGCATATTCTACAGCATGTTTCCAAATAATCACCTGCTCATCACACCTGTGGCCTGTTTCAGTGGTCCACTTTCACACGACTACACCACTTGCATCTTCTACATGCCCGCACTGGTCGGAAGTGACAGGCCTGCCTTTGACACCTTATGATGGCTTGTAGCCTGGGATAGGTCTACAGAAGAAACACCCTGAATATGCGTGCTTCAAGCACCTCCCAAAATTGGAGGCAAAAAACACTTCACACACACACTTCCAAAAACCACTCGGCCACCAAAACAAAGAACGCGTGTTTTTCTCATGCTGTTGTCTCTCCTACTTGTATCGCCCCAGAGCTTGCAAAGGCTGCAAACAAGACAGCGTGAGAGGGAGAAGGTGGCTACAATGGCTGCAAGCCACATCAACCGGCAAGTTGAGATTCTCTGCCCGAGCTGTCTTCAAGTGGAAATCCGCAATCCTTACTCTGATTTCTGCTGTGGCCCCAAAATTGGTATTATATAGTCCTTGGTTGTTGGATGGGATTGGGTTCTCCAACTCCCAACCTGGCACCTCACAGCAGTAGTGCAGGTCAGGCTGCCCTTCAATGGGGTCGTATCCTTGGAACTATGCGGGAGGAATGGTATGGGCAAGGCAAAGTCAGAGCGGGTATTCAAGTCACTTCGCTGGAGCACTCCTGGACACGTCAGTGATCTGGATGGTAGAACGCCGTTGCCCCACAACTGGTGTAACGTTCTTGATCTCAGGTTTGTATTTCAAGCCGCTTGGAGTTCTGGACTAGATGACGGAAAAGCACTTCGCAAACAAACCAAAGGGGGCAGCACAGGCAAGACTGGTGCGACAGCATCTCTCACAGTGGCACATTTTCTTCAGCCATCACCAATCCAAGAGGCCCTGCATGGAGCAGCTTGGCTTCAGAGGCTGTGGGGCATGACCCTTGAAATCAGCAAGACGTTGAACCTTTAAGCGCGGCCGGAAGCTCCTCTCCATGGCCCTTGGCGTGGGAACTTCCAAAGCCTCCGTGGCCAAGCGGCATAACTCTGCCAAGGCTGCCACGAAGGCCGCAGGACCGCAACAGTCACCAGAATCCTGCGGCATGAGGTCACCATTCGGAGGTTTCACATGTTTTCCAGCGTTGGCTATTAAGTGGTTGCCTATGATTTTGTCTGTGCCATTTGCAGGACAAAGGCAACCATTTGCATCATCCGAAAAGCCATTGGCAGCAGCACGGTCCCAATCGTGCCCCACATGTGCACAGCAGCTCTGGGCTTCAGCCACGCAGGCTAGCAGTTTCCAAAGCCCAAGCGTGGTGTCAAACGTGTTTCACCGTGGTGGTTGTACGGATCCAGGGAAAATGTCCTGTGATCTCGAAGCTTCAAAATTTCATCAAAATCCCGAAGGAAACCTAGCTGGACACCTCATTCAGTTGTATGGCCTGGCCGAGGCAAGGCTTCTGCCGAGCTCACGGTCCAGCTTCAAATCCATTGATACAGCAAGGAATCATCCGTCCCATGGAAACTCCGCGCGAAGAAAACTCAGGAAACGTTCTGTCTGAAGGTTTCTGCTGGGAGCCTGAGTTGTCAACACCGCGTTCGTGCTGCTGCTTGATGTGGTGACGCAGGAACCCCCTGGTGGAACAGGCATTGGAGTGCTTGGCTATGGCTGCCGTAGGCTAATTGTCTTGGTTGGGACGTGGGCATGTCACAAAAATACTGAGATATGGTAGCCATCAAATTGCAAGCATACAACTTATTGTGTGAAGCTGGTCAGAGTTTGGAACTAGCTGTGACCGCCATGGCCTAAGAAAGATTGGCACGATATTAGATAGTGCGCAAGAATGCGGCAGCCCTTGCTGTGTTCGAATGTTTTCGATCATTCTTGGGTCCATCCAATGATTTCCCTCTGACGCGGGAAAATGCTTAAGCCGCATCTCAAAAGAAGAACATCTCGTCAACCCCCTATACGAAGCAAACCGCAGAGCTTCAAATCTGGCGGATCACTTTGTGGCTTTGCAGGGTGATCTCAACCGGCGGGCTTCAAAGTTTTGCCGACGCGGCACTCGGTGCGGCTTGAGAATGGCAGCAAGTTTCTGAAGCCATCTGAAAAGATGGAAAGCTTTAAAACTGGGGACCTCTGAAATCTGAGAAATAGAGCTGTTTGGTAGTTCTGTGGCGCCCCCAGACTGAACATGATTGAGTCAGCCACCATGCTTCAGGAGACACTCCTGCATGGACACAATGCACGACATTCTGCATACCGAGGCTTCCGATGCAGGGTCAATATATGAAAGTTTGACTCAGCCAATCTCTGAAACTGGACAGAAACAGCTGTTGGGCTAAGGGCCTATGACGTCCAAGGTTTTCTTGGGTCAAGTCCTGGCACTTCGCACCCGAAGGATCCTCCAATCTTGCGATGTCAAGTGAGATTTGTTTTGAAATAAAGTTGCACAAATGGTCACTCTAAGTGGACTCAACCCATGGGCCAAAGCTTTTAGTTGGAAATGTTCCATGTGACATAAGATATATCAGAACATTCTTTTGCAAAGGCAGCTGGGAGCAAATCTCTGAGCATGTCACCCCTGGCCCCTTCAAAGTGAAGCATCATGGCAATGCAACCAACATGGACCTGCTGATTCCCCTTTGTGTCAAGTGCGAGCCCGTGACACCAACCCAAGCGAAAGCGGCTGAGCAGCCCACAGGGCCATGATGTGAGATTAGGATGACCTTGGCTGAGTTCACACTCCATGGCAGCAATTCCTTTTTTGTCTTGATCAAACTTTGCCTCGGCAAGGCTTCAAGCTTCCCCCCGGAACCCCAAAAGCCAGTTGTGAGCGGAAAGCACCATGAGTGGCCAGTGCCATGCCAGCAACCATTGGCTCATGAATGCTTTACCTATCACACATCCAAAGACTGCAGTTGCGCATGCCATGCCACGTCGCTTCCCCAAGGTTCCAAGGCCCCAGTGGACAATTTTTGAAGGGATTCGCCTTAGATTTAGTGGGACACAAGGCAAGGAGCGCATGGTCAAGACCCAGCTACGGCTGGTTAACCTTTAACACCCTGCCGCTTCAAATATTTCCAGCGCCAACATGACCACGTCACATGTCCAGGCGAAGCGACGCCACTGCATCTGCAAAACAGCCAGCAGTGACTTTGGAAACTAACTGGGCCAAGGTTATCCACAACTAAATCGCTTACTTGCCCAATACCTTGGTTGTATTGGCTATCATGGAAGCAGACTTGTTTTCCGAAGGGTTTGAAAACAATGAGAATTGGTGGAATATTTACTCAAGGGCTTGTTGGCTTGGGAAATCGGGGTGGTGTCCAAGGACATCTACATCTACCTGCCCCTTTTAAGAGACGCCTGAATTCCTTTGACGGGCACTGATGCTTGCCCGAAACGGCTGCAAAACCAGTGGCACACATAATCAGCACATGTGGTTTGATTCACCTGTTACCAGAGCTTGGGACTTTGTATCATGTTGACTTTTGATTTCATGGTACTTTAGCATTCCTTGTCATCATCAACCCATTGACAAAGCTAAGTCTCAGACTCCCAGTGCTTGGAAGTAGCCGTGGCGCCTGCTGAATCACCTTGGCTACCTGGACCAAACCTCCAGGGCATATCCCGCAGG